TATAAATTAAAATTTCTTAGACGGAGAAAATATAGTTGAATAGCTATTTTGATTTGAATTTTATTCATATAATATTTTTTTGGCCAGCTTATTGTTTTGATATTTGAATGAGATTAATGAATTGATCATGATTATAAGAAAAAACTAAATAATACTCCCTCCGTCCTAAATTATAGAGTATTTTTGAAAGAATTTTTTATTTTAAAATATAAGACACTTTGAGTAGATTAATATTTTATTAAATACATCAATTTTAATATTATATTTTCTCTCTCTATAATTAATTTCTATCACTTCTCTTTTTAATATATTAAATGGTAAGTATTTTAAAAATTTATGTTTTTATATTAAAAAGATAAAATTGTTAAGTATTTTTAATGATATTTATTGATATATAAAATTTTATTTAAAAATATTTTATAATTTGAAATAAAAATGGCAGGGGATCAAAATTTGAGGAATACGATGACAGTCTGACAGATGAGGGATGGAGAACTTAAAAAATGAAGAGGGTAGAGTAATTACGTAACGGGGGATGCCAGCGACGGGGGATTCAATGGACAGCGCGTGAATAATGATTTAAGAAGAATGCAGGGAACCGGGGTCGTATTGGAGAATGAAGGGGCACGTGGAGGGCGAGAGAGGGACCCACCCCAACATGTGCAAATATATACGGACCGAGTCGTGTGGGGACGTATGTGACCTCAAAAGGTACCGATCATGCACCATGACAAACCTTGCATTCTCAATCACAAAACTCAACCACAGCCTCAAAACTGGCAGGTTTGGATTGGATGACAGCCGCAGCATGATTGGTCGACAAGCCTGACTCATCACTTTTTTTTTTTTTTTTGTTGTCCGAAGGAGCCTGACTCATCATTTACATGTGGCCAACAACGGACAAACTGACTTGTGCTACAAACAAATGCCACGCCATTCTGACTTGTCTCCCTTCTATTATTCCATCTTCCAGATGCCACCTCCCCTCGCCTCCTCTGTCCGCCGTCTCAATTTTCAATTCTATCCACTCTCCTCCATCATGACGATCCCTCCAACTATTATCCATCACTAAATTATTATTCTTCTTGTTTGAAAAAAAAAAAGAGCAATAATACCCGTCAGATAGGCCCTATAAGAGAAGAGGTGTTCAGAGCCAGCGAAGATGACACATCAGACTCGTGCCTTTGAAGCGTCAAACCACTGGTTAATTTGAGATGCAAAGATTGCATCTGATCGAACCACTAGGTGCACGAATGGTTAAGTTAGTGGAAAAAAACACTGAGTGTGCATGCGTAATGTGAGCAAGAAGCCATAGCTGGACAGGATTCCGAGGAGATGGTATGTGTCAACATTTAGGACTCGTTTATGGACGTCGTCAAGGATGACGATCAACTATCATTGCAAATGCCAATTATTACTCTTAAGAACAATTTACTTTAAAGAGGATCTTATTAAAGGGGATCTTAAATCCCTTTGCATTATATTTATTCATTCGGAATCATTTACTTTACTGTTTTTTACATTATGTTACGTTGTTTGTACTTCAAGTAAGCATGGTTCAATCCCCCTGCATGTATTTTCATAGTCGCATTCTCTATATCTATCATATATTTAAAAAGTAACAGCAATTAGTCTCAAATTAATAGTAAGGGCAAGGATGCATCAATTTTGATTGTTTAAAATTTAAAATGTGTTAATTATGAAGATGGGGTTTAAATTGTCTTTAAATTTATAATTTAAAATTCAAATTATGTATTAACTCAATTATTTAATATCGTTTGCCGTACATGGTTTGATGAGGCTGGTGGTCATATATAATCCAGTAGTTTTTTTTTTTTAAAAAAAATTGACTGCCGATACACACAAGACACTCTAGTTAATTAATTTAATATCCAATGCATGTGCTTAAATTAATCTGGAAAGTTCTGACAGGCCTTGGCTAAGTATAATTGAAACATGTTTATTCTTATTAATCAACCAAGTAAATTCTAAACCTTGGACTTCAACTCGACGCCCCAGTCATGGAGGATCTCGGGATGATTCTTTTTCGCCCGCCCCGCCCGCTGGGGCGCCTCGGTCGCCCAATCCAATGGAGCATGACTTTCCAATTTCCGTTTCCAAAGGCTCCGAGGTGTTGTAATCTTAAATTGAATATCGCCTTATTTATATCCCGGCTTTCAATTCCATTGCTCCACGTTACCCTGCTTACGCCCTGCATTATTGCATTCTTCGCATCATTCCCCAGTTTACTTCTTTTCTCCTTCTTGCTTCATTTTGCTTTTTATTAGTTTCCATCATATGCTTGACTCTAAATTACAATTATTGCTAATAATCATTATAAACCTCCATCGCCACGGGTCTTTCGCTTCACCTCACAATTTTTAGGTCCCCCTGCAATTCACGGGCATCCACCCAAATCTCACATCGCCTCAAGCTTTCATCATCTTTTTTTTTTTTTAAATTGCTTCTCAACAAAATTTTCACATCAACAACAAGGTCCCATCACTTTTTTATCCTCACAATATATTTTTAACTTTCGAAACTTTTATTGGGTTAATAGCATTTGTACATGCCTCTTCCTGCTCTTCTTTATTTACTATAGTTTGATCAACGTTTTCAAATTTCAACCTTCCAATCGAACCATTTTATTTGTTAACATTGGTGAACGGTTTAACATCGAATGACTGTTAGTTGTATGATCACTCTGAAACACATGACAAATCGTTTTATTTCTAAGTCACGAATAACGTGTTATTTCAAATTTCATTTCATGCTGCGTGAAGCGTGTATTGTAATTTGCAATGTTGTAAATGGATCACCCTATATTTTGACGTAACAAATAAAAAAAAAAAGTGACTGTCGTGTATTTGAATTCAAGGAATGCCGATATACTTTCGCTTGTGACAATTTATCAATTTAATAATTAATATTATTTTTAAATATTATTCCATATTTACCATGCATACAAGTCGCAAAATAATAAATATGGTCCTCTATTTCACTGGTAAAAAAACACGGTCCTATTTGTTTGGATTGACTGATCAACGAATGCCATTAAGATACTGACGGTATTCAACACAAAGGAGATAACATGGCCACTTTAAATTTTGGATAATATATTTGTTTGATCCAAATAAAGTTCACAATCGTTACGCGGGTAGGTGAATTCATTGGATGAACTAAACGTTCAGGTGTTTCCCTCGGCGACTAATGGTCATTATCTAAATAAATAAATAAAGTATAATTTTTTCATCTAATTGTTTATTTTAAAATAACTTATCACAATTCAATTTTTGCTTATGAATTATCCTAACGTTTTTTTGTGTGAAAATAAACCGTGTTAAATAAACTTATGGCACTTATATTAATTATCTTAAATCTAATTCTTTTTATTTTCATAAAGATTTCATAATATAATTTAGATGGGTTTATATTTTCCGTTAGGCTGATCAGATAATTTAAATTCATACTATTTGTTTAAAAAACACTTATTGAAACAACAAGTAACTAGAAAATAAGATAGGATTGTCATCTCTGATCCCCCATAACCCTTTTTAAGACGGATCGGACCACTTTTCCGTGAAAAACATATTCACATACAGAATTCGTTCGAAGAGTCTCCATCCAAATCAGATCGTCGAGCTCACGAGAGTTGCAGGTACGAGAAGTAAATTTCAATATCAGGCGCATAGAACCGATCGAGGTGAGTACTCTAATACGTTCTCTCTCTAAGAAGAAAATTAAATAAAGAAAGAAAGAAGCCAATGTGGCCATGTGCAATAATGTGTGTAGTCTAATAGTGTCATTATTTTGTCTGTTTGGTTGGGTTACTATTCTAGCCATTTAAGCCGTCTTCGTGGTTCGATGAATTATTTGAAGCATTATTGGACAAATATTAATTCCGGAGATTGCCATACCCTCTCAGAATAATTATTATTTTTAATATATTGGCCCAATTATGCAAAAATAGTAACCTATTGACGTCGTTTTATTTATCTAACATACTCCTTCAATCTTATTTATAAGGTATATATTGAAAATTTTTTATTTTATTTATAAATCACCTTATTAAATTTTTAACATATATTTTTCCTTTTACTTTTCATTAAAAGTTAAAAAGGGAAAATACATTGTTAATATATATATATACTCCTTTTGTTAAAAAATATAAAGTATTTTTTAAAGAGTTGAATGTTTAAAAATATAAGGTATTTTTAATTTTTTGAGATGTAATCATTGCCTTTTTTTAAAAGTATCTCTATTGATAATGACTTTATATTTATTATCAGGTATTTAATAGGGATAAATATAAAAAAATAGGGTTAGTTGAAAACTAGATAATTGTTTTATTGAGAGATGAGATTCGATTAAAAATATTTTATATTTTTAAACAGAGAAAATAAATAATAGAAGTGAAATGAAGAACTTAGTAAACTTTAAAATGAATTAATGAATTTTAAAGTTTTTATAATTAAGACAAGAGAAATATATAAATAATAAAGGAAAAATATAATATTTGGTTCTTATAATTTTATAAAATTTTTTTAATCCTTATAATTTTTTTCTGTGTTTTTATTTTTTATAGTTTTAGAAAGGCCGAGTGACTTTTATTTTCCAAATCTCTATAATTTTTATTTTTCAATAGTTTATATCTCTATAGAGATTGAAAATATTGAAAAAAAAAACTACAAGGATTAAAAGTAAAATTTAATAAAATTATAGGAACCAAATATTATGTTTTTTTACCAATAAATAACAAAGGGTGGAGGAAAAAAAGGAAAAAAATAGGCGGTACAGCTAAATTTAAGCTGAAATTTCAATGGCTGCCGAGAAAATCAGAAACCCAGAGGGAATTGGCAGCAATGAATTTTCACCAACAAAACAAATGGCTTATAGAAATTTGGAAGCAAATATAGAAATAATTATAATTGAAAATACCAAACAATGGAGAGTCAGAAACCAATTCATTCGCAATTCACGTCGGCAAATGTGAGAGCCCACACCATCAATTATTGATTAAACTAACATGCGCTGCCACAAATGCCCAACGGTGAGGAGCAAGCAACACTGCCAACCTTCATGGGTGCTCCGAAACCCCCAACCCCAACCCTGTTGTGTATATATATATAAATGCCAATGTTGTTTCTGCATCTCATAGTTGTCTCGTTCAGTCACTCCATTACACCTTGCATATTATCCGCCGTCTTTTCCCCGTTTTCATTAGCTGCTGGGGCGTCTGGTAAATTCCCGGCGGCTTAATCAAGTTTCAGGGAAAAAAAAAAAAGGGAAGAAACGCCATCTTTTCCGGCTTCTGTGGATTAATCATATATTGTTGTTGTTAGTTCCACTGTGAATCCTGTGGCAACAAAAAATGGGCAAATCGAGGGACGCTCAAAGCCTCCCATATTCCTACGCTGCTCTTCCGGATGGACCCAAGGCCCTGGAAAATCCGTCTCCCAAACCTTGGAAGAAGCAGATTTGGGGGGTGTTTTTTGGGTTCTTACTGGTGGCTTTCCTCGTCGCCTTTCAGTGTTACGAGGCATCCTATAATGCTCATCCTCCCAATTCTACATTGCCCAAATCTCAACCTGAACTTACCACAACGGTCGTCCCTTCCACCAAATGGGAGCCCGTTTCCCGAGGTGTATCGGCAGGGGTGTCCGAGAAGAGTAATAACAGGTTGTTTGGCTCTTCCATTACCGAATCTTTTCCATGGAACAATAGCATGCTCTCCTGGCAGAGAACGGCTTTTCATTTCCAGCCCGAGAAGAACTGGATGAACGGTAATTTATTCCTTAATCCTTGATCTTCTTTTGTTTAATTTGCTCTGTTTTTACGTTAAACAATTGAAATACAGCGAAGCTTGTATCTGGCAATTGAACTTCTTTAACTCTCCTCCGGAGGCACGGGATACAGCTTATTTTTTTCTCTGGAAAAAATGCATGGGATACAACTTCTTTAACTTCCTTAATCCATGTAAATGCATAGATTTTCTTGCCATACGATTATAAACAGTAAGAAAGTTTTACATGGCTACTATCATCCTCCGAATGGAACAGTGATAGAAGGATCCCTAAAAGAGGTAGAAAAGGATGGAAAATAAACAAAATGTAATGGATGCAATTTATCCAATATATTGAAAAATAAAAGATTTAGGAAATAAACAAATAATTTGATTTAATTTTAAACCTTCACATTTAATAGAGGGTCATATCATTTGCATAGCACTATAGTCCGAATAACAACTATTTTTTTATTCCAATGATTCGTATTTAAGGAATACTATGTGATTTGACTTTCAATGATTTGTCTTTGACTTTTCTCCCTTTTTTTTTTCATATGAATTATCATTCCACGCTCTGATGGGGAATTGTTCTTGCCTTGCTTCAGATCCCAATGGTAAGAACAGTAATTACCTTTCTTATTTGTTTTCAACTTCAAAAATTACTGTGGTTGAATACACTATTCACTTCATCATAATATGCAAATAGTATGAGAAGGACATAGTCGTGGTCCGAACAGGGTCTACAACAAAGCTCAATTAACATCACAAAATCTTAAGTGAACTGGCAATAATTCACAAAACTCCTAAGCCAATGAAGCTACACATGTGCAGTCACCAATTAGTAAAGCTTAGGGGGAATTTTACCCTTAACGTAGAAGTTGAAAACAGAAAATCTAATTGCTTGACTAATTTCCATTACTATGGGAAAGATACACAAGTTATTGACATGTACGGCTGGCGTGAATGACTCCAGGTCCTATGTACTTCAAGGGATGGTACCACTTCTTCTACCAATACAATCCTTATGGTGCGGTTTGGGGTAACATTATTGTTTGGGGACATGCAGTGTCGAAAGACCTCATCCACTGGCTTCACCTACCCTTAGCAATGGTTAATGACCAATGGTATGACACAAGGGGTGTATGGACCGGTTCTGCCACCATCTTACCTGATGGGCAAGTCATCATGTTGTACACTGGTTCCACTAACCAATCAGTCCAGGTTCAAAACCTAGCCTATCCTGCTGACCCATCTGACCCACTCCTCATCAATTGGGTCAAACACCCTGGCAATCCAGTTCTTTTACCGCCACCCGGCATTGGCTTTAAAGACTTTCGTGATCCAACCACTGCCTGGCTTACATCAGAAGGCAAGTGGCGTATCAGTATCGGGTCGAAAGTTAACAAGACAGGCATCTCCTTAGTTTACGACACTAAGGACTTCAAGACTTTTGAGCGTATAGAAGGAGTAATGCATGCTGTGCCGGGCACCGGTATGTGGGAATGTGTGGACTTTTACCCTGTCTGCACAAAATCTGATAATGGGTTAGATGCCTCTGCGAAGGGGGCAGATGTGAAGCATGTGGTCAAAGTTAGCCTGGATGACGATAGGCATGATTACTATGCAATTGGGTCTTATGATGAAAAGAAGGTTAAGTTCACAGCTGATGATTCCAAGAATGATGTTGGTATTGGACTTAGGTATGACTATGGCATATTCTATGCATCCAAAACTTTTTATGATCAGAACACCGAGAGGAGAGTATTGTGGGGCTGGATTGGTGAGTCGGACAGCGAAGTTGCTGATATTGCCAAGGGATGGGCTTCGGTTCAGGTATTTATATCAGATTAAAGATTACATATAACGTGTGTTGTCATTAGAAAAAGAAATGAGAAGAAATTATTATCATTATTATTATTATATATGGATCCCACTAATATTTTTCCCATCTTGTGGATTTGTTTTTTTCAACAGAGTATTCCAAGAACCGTGGTGCTTGATAGGAAGACAGGCAGCAATTTACTTCAATGGCCTGTTGAGGAGGTGGAGAAACTGAGATTGAGGAGCAATGAGTTCAAAAATATAAAGGCTGAGCCAGGGTCTGTGGTGCCATTAGACATAGAAGCAGCCAATCAGGTTTGTTTCAGGCCTTGTCAAAATTGTCAAGAAGTGCCATTCACTACTCTGTTTTTGATAGACCAAATGCATAACCTATATGAAACCATGTACCATGAATGAAACAGTTGGACATTGTTGCCGAGTTTGAGATGGACAAAGAAGCTTTTGAGAAGGCAGCTTACTCCAACTTGTCGTACATCTGCAGCACTAGTGGTGGAGTTTCCAAACGTGGTGCTTTGGGACCTTTCGGTCTTATGGTCCTAGCAGATGCGGACCTTTCTGAATACACTCCAGTCTACTTTTATGTCACTAAAGGAAGTGACGGAAATCTCAAGACTTCATTCTGCTCTGATCAGACCAGGTATGATTTTATTTTAGCCACAAGTTAATTTCTGACTTTTGAGAATGAAAACATTCATTATATTGAATTCCACGATTGCTTGTCTGGGCAGGTCTTCCTTGGCAAACGATGTTCATAAACATATTTATGGGAGTTTCGTTCCAGTATTGAACGATGAGAAGTTATCTGTAAGGATACTGGTGAGTTAAGGCTTTTGTAGTCTTCACAATTTTGTTTTACGAAGACTCATGTTTCAATTTACTTGAAAGTCAAAGTTGATGTGATGAATATAGGGGTGGTTCCTTGTCATGACTTGCAGGTGGACCATTCTATAGTTGAAAGCTTTGCACAAGGAGGAAGGACTGTCGTGACATCTAGGGTTTACCCAACAAGAGCAATCTATGGAGCAGCTCGCTTGTTCTTGTTCAATTATGCCACAGAGGCTACTGTCACTGCCTCAGTGAAAGTTTGGCAGATGAACTCTGCATTCATACGGCCATACCACCCCAACCAGAGCAGTTAAATGCAGGGAAAGATGTGAGATAAAAAATGCAGGGAAATGTTGTACATAGAAAGGCCATCATCTCAATATATCCGACTTCTCAAGGTTCGAATTTGGATATCCCTGGGGGAATCTGGTCTCACCGAGAAAGAATGCAACATTCTGATGGGGTGATAGGTCACAACTCCCTCGGAGTAAGATGATGTTGGGTAGTGTATTGATATTAGTTTGTAGGAGGGATCAGTCTAAGGTTCATCTTGTACAATTTTTGTTTTATTTTTTGGGAATCAGTTAGCCATAAGTTCTGGAATGGTTCTCGTTTGTATTTTTTTTTTTAAGAGTATAGTTATTGCTGCTTCCTTTCAGTTTCAAATATAACAAATATAAATCGTCGAATAATCTGTTCACGCGATGCCACTTCCCTCCTACCATCTTGTCCTTCCAATTCACCCAATTAATGGTAAACATGCAAATTAGATGTAAATGCATTGGCAGAAACAAATAAATATCAGTTTCATGCCTAAACCTGCCCTTTCTTCTCCTAAGGATGGCTGGGTAAATCCAGTTTAATCCAATTAAATCAACTTTTTTACCAAACCTTTTTCAAAGATTAATATATCAAACTGTCAAATTGTGCCACGACTCTCAAAAAAAGCTAGTCTACTTGACGAATTATTATTGCAAGTTGTTTATACTCTTTTACTATATCAGATGCCTTCCTTCTTGTTGCCGAATTTTATTAGCCAGCCTCCTTTAGGTTTTCTAAAGGTTCTCTTCAATTTATAATAAAGAAGAGTAATTTAACTCATGAAATTGAGAATTATAATTTATGAGGCTTTTATAGGGTATAATAATTTTTACATTTGTGACAAATAACATTAAATTTTATCATGTTTGTTATAAAGGAAAATAGTGATTTAAATCATCTCATTTTTATTCTTTCTAGTGATCAAACCAAAACCAAATAACAATCTTTTTGTTCTTACATTAAAAAGGCTTCCTTTCATGATTTATTGATGTCGTGTTTCAGCCTGAACTAAAGTTAAAGGTCAACAACAGAGTTCTTGGGCTTCTTTGATGGGCCCAGTAATAATCAGAACCCGAGTCAGGGCAAAGAGACGGAACAAAAACCCAATAAACTTAGAGAACGGGGCTGATGTCAGAGCTTAGAACGTGTTGCAAATTCAGGCAATAAACCCAATTTTAGCATGTGCTGGGCTTATTCTATATGAACAGAATAAACATTTATTAAGTTAATAGTTGTATAACAGGATCTGAGTGAAGCAGATGATCGGCCGAAAATCAATTTGCAGAAGTGGGCGGCTTCCTCACAAGAAGACACGCCACTCATCAAGAAACAGAGAGGAAGTGAGAACGAGTCCATGCGGCATCACATGCACATAAGAGGAAAGGAAAACTTGAACGGAAGAGGGAGTGGGGGATTGGCATGTACATAAAACCATGAGACGAAGCTGGTGGTTTGAAAAATTGAAACAGTACGTTTTGCCATTTTCGACAATGTATGGGGTTATCTTTAAGTTTCGCATAGGTTTTGGATTTGTATGGCGTGGGAAGAAAGAGGCAGTGAACTGTAAGGTTGGGCAATGCTATTGTCTGCGGAGGATAGCCCAACTAAAAGCTGTGAAATTAATATCAGCATGAGCATGCACAATCAATTACTCGTTCCTTTTTTGGCTGGAAAATAATCAATTACTTAAACACCAATGAAGAAGGACATCATTGGGGCTGTGCACTAAAGTAGCGGGAATCACGCCGAGAGGAAGAACGACCTTAATGAATATTTTAATTTTGAGTAAAATATTCTGATCTCCGTTCTATTTTACACTCATTACAAAAACATTTTTTTTATATTTTTAAAATACATACAAATCACTCCCAGTGCGAATAATTACGAAACACAATCAACCTCTACTTTTAAAATCTTCATTTTCATCTGCTCAATTATTAATTAACCGTTAAGTCACATATATTGAATTAAAATACTCCTCTTTATATATAAATGTTGTCTAAAATCCATTCAAATTACACAAAAAAATTAATGCTTATATTTTTTTTGTTTTTATTTGTATTTAAATATTTTTAGTTACGTAAGCACATTGATGCAATATTTTTTTAAAAGAATTTAAACAAATCAATTGTCTAAAATAGTAATCAAACATGTCGTTAAAATAATTTAATGAAATAAGGATTTAATATAATAAAATATTCAATACAATTTATATTTTTCCTCTAAATCTCATTGATGTTAACAAAATATTTTTAAATTATTTAATTAAATATTGAAATAATCAGTTATTTAATTTTTTTAAATGCGGAGAGAGAGTAGATAATTAGATCATAAGGGCGAATGAATAATTGAAAATTTTTTAACATAATTATAAATAAAAAATTAAATATTTTAAAAAAATTTAATGGAACATTCCTAATGATGTTAAAAATTATATTAAAGCATAAATTTTAAAGACAAATAAAAAATCTCTGTAATTTTAGCAAATCGATAGTAAAATATATTTAACTGCTTAATTTTTAAGCAATGAATTATTAATAAATAGGATTTTGGAGAAATAAAAAGGTGAAGTAGGGGAACCAGTTACGGCCTAAATGAAGGTCCAAGCGCGTTGGTGGGTCATCCAATCACCCGTCGGCATGGCATCTCATGTTCCCACTTCCAATTCCTCCCCTCCTTAACATGTTTTATATTTTATTTAATTAACAAGAAATTGTTTAGATTTAAGGACTGATTAATTTTTTTCAAGTTCAAATATATTTTCACCTTTCACCCCTGACTACCCTTATTTTTTTTTAATTAATTCCGAGCCTAACTACAATAAACAGATGGTCATGAAGTGATAATCTTATAAATAGATTCAGAAATAGTATTATTTTAACATCTCGTGAAATCGGTCACACAAGAGCCATTGGCTTTCATGATTTCTGGAGGTTTCTTTGTCTAGGGAATTTGCATAATTGTAATATTTTTTGGTCCCTCGCCAGAGAAAAAAAGAAGCAGCAGTTTTTGGCATTCTCAAATGCCTTCCTCTCTCGCTATCCTGACCGCCTTTCGCCTTCGGTCCGAACCGAACACATCCAATTCATCCCTCTTTCGTAATTCTTTTAATTTTTTTTCATTTAACACAAACGATCCTTTAAACAGCGTCCATGATTCTCCGGCAACAACTATTTCTATCAAGAATAAACAGTTTAAGAATGAATGTATAAAATACGGAATTAGTTTATTGGACAAGAAATGAATTAATCAATTCCCGATCGAGCTGTTTCAGCAACCGCAGTTTTGAACAGTTATAATTGTGTGGGATGGAGGCATAGATAAAATAATACGACGCACATGGTGTCTGCTCACTGCTGACGATGATTCATCAAAGCCGTGATTTATTTACCTAGCCACACTAATTACACGCCATCGATGTTCAGTGCAAGCGCAACATACTAGAAGCAGCCAAATCATTTTCGTCAAACCAAAAACCACCCTCGCTAAATTATTAAATGCGTCTCTTCCATTTTCTGTTTTCAAACGCGGAGAGCGTGAATTGGTTGGCACATGTCCTCTTCATATATGATCTTACTCAAATGGGTAGTGTAGTCTTGTGGGCTACTTCAGCTTCTTTCCTTGCGTTCACGCTCCAACTAGGCCGACACCAAAGGAAGAAGGCCATTCTCAAAGGAGTCACCGTGTCAGCTGGCTTCCGGTTCTCCCCACCCAAAGTTACACCATCCTCCTCATCATCATCATTATTATCGACTGCCCACTTAATCTTTCGTTCGATGCAGGAGAGCTATTATACTCGTCCGTAGACGTAGTGTCCCTAATTATTAAATACAGTCAGTGTTCCCTAATACTCGTGGCCGAGGCGATCCGATTGATCCTGTTACTACACGTTGGCTCTTTACTTTTCTTGTTTTTTTGGGTCGTGAGGATACGTCCGTATGGTAGGCGTCGGGTGCGCATCTAAAAGGGCAGGGAGGGGGGCCCCACTGCTTGTGGAAAAAGGCTCACGGCTGGCGAGCATGTGGCACTCTCAGGGGGATCCGACCGTTGCGAGGGACATGGGCCAATTACTCGTTATTTAGTAACTACTATTCCGTACTCCGTGAAAAGCCACGCTCTACGCGCCTTCCCACTATGGCATTGTGAACTGGCTACTTGCTGTCATCTCTCTGTCTCTTTCTACCCCTCCTTCATGTCTCCCCTCCTGCTGGGCTGACCCAAATGATGACTGGTCACCGACAAAAGCTTGCCATCCACACCCCAATTTCCTCATAAAGCCAGCTCAACCTATCTGTCCCTCTCTCTCCCTCACACGCACCTTACCATTTCTGCTCCCCACTCGAGCCGGACTTACCCTCCATTAACTACCCTGCTTCTCATATCTCAAACTCTCAAGCGTACCGCCCTCGCGCCGCATTCCTTCCCTTTCTCCTCCCCTTTCTGATCATGTAAGAAGTATGGCATAGTACCCGGAATTTTTTTTTTTTAAAAAAACAAGTTAAAGCTGGTCAGTGCATCCTGGCTCTGAAATTTCACGCTTCTTCCTGCTCCTCGCGATGCCTGCCTCCCGTGCTCTGTTCCTGAGTCTCCTCAACATTTGTTTGCTTGCGAGCTTATCTTCTGCGGAAGATCCGACTGTTTTCTATAACTTCGAGGTCTCTTACGTCACTGCCTCTCCTCTTGGAGTCCCTCAACAGGTTGGTCTTATATCTTTCTTTCCCTCCCCGTCGCTTCTCCTCCTATTTTGTCCATGCGGAGTTCTTCCTTCGCGCATGTGATGTCGGATTGGCTTTCAATCTCCTCAGGTTTCGAGCTTTCACTGCATTTCTGCACAATGACACCCTATCCTTAAACTCTCTTTTTCAATGTTGTTGTTCATATTAGGCATTAGCTAGAGGACTTTGGCTGAGCCTTCGATATGTCTGCTATCACGCAGGTTATTGCTATAAACAATTTGTTCCCGGGTCCTACAATTAACTCAACCACAAATAACAATGTCGTCGTCAATGTTCGGAACAAATTGGACGAGAATCTCCTCATTCACTGGTAGGGTACTGAATTTTAGCTTCTGTTGATTCTCACGACGATATTTAGCTCCGGAAGCTAAATTCATGGTATTGGACAGGTCTGGGGTTCAGCAACGGCGAAGCTCATGGCAGGACGGAGTTCTTGGCACAAATTGTCCCATTCCTCCCAAGTGGAACTGGACTTACAAATTTCAGGTGAAGGATCAAATCGGAAACTTTTTCTACTTTCCGTCTCTTAATTTCCAGAGAGCAGCTGGTGGATTTGGAGGTTTCGTCATAAACAACCGTCCCATTATTCCTATTCCTTTTGATACTCCTTATGGGGACATTGAAATTTTTATTGGTGATTGGTACACGCGGAATCATACGGTTAGTGTTGATTGAATAATTGTATACTCTTGCTAATTCTGTATACACTTCCTATTTGTTTGTGACTGGTTCTGCTTTGGAATGTAGGATTTGCGGAAGGCACTTGATGCAGGAAAAGACCTTGGGATGCCAGATGGTGTTCTCATCAATGGGAAAGGCCCTTATAGATATAACGATACGCTTGTTGCCGATGGAATTGAATACGAAACAATTGAGGTCCACCCTGGTGCGTTCTTGGAAAATATTTACTTGAATATCGTATTTATATTGGGGCCAGTGTTCTTAATTGAGTTGGTAATACTAAGTCTTGTTGGATCATCTGACCAATACATGTCCTAGGGAAGCTTATTACGAGTACTTTGTTTGTTCTCTCCTATGGCCATAGTGGGAAATTTGAACATTTTATTGTATGATTTTTTAACATTGGGACCTGTGGCATAGAAAAATAAGGATTACGAGAATGAGACGAATGGATGCTGTCAGAATCTAGAATCTGGTACAACTTATTAGATTTCATTGAGTTAAACTGAAGTAGTACGACCGAATATGTAGCTAGCTAGACCAACTCGATACTAAACTGCTAAGCCCATGGCCGGGCCGAAGTATATCATTTATACTAACACATGCTGGTGAATTTTGTGTCCTCTAGAATTGTTCTTGGAGTTTTATTCCAGTGTTAAAGAGTGCAAGATGTAATGTATATACTCCTTTAATTCTATTTATGAATCACTTTCAACATATTTTAGTATAATTAAGGAAAATTTTAAAACCTATTAACTCTGTATAAAAATTTGAAAAATTTTTTTGTCTCTATTTTTTTGGTCAAACAATTTTGTCCTTATTAAATATACACATTTTAACAACATATTCTCTCTCTAACATTCAATAGAGGGTAAAAGAGAAAATTTATAATGAAAATTTAATGATGTGATTTATAAATAAGATCAAAAAAAAAATCTCTTTTGGTTCTATGAATAGGACCTGAGGAAGTAGCTAAGAAGCAAATAAGTAGAACTTCATTGCACTTTCTAGCATGCATGACATTTTGTTAATAGCAATGCTACTTTGTGATAAATCAGCATCCATGATAATTTGCTAGATGCAATTCTGCTTGAACCTAAACTCGTACAGATGATAACCTGCTGATTGCAACTGCAATGCTACTTGAATTTTAACAACTATTGCATCAGTACCGTAGACTCGGTCATGTTAAAACCTTGATGTTCGTATAATCCTTACGCTTTCTAAATGATAATGGTATAATGTTGAACAGGAAAAACTTATCGGCTTCGTGTACACAATGTTGGTGTTTCAACAAGTCTGAATTTCAGGATTCAGAACCATAACCTACTTTTAGCTGAGACTGAAGGATCCTATACAGTGCAACAGAACTACACCAGCTTAGATATTCATGTTGGTCAATCTTACACGTTTCTGGTAACCATGGATCAGAATGCAAGTTCAGATTACTATATTGTAGCGAGTGCTAGGTTTGTGAATGAGTCACTTTGGCAAAGAGTTACTGGAGTTGCCATCTTGCATTATACAAATTCCAAGGGGAAGGCTGCTGGTCCTCTTCCAGACGCTCCAGATGACCAATATGACAAGACCTTCTCAATGAATCAGGCACGATCCATCAGGTATATTTATTCTGTAACTTTATGTTTCGGGAGGTTAGGGGACATTCAAGAATTTGAAGAAGAAATTTCTGGATACTTGATTTTGGGGATATTTTATACAGCACCAAACTCTAAGTGCATAAAGTGAATAATGTCCCCAGGTCTGTTTGGATGTCTAATCTTAGAAACTACATGGGACATTGGTTTACCCAATCTGTGGTGAATATAAAATATGAAATATTATAAAAGCACAATTCATTAATTGCTTATATATGAAATTAGAGAATAAATTCTAAATGTACTACTCACGCCCTCAAAATTGCGTGGTAAACTGTGCAGATGGAATGTATCAGCCAGTGGTGCTCGCCCTAACCCACAGGGATCTTTCAGATATGGTTCCATCAATGTGACTGATATTTATGTATTGAGAAATAAGCCTCCGGAGAAGATTAAGGGGAAGAGACGAGCTACACTCAATGGGATCTCTTTTGTCAACCCTTCCACTCCAATCAGACTTGCTGACTGGTTCAAAGTGAAGGGAACATACAAACTTGATTTTCCTGCCAAGCCTCTAACAGGACCGCCTCGGGCAGAAACCTCAGTAATCAATGGAACATTTAGAGGATTCATGGAAATCATATTGCAGAACAATGACACCAAGATGCATACCTACCACTTGGATGGATATGCATTTTTTGTTGTAGGGTAGTGACAAATATCCTCTCTTTTAATTGTTTTTGCATGGGTTCATTCTATGCTACTTTTATGGTGATGAGACTAAAATATGATGATTGACTGACTACAGGATGGATTATGGTGAGTGGTCTGACAGCAGTAGGGGTACATATAATAAGTGGGATGGAATTGCTCGCACTACTACTCAGGTGCATTTTTTTCACTTGAAACTGTCATATGCTTCACAAGCAATTTGTGTGATGTTCAAAATCCCATCTTACTGTGACTCAACTCAAGTTGAATGTGACTGCAATTTAAAGCCTCATTTCATATTCGTATCTTTCATATTGCTGACTGACATGCCGGCCTTGTCCAGAGATTTTAGATAAAAGATCTAGAAGTGAACGCTGGTCCATTAATGTAGTCTTTTTCTTGTAAGATCATTAATCCATGAATGTTGATCTTCCCCATATGCCCCAAAGCTTTAGCTGGATTTCCATCCATGAAGTGTTTCAAACTTGACAGTTTGGATTTCAGTTTAGAAATTGAGGGCAGTATTTTATTCTTTAATGAATCCCTTGACTTTTGGGTTATTTTGTATCTTCTTTATGCCGGGTCATCATAATGTCTCTCTTTACTGCTTTTACCTTCATCTAGGTTTATCCTGGGGCATGGACAGCAATTTTGGTATCTCTTGACAATGTTGGAGTTTGGAACCTGAGAACAGAGAACCTTGATTCATGGTATCTTGGTCAAGAAACGTATATCAGGGTTGTCAATCCAGAGGCCACTAACAAGACCGAGCTGCCCATTCCAGACAATGCCCTATTCTGTGGCGCCCTTAGTAAAATGCAAAAGTATGTTATATGATTCTTCTCGACCGATTACAATCAATTTCTGAGTGTGGCTCAATTCTGATTCTGATGCTATTTGTTTATTCTTTAGGCCACAAGATATCTCTTCAGCTCCGTCACATGTGGGGGGTAGACTCAGCCTGTTCTGTTTCCTGATGATCGTATGCACCTTCTCCCCCCTTTTCCAGTAGAATTACATTGTGGGGGAATCCTCTATGTTGCTTCGTGGAGTGAGCAAGGTTTGTGGTTGAGTTTTTTTCTTCCAGAATTGTAAGCCTGGCACTGTTTATATCAATCTTCCGGTGATTTTTACTTGTTCTTTTTTTTCTATTCTTTGTTTATGCTCTTGGGTTTCTTTTCAAATTTGATCGGGACTTCTTGATTCTTTTAGTGGCTATAATTTATGTACATGGATGACAATGAATTGGATGATACATGCAAAGTTGTGAACTTGATTCCAAGCGCGCGAACTTTTGAAGATTTACTTGCCGACTTGTGTAATTTTGTTCTAAAGACTTTGCATTAAGCATCTAGACAGTTGCTTAAGGATAAGAACCTTTAGGCCTAGCAGAAGATGCTTCTCCCAGCAGTATATAAAAGAGACGACGTTTCAGTTGATTGTCAATATGTTATATTCTATTCCTGTCCTAAAATGTCTAATGGACAAATTGACACTCTGTAATTCTGTCAGCGAGGCCTTCAATGTAGTTTGAGTGGCAAGCTAGCAGCAGCTGGTAAGTGCTTGGATCCACCAACGATGCATACGTTAACGGGAAACTTGTCTGGACACCTGTCCATTTTTCCATGAAAATGAAGAAATTGAAACCATTTTTTCCTCTACTACTCTTTCAGCTTCGTTCTTGCTCAATTCGTGTGTTATATTATATTATATTATATATACACTCCCTCCAGTTAATGTATAAGACGATTCTCAAAGCTTTGCATGGTTCAAAATACGAGTTATTGAATAGTTTTTATACCTGTTTTTTCAACAATATTTTCACTTCATTTATTATTCTTTGAAAAAAATAATTCATTAAAATTTCATTTGTCATTTAAGATATTTATCTAGAATATTTAACGGGGATGATTGAAAAGATATATAACTTTTAAAAGATTAAGATTTCAATTTTTTTTTTAAAACTACAATGAAATAATTACCGGTATCTTATAGTATCGCCGACAGGAGGAGTATGTATTTTGTCATAGCATTTCCATATCACAGACAGCTGTAGCACCCAATATGGTTTGTGTTGAATTGACGGTGAAGCTAAGCTAAACTCATGTCCCCTTTTATATTAATATCATTGCTGGGATTAAAATATAAAATATCGCTTAAAGAGGTCACAAAGTTATTTAAATTAAATAACTGAATAGTCAAACTCAATTTGAACAAAGGGGCCAACCCTGAGTTCAATAAAAGGCCATGATGAAATGAACATGTCGAAATTTCGCTAATTACAAACATTAGACTTTTGGCACATAAAAACACAATTCTAAATAATTTCAGAATCTACGAGCATCATGCCCAAATATTTTAATGAAATGGGCTGATTATCAAGAATGAAAAAAACAGAATAAAAACTGTGCCATAAATCTCGCAGGATTTCTAATTTTTTGACAAAATGTTTTAGGCCTCAAAGGAACGACTACTACCACTTTGACATTATAAATAAAATATGAAGATATAGAAAAAAAGGCAATCAACACTTAATTAAAGACTCACATTCTATACTTTTAACTTTTAATTTTATCAAATAGTTTTTACTTTTAATCTAGACTTGTAACTTTTTTATATTTCAGTAAAAATCAAAATACTCATTCTACCAAATCTTGTATATCTTTTATATCTGAATGAATTGTAGTAAGGGAGAGAGTTTGAGACTTTTTTATTATCATTTAAGGCTCAACGTCTTTAGCATGTTTGATATTTGTTGTTAACACACAAACAATTATCATCCCACACATTTAAGAATTACAAATGCATTACTGCTCCGGAAGAAACAAACTACAAGAAACATGGTAATCTAATTAATCTCACTGGCGGCGTCCCCACACCCCCCCCCCCCCCACAAAAAAAAAAAAACACCACATTTGAGGATCCTAAGCCTGACAAACGAAGAGGCACGGAGCAAGCAGCAAAGTACAGAGATTTGATTTCTGAAAATCAGAATTAGCTACCTACATCAATTGAAAATGAACACGTGAGAACGTAGATGCAATCCAACATTAATATAGGAATATTTATATCAGAGGAATCAGTCCATTGGAGGAACCACCGTCTTCTCATGGCGGGCTGTGGAATTTAAGACATTAGAAGTGTCCATGCCAGAGGCAGAGGCTCTGCCTTGAAGAGTAATAAAGAAAAAGACAAAAGCAATTTCTTACACCCAGCTTCGCTTCAAGTCAACCAAACCTCAGACCGATATGCTGAAAAATTTGACAGTCACGGATACTCTCTCTCTTTGTTATAGAAAGGATGCTGGTATTCTTTATATCGTTCCAATTTTATTGGATGATCTCAAAAAAAAAAAAAAACCACGTGTACTTTTTCTGATCCTATATATAAGTAGTTTCTAACTCATTAAAACTAAGAGAAATTAGTTTAAACAGTAAAGTTGTCTTTAAATCGAAGCACATTCCATTTTTGCCCCCATAAACAGTATCATTAAATGCCTTCTTATTACATTGGAATGTGATTAGGAGGGTATTTATGGAATAACTCGTTAAATGTTACACAAGACGATAAAAAGTGGCTTGTGTATCAAAGACCATGAATTTGTTTGAGAACAAGGGCAGTATATAGGGAGATTATGGGGGCAGAAAGTGAGGAGAGAGAAGTAAATAAAGAGAGGTGTATAGTGGAGGAGGTGGTCTCTTCTTTTGACAGAGAGGGAGAAGGCTTTAATCCAAAAAAGGCAGAGGATGCGGAAGAGAGCGTGTTGGAGGCCAGGAATGCCTTACAGGATACACACTCTCCTCTGTGTAGTACTGTGCTGCTTTTGTTTTCAAAGACAAAAGTGCAGAGTACAGCAGCAGCACCTAATACTGTTTTGTGCAATTTGTGGGGCTCTGCTCTTTCATTCTAAAGTTTTAAGTGCTCCCATTCAACACCCTTTCTTGCTTATGCCTGCCAGCATCCGATGCCCTCCTTCCTCTCTTTTTTCCATCTCACGCTTGTCTCTTAAATACCTCTGCTTGGCACCCCACCTTTGAGCTTCCGATTCTATATCCCCACTTTCATTTTTTTGCAATATTTGTGTTCGGAGACCAATTTAACAAAATGTTGGCTTGGCTCCTTAGTATAACAGATGAGTAAGTTCATGGCTGCTTAATTTTGGCTCAAATGTTTGTTTTAAGGTAGATTTGTTTACCTCACAAGTGGGTTTAAAAAACGGAGAAACATGGTCTGATTGACTTGGTTTATGGCCATGCAAGCGATACTTTCTTTCCAAGACCAGGTGGAAGAAGATTCTTGAAAATTAGCGAGACTTGCAAAACAGGCCATGTTTTATTTCATATTTTCTTGAAGTTTACAAATTGCAAGACATGAGATCCTTAAAAAATTAGCGAGGAAGGTTGTAAAGATTTGCAAAATAAGCAATTATTTTTACATATTTTTAAGGTTCTTACTAGCATGCATTCATATGTAATCAAATATCAATCCTTACGCAGATTTTTTTTTTTTGACTTGTTCTTTCGCATGACAAAATTATGGGATATATTTTCAATAATCAAATCAAGTTATGTGCATTTTTTATTCATGATTTACCTTTTAACTGACATTTTTAATGATATTTTAACCTTTTTTTTAAAAAAATCCACTTATACTAATTTGATTGAAAACAAGTTATATTAAATTATAAGTACCTAAATCTTATTCCTGATAAAAAGAGCTACATGGAAAGCGAAAAATCCTTGTGAACTACTCCCTCCAATTCTATAGATAAGAAGAAAATATATTACACAATTTAAGAAAGTTAGTTAATTATAATAATTATATTTAAAAATTAAAAAAAATGGACCAAAATGCCCTATGTTAATCTAACATTAGTATGCATTAATTATTTTTTGTTAATGTAAATTATGAAAGGTGATTTATGAAATGTATAATAAATACTTATTAAAATTGGTAATTCTGCTTATATATAAAGAAAAGTAAAAAGTGATATGTTATAAAAACGGGGGAAGTACTAGAGAAGGCAGGATTGCACTAATATATTGCACGATTACAGTAGTATAGAAGGCTATTTTTCTTGCTTTTGAGGGAGCAAAGTGGTTTTTTTCTTGATAATTACTTTGATAATTGAAAACTGAAGTGTTTGGTCGAAACTATATTATATTTTAAAAAATGAGGTAGAAAACTGGAGCTTCCTGAAAAAAGCAGGTAAACCTTAAAATATCACCCTTCAAATCATTTTCCCGCACATTTTTTGCCACTTAATTTCTCTCTCGTAATCTATACTACAATGTACTTTCTTTTAATAATTTGTGAAATAGAATAATATTAATAAAAATACCTATCAAATAATCTTACTAAACACAAACTACTGTTGTAATTACCTTTTATAGAATTTCACTTGGAAAAAAAAAAAAAAGCTGCAGGCTGAAATCTGCACCAATTCTAAACATATTTTTTTAATCAAACCATTGATCGATATCCGGCCATATTATTGGACTCCAACTAATTCAAATTGAGTTGGGAAGGATCGGATTGGGCATTGAACCTACTCGTGCAAGCTAATGAGATAAAGTTTTTTGAGAGGTTTTTTTTATAGTGCTTAATTAGGAGTTTGGTTTTATTTTAATCCCATAAAATATTGATCTTCAAAAAGAATGTCTTGTCATGAAAACACAAACTAGCTGTTCTGAAAGGATCAAATTGAGACAGTTTTATACTATAAAATGTTTAGCCGGGCATATTTTAGAGTGCAAAGTTGTAATTAAACTGTAATAGGCATGCAAAAGATAGCTATGTAAACAATTTGTCCAAATATAAACAATATGTGTAATAGGCATGCACACAAATAACTATCTACTCCTTTTGATCCTATTTATAAGACACCTTTTAAAAGTAATTTTTTATTTAAAATATAAGATATGTTATAATAATTAAACCATTTTTTAATTTTATTTTTTATTAATTAGCCTAAAGGTATTTAATATAATTGTATTATTATTTAAAATCAAGGATAAAAATGAAAATACATCTCACTTTTTTATAATATAAAAAAAATAACTTTTTTTAAGATACGTAAAATAGTTAAAATTATTCTACAATAAGGGTCGAAAGAAGTATATACAAAATCGGACTAAGTGAAAATATTTTTACTCATAAACCAGGTTTCAAACTTACGATCCTTTAATCATAGGGTTCTTATCTGTCTGTATTTATGGCTCACAAGAAAATGGCATGCATGGATGCGAATTATATGTTCAGTACAATCAGTAACAAGCTATGCATTCTGGTAATTTTTCGCTTGTTAACCATTTGCTAATGTGAAACAGTGCTACTGATTGATGACCCAAATGCTGATTCAATATATTATTAAACATTAATAATATGTTAATAAGCGACCGTATTATACATATATATAGCAGACTCAGTAAAATGAAATAGCTAGGCACGCAGTTATTGACTAAATATATAGTTGAATAGATGCAATAGTAGGGTAGTTGGAAGAACATAAAGATTAAGGTACCGTCTTGGAAGAAGAAAAGTACATGCACCATTTCATAATAAGTATCCTTAATCATCAACGATAAACGAAACGACCTCCATCGACAGACGAATATATAAGTAGTCAAGTAATCATATATAGTCGCCCCCAAGCTTCAGAGCCGATGGACAGACAAAGCTAGTACGGAGACACACCAACATTTGCCGAAGCAAAAAAACCATCTTTCATGTGGACGTCCTCTCCTTCCTGGACAGAATAGAAACAAATGGACATTCACCACCTCAGAAATTAAAGGTCAAAAAGAATATCTATGTATTATTGTGCCTGCAACATATTACGGAAGGCCAAGAGGGTGCATATATGAATGGATACGATCAGTGGATCACATTACCTGCTGGCGCACGTTTGTCTTCTTCATGGTCTGATCAGGCATGAGGCCAAAGTGAATGTGAGGGAAGTGGGCCCACTGAAACACACATCAAAAATAAATACGTCACACTCACACCTATAGCCTCCGAATCACCTACACAACCCTATCTACTGCTAATTTGACTTTAATATTGAAACCCTAATTTGGTAAAGCAGGAACCCTGGTTTTTCTTTCTGGGGGTTCAGGATGATAAGATCATACGTTCTTGGCAGCTGCGCTGAAGGCTTCTCTGTGGGTTATATCGGGATTGATAGACTTGATGCGTTGGATCTCCTCCCTGCAAATATGCATGAATGGACCGCCCAATTAAATTTGTTCAAATTTTTGCAGCAGTACAGGACAAAAACAATTTTAAATTAAAGATCTTAATTAGGATATGGAAATTATAAAAATGGCATTTTAATTCTTAAAATAGTAAAGTACTCACTTAATGAATCGGTTGTAGGCGGAGGGGACTCTCTGTCTTTTCTCAGGAGCTGGACATGGAACACACGACTTATACAAAATATCCAAACACAAGACAGATGGATCAAAATCAATTCCTTTGACTTATAGCTGAAACTTCTGTGTATGTTTGGTTGTTTATATGTTTCATGGCATCATATCATTATTGCCTTCTGGTACTGAGTTCTAATTTTCAAGCAACTATGATTCCGGGGGAGAAACCATGTGCATAACTGCATATCCTTTCTCTGAGATCATCTCCCTATTCCCTTCTCTTTCTCCCATGACACTTATAAGTGGTCAACATCAATTCAAGTTTCTACTAAAGTGATTGACCAAAACATGAACAAAATTAAAACAAAGGAAAACAGTCTCGTAATAAAAACCCACACACAAAACCGGCTCTTGGATATAGTTAGACTCCGTGGCAAGCTTCAATTCGTTGGCTCGAAAATATAAATATTCCTGTTACTATAATTGTTAGGATGCTGATTTCCATTAAAGGCATAAACTAGACTAGAAGCAGATGACGGTGGCATGGCATGCTAAGCCCTAAAGCCACTTCGTCATCTACTGATATGGAAGTGGATATATAGTGATACACCTAGAATGTGTGTAAATAGCTAGCAAAGCAAAAGGAAACCAAGCTTTTCTCATGTTATTGCAGAACCAAAAACAATATGGACTGAACAAGAAAGGAAAACGAGATTTTGAGAGAGAGAAAACATGAATAAAAGATAAAGAAAAACTGTCCGCCAAGATTAGAAAAGAAAGAGCAAAACTAGAATAGCGACAGAAATCTCACGTCTATTGATGAGGGGTGGGCGTGGTAGCTCATCAGCTGTAATCCTGGAAGGCACAGACAAGTCATTGGAAGAGGTGGTCTGGTTGATTAAAAAATTTGGGGTTGGGTTTGGTATCTCCTCCTGCACAGTAATCGGCCATAAATAAACAAAATATTTCTGAGGAGCAAGAGACCGTGCAGCAACAAGGTATATCTATCATATCTTCCACAAATATAGCTAGGCAAGGGCAAAGAAGAGGGGGAAAAACACGTATATACCAGAAGATTGTGAGATGGAGAGTAGAAAGAGTGACTCAAGTGAAATTGGTTTGGTGGAGGAAGAAGCAATCCACGCATGTTAACGTTAACTGGCAGGAGGTTGGTGCAGTGGCCGCATCGCACAGTCACCGTCTTGAACAAGCTGGTGCAAGGAACACTTACCTGAAATGTCAAATGAGAAAACCAGTAAAATCAACAGAGAAATTAAATTTTAATCAGTAACATATATGTATATACATCCCAAAACATCGAGACAAGCAAGGAACATTGAAAAGATAAGGGCTTGCATAAGGTGAGAGCGAGGATATTCGGTGAGAAAAAAGAAAAACCGTAGAAATGCAAAAGAATAAAAGGATATGATATGCTATGGCAAGGAAGTGATAGTTCAAGGTCATACAGCGAGGACAGTGTCACAAATGTTGCAGTGGACATAACAAAGCTGCTCGGAAGGAGGGAGGTGGTCCAGCGATAAGGCAGTGGAAGAGGATGATGACATCTTGGTTAGTCCCTTTTTCCCTCAGCTGAATTTTTTTTTTTTGATTTGATGATGATTGGTCTCTTGATTGATTGATAGATTGACAGCTTAACCACCACGACCTTGGATATGCTTTTTTTGATTATGAGTTATGAAAGTAAGGTGCAGAGAGAGAGAGAGAGAGAGAGAGAGAGAGAGAGAGAGAGAGAGAGAGGATGAACTGTTTGGTCTAGCAAATAAGCGAAGGAAAGAGAAAGGGAAAGATAGAGAAAAGGCACACACAAGCACAACACAACCCTTCTCTTCCTCTGCTTATTGCCCTTGTATATAGCTAGCTAGGGTTTTTCACATGTATGAAAGGCATACATCAAGGGATACTGTATGTCATGTATATGCACATACATGATATATCTCACAAAGGTGAATCGATCTTGAAAATGAATATATGTTAGGAATTTAATTTTTCATGGAAACATGTGTGGTTGGCATTCCCGATGTGAGTGAGAGAGAAAGAGGCGGCAGATGTGGGGGAGAGGAGCCAGAAAGGGACGTGTGCATGGGGTGATATAGCTTTCAAACACTCACCTGTTGTTTTCAGTAGTTAAAGAGAGTGTTGTCCTCTGGTGTGTGCTCCCAAACACAACACCCTTCCCCTTTTCTTTCTCTTCATTTACTTGTCCTCAATTCTCCAACACAACAAAGCCAAATTTCAATAAATAACATTATTCTAATTTCTACTCTTTCCCCGCCCTCGCTCTCTTGGCTCTTCTCCGGCCACACCCAAAGAGCCTCAATTAAACCAAACAAGCTCACGAGTAACAGCCAGCATGCACCTTCGGACTTTAATTTATATATGTTTTCTTTTTCAAAATTTAACTTTTGGTGATTTGACTACTCCATCTTGCTTGCTGACCTTACACAGACTGATACGTATTTAAGTCAGTATAAAAACATCTCGGTGAACAGAAGCCTTGCCTCTTGATGCTTACCACCTTTGTCCTTTACCAAATTTTTATTTTCTTTTTGGCCTCTGCTAGCTGGTCTGGTTAGAATCTTTTCCCATCCCTCCTTCTCCTCCCTAACTCTCTGAAGTCTCCGTTTGAAATCTTGCAAACTACCCAGTGTGTTCAGTGAAATTGATGGCTTCCTATTCCCGTTTCATGATATTTATTTATATGAGAGAGAGATCAGAACTATCACCCTCCAGGCCCATATAACCTTTGTGATTCCCTCTTCCCCAAAAAGACAATCCTGTCATCATTCATCCGCAAGTGGAGATGGGGTGGACTCCAACTTCAATACAGAATTATTAAATGAGTTAGCTAGCACATCGGGGAAAGTTGCATCCTCAACCCAATGCTGTGAATGTATGTGAGACACGCGGTGTGAGTAAAGGGATTTGAACACCATATGTCTACATGGAGAACTTTGTAAACACGTAGAACTTATGCAAATCCATTATTGGCATAATTCTATATATAACCGATAGAGTCATAGGGGTAATCTATTGAATCATGCTTTCTGAACCAGAACAAGCAAATTTAAATCTGAACTAATTCTAAATCAACCAGAATACTGTGTCACCACTTCTTTCCGTTAACAGTGCTGGCGTAATATCATTTTGGCCACAAGAAGAATGATAAATAATTTGTCAACTTAACCATATACTTGGAAGTGCAATTTGTCTTCATGTGCGTTTTTTTTAATGAATATATATATTATATATCTCACGGTAATTGCGCAGACTAAGAATTTTTAGCATATTTTATATATTTCTTATCACAACTGTGAAATTTATCTCATCGAGTTTCAAATTCATGCGATTAAACCTTGCCATTATTTTCAATAAAATGATTTAGATTATGAAAATAAGGCGTGCAGCAAAAAAAAAAAAAAGTTCTTCGGTACGTAAAACTGTTAATCCGAAGAAGTTGAAAAGAATTTTCTTCTATTGGGCAATCTACCCTTAAACGTAACATCAAAAGATGTTTGAAGGATATTATTACCACTTTTAATATAGAAATAGAATGCATGCACCCGATTCTTTACTTTATAGCAATGAACTGCGGGGAACAAACGGAAGATATATATCAACGAACAGGATAAGAGAAAATCCTTCAGATTCGTTCTGTGTAGATTGGAGATAGAGACGTGAATCGTAGAAGAGAAGCGTCCAGTGACGTGGTTGTCGAGAGAGGGATAGTGACAAAAAAATGCACTAATAGTAAAGCTAGAACGAACTAGTTCGCTAGACTGACAGGCATATTAGGGCTTAAATCCAAGTACAGTAATAAAGAGATTTAGACATTGACCACATTGCTAGCGATCGCGAGAGAGAGAGAGAGAGAGAGGTTATTAGGTCCAAATAGAATAGAGCAGCATCATCAGGTTCTCAGTTAGTGCACGTTGCACAACCCCTAAAGCACGCGGCTCGAGCTTCCCATGTAGCCACTTCATTTCACTCGCCGATCAATAGTATGCTTTACTTTGATCGTAATCCCACTTGTGCAATTGAAAAGGATGCTTACTTCGTTTACATTCAACTTGTATAAATTAAAGAAGCGCGCGCGCGAGTTCAGGTGTGTTGGAAAATAAATGGCAGTCTCCTGCAGAGTTTGTTTACGCAAGGCTACTAATTAATGTTTGGGTCCTTGGGGCATATATATGGAAATTGTCAGCAGCTCAGTCCATCGATATGATTTCATCTATGAATGCTACGAGTGCAGTGTACTGAGTTCTGACTGCTTGGACGAGGAGCTAGTGTGATGAATGCAATTGTGTTGCTTAAAAAAATAATAAACAAATATGGTGTTTAGATGAATTTCCCATATGCATACATGCGATGCTGAGTACATAACAAATACACGGGTAGAGGGTAAATAGAAGGTGGAAGCATTAAATATTAAATATTGAAGAAAAGATAGGATGGGGCATGAGAAGAGAAACAAAGAATAAATGGCAATGAAATGGGTGTACGAATAAGGGAAAAGGGAGTGTCTGTAAAAAGCCTGCAAGGAGCTATTTGTTGCTGTGTTGTGGGGATATGAGGATCTATCAAATCTCAGAGACCGATAAAGTGGAAATTCAATGGGATGGGTGTGATTCGATATTATATATACATATATATATATATATATATTATAATTAGTTAGTGATTGATAGAGGGATGGAAGAGGTGGTGGAGAGGGAAGTAGGTAAAGTACACATAGCACCTTGAAACGAGGGCGGTGTACATACATATAGCCTCCAAACGCCACCACCCTATCTATTTCTATGTGTGCCCTCTTCGCTCTCCCCCCATTCATCCATCTACTTTCAATATTTGGGTGCCTTTGATTCCATCTCAGGCACGTTGGTTTCTTAAACTTCTTTGTATTTCTTCTTCGTTCTAATAACATATAACTAGTACAAAATTACTTACATTATAGGACCTGATCGTATGCGTTTTCATATCACTTGTGTCCTTTTGTGAAATCTCTTTTGTTTGTCGTGAGACTCATGCTAATACAAATAACGTTTGGTATTCATCATACAAACAATGATCTCGGCTATGTTTATTTAAACATAAAATAGCTGCTCTGACAACTGAAGATGCAGAGTTTCATCCTATTTTCTTCCAAGTGTGCAGCAAAACTTGAAGCAATATCCAGACGCCTCCCATCTGTGACGATACATTATCAATATTAATTAACATCAATATCAAATAGATAATGTCTAATAAATCATACTTTTTACAAACTACCGATAGTGTGTTTTATTTTTATCTTTTGAAGTCCACCTAATGGTCGAGGAGGTGTATTTTACACACACACACACGCAAACACACAAGAGGATGTGTAAATTTGAAAGGAATAAAAAATATTCGCGCGCTTATTTGTGTTCTTTCCAAAGGGCCTAGTTTGCACCTTGTCCATCTTTGGGCTCAGGTACCAACCAGCCACAGCCTATTTCAACAATATCAGGCCCATTTTGCCCCCTCCCATCCCCTGAACCATTCTCTTCCTTCATCGTTCTATTTTGTATGATCATATACATAAACCGTGTCAGAATTGCATTTATACCAAATTTAAAATGGGTGGCACTATTTATGGCGTGTGATATATGAACATTATTTTATGTTTATAAATTTTATTAAAATATACTTAAACAAAATAGACATTTTTTACCTTTTGTGTATCGCAGAGTTTAAAAGAAAAACCATGTTATTTTTTTTTTTTTTGTTTTAGAACACATGACTAATGGCATTTGTTACACACACACACACATTGATAAATTGATGACTGGTTGCAATACAATATTGTGATGTTATGGGATAGAATATTCTCTGATAAGATGCTAATGACGATTAAATCCAGCAGGGCGCAGCCAAAAACCGTCATTCTCGTTAATTCAATAGTACAGATATAATTAGATATTAACCGAATTATCATGTCCCGGACGAATCACCTTATTCCTTAATTACTCGAAACTTCATCATGGTGCTGAATGGAGAGCCTTCAGAATGCACCGCAATCATCCTCTCCATTTTGCTTTATCAATTAATAATGAATTAATTTGGAAGATCTAGGGGCTGCTTTGTGTTCTCCCAAAAGTTAGATGGCTCTATATATATATATTTATGGGTCCGGTACTATTTGGCAGTTGAATTCAGAGGTGGATTAAATTAGGGATTTTGATGCCGATGCGCTCAAAAATCAGGAAAATGGTCTGACCCCATAGCCAATGACGAGAGAAGGAAGTGAGGAAATGCCTAAAAAAAACAGAGAATGGGGCGGGTAGAACAGAGAGGATCCGTTATGAAAACGGAGGATCCGAAAGAGAGACAAGAATTAGAAAGAGGGGAAACGGGTGTCCCCTGAAGGGAAGACTGATGGACATTGGAATCAGAAAAAGGTACCCTCTCTCATCTTGCTTTCGTCGCCGCAAAGTCTTCTCTTCGTTATTCATTCACTCCTTTCTCAGCACACCAAATGATCAAACTACTTGTTGCCCCTGTTTATCCTCACATGCATGGCTCCCCACTATCCTTTTGGTTTTCTTTTCTTTTCTTTTTTTTTTAAATTTATTTTTTATTTTGGGATCAAGCATGGTTACCGGTATCAATTTAAGCTATGATACTAGTATTTCATGCTTTTTAAAATTTTTTGTGGAGGGTCTACGGCCCAGCAAGTAGCATCAAAATGTCCCTCAAGAAGGGCCACTGTGAATGGATAAGTGTGAGTGTGTATCTAACTCCTTTCATAGGATAGATTAAAAGTAAATTTTCTTTAAAAAGTATAATAGGGGTGGGGTGTAGATTATAGAGTTTAAAATAATAGAAAAATATAATAAACTATAAAAGAAAGTCGTGACATCGATCTCAAAAAACTTGCATGTATTTAGATAAGAATGTTAATTTCTCAATTCAAAGTATAGGCTAACACTAGTTTTTGGCCCGTGTGATTTATGGGATAATTATCAATATGGATTTAACATGGATAAATTCACGTCGTCTTTGGTGGGTATAATAACAACATAGATTATTTGTTTTTCATTATCTTTAGATGCGTTTTGTTGTTCTTAATATGGTGAAAATCATTGAGTGGCTTCATTTTTTTTAATGTTTTCATTAGTTATTTCTCACCGTGATGTCGTTCAAATAAAAGTGAATAGCATAACTAAGATAGGTTGTGAAATTGGTAAAGTCCAATAACTGAAATCCAAGCTCTTTTATTGTTTAGTGTGTTGATCAAGAAAAAGATTTTAATGCAAACAATATTAGAAAGATTAATTCTTTTAAAATTGAATGTTCAATATATAATAAGGAATTACTTCTAGTGCCATGCAAGGGATGTTAATATAATAAAAGAAAAATTAATCTTTCCAAACTTCTATGTAAAACTTCATTTCGCTTCAGTATTCTCATAATGGAAAAAGGAGATGGGTGAACTCTAAAAAAAATTTTAGAAAGGAAATAGTAATGTTTTAAAAAAAGAGTATTAATCTATAAATCACTCATAAAAAATAAATAAGAATAAAGAGAAATGAAATGCAAAAATAGTGTTTGGTTATCAAAGAATTTCGTTGGCGAAAAAAAAAAAAAAGAACTTCACATAACGATTCCAATTCAAAATCAAGTGTATGTGTGTTTACCAATATATATATATATATATATATATTATAGTACATGCCCAACTAATTTGAAATACTCCAATAACACGTTACCATGCACTAAACCCACCCCACTAAATTCACATTTCACGTTGAGCCTAGAAAATAGGGCTCGGAAAAATCCACAAATTCCAGAACTATCAAGTTTTGCGACGTCACGAGTTTCTTCTATATTTTCCACCACTACAAAATTCCGCAGGATAATTAACAACACATGCAAATTAAACATTATTGTTCAGGCAACCTTTTTTTTTTTAGCCATGTTCAGGCAATTGTTAAACTACAGTATAACCAACGGATTTTACAATATGAGTGAAGTGATGATGATTACATGGAATTAGATTAAATTAAAATATTATACACGATCGAGCTGAACTACTTATTCGTATCAAACTAAACAAACATTTCGACCTGACTTGGAATTTTTTTTTTAAAAAAAAGAATGATATACAACGAATAGTCAATGAATCATACACGAGAGGCAACTAAAAATTGTAGATCTTGTGCTTCGAAACTATTTTATCTATGACTTACGGATCATAAGTTTTTATTATAATTATAACATACAATCTCTATCTTCTCTCTTTTCCGGTATAAAATAGTGTCGTTAAACACATATCAGGCCCCGTCATTATTTTTTATTTCATACCTACTCAAAAGAATAGGAGAAATAAGATCTGAGGCGGACTAATTAGCACCCGAGATTCACGCTCACGATCTGCATGTTTTGTTGCACTTGAGTATAGGCTTTGAATAGTTATATCATTTAAATTATTAAAATTCAGACCCATTGTTCTAAATTCATACTATATTTGAGGTTAATGAATAGATAAATTTATCCGAATCATTGATATGAATTCAATCAACGCCTATGATTACCGAATCCAATCTAAGAATATAAAGGCCCTCTCTTCTCAGTTCTCATCGCGTACTGTGCTAGAAAATGCAGACGACGCAAATGGGGAAAATGGTAAGAACCCTAGCTAGAGAGGGAATCGAGCTCCGGCGTCAAAGATGGTCAGAACCAGAAATTAAGAAGCGGTTAATTACTTGAATAAGCCCGTTTTTCCTTTTCAATGTGTGGATTGAGAATACTTCCGGAAAGCATGCCTGTTTGTTTTCATGTGTGCAGAGTCTGAAACATTCAGGATTAGTTGATGGGGAGCACGCCTAATCATTATGTCGCGGCATATTGCTTTAAAGTGATTCAATTCAATTCTTGACTTCCAAACAAGAATATCTGTCGCCAGATTTCATTCACACATTGTTATCAAAAATCTACTACTTGTTGCTCCAAGTCCTTTAGCAGTATCCATCATTATGCACCTCAACTTTTGGTTCGTACCAGAGGAATTTAAACCATCAACATATCATGAAAATGCGCTTCATGCAATGGCAGAACTCATGGGTGTGTGAGGCGTAGCCCTAGCTCGATCATCAGGTTCAAAGGGAGAAGTTTCTTCCCAAAATATCTCACCGTATACATGTGTGATTTCGCTACACACACACACACACACACACACACACACACACACCCTGCGCTAACCCTTACCGGGAAGACACCTTTTGTAGCGATTAGAGCAGAAGTCGTCTCATATGTGTCTTTTCATATATATCTTTATGCACAGACTCGAGGATGGACGCTCTTAAGAAACGTAATGGTTTGAAGTTGGTATGATATACCTGCGTCTTGGTATTCGAGGGGGTCTTCTTTCATAGTCTTCACTTATTCTTCCATGTAAGTTTTCTTCCCCCAGCATCTGCCATGGCTCAAATGCTCTCTTGCACCATGAACTAACAGAAAGCACAAGAGCTGACGCATGCACGTGTATCAGCCCAATGTCAGGCCAGGCCGCATTTCTCTTGGCTAAGTACCTGGTGGCTATTGCATTTTAATTATTTGGTATTAGTCATCATTAATATTGCATTGCTCTTCCCCACAGCATCTGGCTATACATAGCTATATATTCCTTTTGCCCTGTTGTTTGTTTGCGCACGCCTGTAATCGATTATAAACTTCAACCAGGCAGGGGATGCCACAATATCAGGATGTCAAGCTTCACTTTGGTTGGTTTTGTAGCGTCATTTTGAAAGACTGACGCCTAAACTTTTCTACTTAAACTAATTAATTCCTCCAAGTTCTGAAGTCATTGCTCAATGCCATCAAAGCCAAAGCTTTTATCACACACACACATATATATATATGTTCGCTTCCACAGTACTCCGATGACTTTGCATGACCGCCTCCCTCTCCCGCTAATTAGCTGAGACGTCAAATTGGCATTTACTGACATGTTCACAAATTTGCCAAACATTTCCTGTGAGCCTCACGATTACAAAGTTCAGTTCTCTAGCTATGGGGGCAATATTTTTTCTCTCCACATAATCTCTGTAAGGAATGAGACGACATATGCTGTAATCCACTTTACTTTTTTTTTTTTTTTTGGTAGATATCCACTTTACTATTTTGTTAGATGACTTTATTCATTTTACGTCGCAAATTTGAATTTCTTACGTACGCACCCATGAACCAAAGTTATATATTTTTCTTTTTGAAGTTGAAGATGCTGGCACAGAATGGCAGGATATTGGTAGCCAACTTAGCTGGAAGTTGTGTATCCTTACCTGGTTAAAGGGTAAGGCCAACAAAGGTCGTTTGGAAGTGATCTGCACAGAAGATTTCAAATAACTTTATAAAATCTGAAACTGGTAAATCACTTTTAACATTCAGAGACACCAGTTCCACCATGCCCTTGGCCATACAATATATTGGCGTATTTGGTGTTATCCAGTTGCCTCGTATTAATGCATACATGGGGCACCAGACGTCCAAAAACTTCGAGTGCACGAGAAATATGAAGCATTATTATGTACACCAACTTGGAGCATTACTTTAGTTTGCTTTTCTTATACAACGTTAAACTGCAATACTTTAATTTCTATAATTAGTATGCATCATCTAAAAATATCTAAATTTTCAGTTCCACAGGTCAATCTGGCAACTGGAGGTGGACGTGGAGGCATATTCCTGCTGCGCAATTTCTGGCCTTTTGGCTTGATGATCGTTTGCCTGGATAGTGACAGGACCATCCACATGGAGCAGTGCTGCATTAGGACAGGTGGCTTCCTTGGAAGCATCTTGCTGGTGACTGCTGAGCTGAGAAGCCACAAATTTATCAAGAAGTCGCCAATCAGTCACTTGATCATTGTTTCCACAAGGTATGTTCTCTTCCTGAGTGAGTGAATTAGGTGACTGCAAACTACTTCCATTATTGTTGCTGTCATAAGCATAAGGCACCGTTGAATTGCAGCTAACACTGGACACTGAGTAAGGAACTTTGGGGCTTTCAAGTTGGGGAAGCTGAAGGAAAACTTCATGGGGATGGGTTATGTTGTACTGCAACTGAAGTTCCTGCTTGCAAGGTACATAGTAGTGATGGTGGTTGTAATTAGATGCATAAGGTTGAGAAATTGGTCTTGCAGATTCAAGCTCTTGCATCACGGAGACTTGGTCCTCAAACCAGCATGGTGACTCGTACTCCCCCACTCTCCGGATGCTCGTCATTTTCTTCTTGAACACTCGACATACAACCCACCCTTCTTCCTGCAGTATATATAATTAACCATTAATTTCAAGTGATCCCTTGATTTAACATGATCTATGCACGTATGTACTGTAGAATAAATCAAAGTATACCTGAGGAGTTCCATTTTCATTAGTTTCAAGTCGGTACTCATGCATGATCCAGTCAGACTTCTGCCCGTTTGGGGCTCGTCCCTTGTAATAAACAAGGGTCTTTCTCATCCCAATGAGGCAATGCCTACGGTAGATAGCCTTGTCTCTTCCCGTGGCTTTCCAGAATCCTGCTTTTGTGGCTCTATTCGTGCGAGTTCCAGTTGGGTACTTCTTATCTTTGTGGCTAAAGAAATACCACTCATTTTGTTCTTCCACTCCTATTTTGCATAGCTCTTTTGACAAACAAACAAACAACTTACTTTAATGAATCAGTAATGCTATCATCTATGTATATTTAATATTTTCGTTGAACTACTGATCCTACTGGGGCTTTAATTAAGGCGATACCTTGAAGATCCCATGGCTCAATTTTATAGAGATCGACATCTTTAATGACATCTAGGTCAATCCTTTTGGAGGCTACCTTTTTTCTTAGGTAATAATCAACCAGTTCTTCATCTGTTGGGTGGAACCGAAAGCCTGGAGGAACATGTGAAAACGTATTCATACTCGCAGAGATATTTGAACCTGCATTTACTTGGAAGAGAATTGATAGAAAACCCAGAAAATCAGTTTCACGACCTCTCTTGTAACTGGTATATAGATAAAATAGAACATGAAGTTGAAATTTTTTTGTACATTTAATGCCATGGCTACCATGATGTTAGAAAATGTATACTGTCACATTAGTTGCGATAATAACAATATTTGAAGAAAGAAAATTGAACAAGGGGTGTCCCTTACATTACGTAAACATGATAGCTGCAGTTTTGCGGTGCATTAACGAGCCTCAAATATGGGCCAGAAAAAAACGAACCTCAAATAAGCTTGATAGAAAAACGTTTACAATATTGCAAACAAAAGGGCATTGCTACATTCTCCAAGCAATGGCAACCAAAGGTGGAAGCATTATAATTCTACCAAAGAGTCTATGAATTTTGCTTTGGTACATAGACAGAGGGCAAACTGTTGTTTGAATCTCAAATTTTCCTCTGATTACTCGCAGTTAATAACCATACCACATCTAATAATTTCAAACAACGAAATTATTGCCGTGGTCCTTAATTATATGCCATAGCTGTATATTATTAAAGTTAAACACTGAAACCTACATCAGATTGTGTTATCCCTGCTAGTCTTTATCTTTCTCCCTACTTTTTAACACACATCTAATGAAAATTTGCGTCCCTCTTCTATATTTCTTAGCTTCCTCGCAACAGTGAACGACTTTCATTGATATCCTGATTGCACACCTAATGGAAGATTTTGCTTAAATTACCCTTCTCTCTTGCATGTCTTTATATGATGAACAACTTGTGCAATTACAAAATCACCGAAGGATATTAAAATAGAAGCCCACATGTATATGTGAGCGCGCACTCGTCAAATGATCACTCTAAGGCTAGTTAATTAACTGGTACGATTTTTTCAGAAGGAACACAGAAATAGATATTGAAATATTTTGGAATACGCATTTGAAGAATTTCATCTTTTTGTGGACAGTTTTCTTTGCACTGGTTTATATACCTTAGCTGCTCTTCTAATCAAAGTGTATGTGTTTTGCATGTAACGTACTGTCCTATCAAGTATATTTAATCAGAAAACGAAGGAAGAAGTACCTTGCCCCTGAAATATAATGTAGATTAAAATGATACGGCGAAGGAACAATAACTTCTCATTTATAAGCATGTATGACAATGGACCGATGGACCAAATAAAGTTGTTTTCATGAGACATATATGAGAAAAAAAGATACAGCCGAATAGTGGTTAGGATTTCTTTATGCAGCAGATGGATATTATGGGGGCGCAAAATTAAGAGAGGTCTGTTTTCATGAAATATTAAGTTATTAACTCCAACCAAAACACTGGTGATCAAAGTCATGCATATCCTATGCGACGTTTGTATATTTGACTATAGGGCTTCTTTTCAGTCCCTTTTAGTTCTCGTTTGTGGTCGGAAAAATGTTACTTGACTCGAAATCGAATAGATCATCTTCCATTTTCATAATTTGGTTAAAGTAAAGACTTAAAGAGGGGGAAGCAGCAGATATAATAGAAAAGCACACGATTGAGAAAGCACCTTGATATATAATTATGGATGACTCTTCCGTCCCAAAAGGGTGAGAACTGCAAGTAGAATTTACTTGCAGATCTGATCAAACCAGCCTCGTTTGCAGGGAACTTTTTGAAGCTGCCTTCATGGACCTTTACAACGTCATCGATCCAATTCAAGAACCAGACAGAGAAAAGAGAAGACCGAGGAAAGAAAGGCAGGGAAAGACAAACGGACAGAGCAAAGAAGAAAGCCAAAGTAGCAATATTAAAAGTGGTCCTCGGGAATTGAACCGATGAATCCCCCCTCGCCCAAACTATTTTAACCAATCTGCTCTGATCAGGAAGAGTGTCTAGTATTCAATAGCACACTCGGAGAAGGAGGGTGGGCGAGAAGTTAGATCCCGAGAATTTCTGAAAAAGAGAGGGAAGGGAGGCTGATGGATGCGAAGGCAGTCAGGAATGGGAGAACGGGGAAGAGATAGGATTAAATAGGAAGAAAAAGCACGAGAACCCTAGTAAACCATCGCTCTCAATAATTTCTCTCTCCTTATCTTTCTGAGTTGGAGCTAGATTGCTGCGAAAGTTTTCACTTCATAAAATGGTGGCGCTAAAATGGCTCCAGATTGATAGAAAGAGATGGAGAGAGACCTAAATTTCGAGCACCACCCACCACCAACTGATGATGCAGACACATTAAAATATAGTTCACTGGGTGTCTGAGGAAATGGCCCGATCGAGTAACAGAGAAAGAAATGGAAAGATTAACTTTGAGCCAGGAAGATTGGAGGCGTTGTGAACACAAAATTAACAAATATAATATTGAAATTGATTTTTGTATATACTGTGTGCATAAATACATGATGATATATAATGATATAGCTAGGCAATATTGATGAAGAATAATTTTTTAGTGGCGGGCGTGGTCCTCATGGATTAGAACTTTGGAATTGTGGGAACATATGATACCTCCTCCCGCCAAAAGTTGCACCTTGCTCCAATTCCAATATATATCTGCATTCTTCGATGTTAATCGTTCACATGTTTCCATTGGTCGATCACCACCCTCCGCTGCGCATGATTTTCCTACATTTTTTGGCTGTCTCTTTGGAAAGATGACATCTCTATATTCATGTTTCAAACAAACACTGTTCTTCCATCATTATGCATATTTTTAGAAACTAGAAACTGTGTGTTTATAATTAAAAAAGCGTGGGATGTCCTATATAGAAAGTTAACTATAACGACCATTTCCCTATCCCAATCTTACCTTCTTTGCTTCCTGTTGCTGTGGACTCGCTTGTTTGGGAGCAAAGAGGAAGGAGAAGTTAAACATTTTTGAAAAGTAACGAAATTTTCTTTACTTGATTTGCTAAAAGGCCTTACGCTTCCTTCACAGCCCGTAAAATTACTTATTATGTAAGTAGAATTCACGTAAGTTTGCTTTCCACGTCTTTATTGTATATTACCAAACACACCCTTAAAATTACCAAATAAATTCAATTAGAAGGATAATCGTGTCTTTAGAATTAAAAACTTATTTAAAGAATTTCATATGAAATTTTAAAAAAGTTAACCTTTTGGGAAGTATATACTTATTCTTGAGATATCAACTTCGTAGAGAAGTTCAATAAATTGAACGATATAATACTGATAATTTTTTGTGTCATTAACAAGTATAATATTAATAATAATAAATCTAAAAATGGATAAAAAATTATTGTGTTTTTATTAATATATAAAAATCACTCATATTAATTAACTGAAGAAACTAACATTTTTGGATTCATAGCATCATCATTCATCAATGAAAACGTACAGTAACAAGGAGTGGTGAAATGATAAACTTTTATGCTGAGAAAATTAACTGAACCATTATTAGCGATAAATTAATTCAGTTTATTTCAGTTGTTTTTTCATATGCAGGTAGGGGGGTTCATGACTTAAAAAAAAGTTTTTGTGGTGCTTTTTTTTCATAATGTTTATTAGATGCTTCAAGATCCAGTATTATCTAATACTGGGAGGTAACGTTTGTTTTTTTTAAAAAAAATGCTACCTCGTGTCCAATACATAATAATGTACATTTAAAGTTTTAAGCTCGCTACCCAAAATTATTTATAGATTTTACCTAAAAAAAGGCTACTAAATATGCATTACTCAAAATCAAATTGTAGAAGTGATTGAACCATGTACAAGCCAAATGGTTAAAAGTAAAGAAAAAGTACGTAACAAGTAAGTGAAATTACATTATTCAAGGGCCATGAATTTAATTTTGAGAGGACACAATCTAATTGTGATTTAAAAAATACTCCTTTCGATTCTATTTATAAATCATTTCTGCTAATCTCATTAATATCAATACAGTAAAGGTATAAGAAATAAAAGTAAGTTAAATTTCAAATATAACTCTAAAGTGAAAAACAAAAGGCAAACAAATAATATAATATTTTTTGTCTTTCTCTCTCTAACTTTTTCAAGGTAATTTGGAGATTTTAATTTGAAACAAACCAATCCCATCAACTAGTAATTTATAAAATGAATCAAATTATGATTCTAGAAAGTAACTAATATACAAAACTGAAGGAGTAAAGTTTAACAAGCTTCAACTTCCTAATTATTTTTTTAAAAAAGAGGTTTGACTTTTACAGAAATCAGTACTTTTTTTTTTGCCTTCCAAGGTCAGGAGTTAATATTTGGATTAAAGTATATTTTTCTCTCTATATTTTCTATCAATAAGTGTTGGATATTCGATGCTAATAACTGATGTAACAAAAATCTTCCTCTATTAATAATATGTTAACTAAAGGGAATTTTTACTCCTTCAAAAAAAAATGTTAAGGAGTTGGTCAAGAAAAAAAAATGTTAAGGGAAATAATGCCTTACTTGTTAACATGGGATGTTCAAAATTTTTGAAACAAGGTACTCTTTCCATTTCAAATTATATGATATTTTTGAAAGAGTTTTTTGTCTCAAAATATAAGATATTTTGGATAGATTAAGATTTTGTTAAATGCATCGATTTTAATAGTACCCTTTATCTTTATAATTAATTTTCATCTCTTCTCTTTTCAATATATTAAATGATATATATTTTTAAAATTTTACATTTTTGTTTTGAAAAAATAAGATTGTGTGTGTGGTGTCACGAGGTGTGCCTGAAATGCGGGGTCTCAAAAGATGAAAAGACTGAACTTTTAATCAAATGTGAGAAACTTGAGCTCTCTTACCACAGTTCACTTAGATGTGAGAATGTAAAGTAAAGAAAATTAATGTAGATACATGAAAGCAGAAATACATTAATTAAAAAAAGAGGTGGCGGGCTATGCCGGTCATACAACGAAAAATAAAAACTAAATTTACATGCTAAAAGAAAAAAATAAAATAAAGTAGTAGATGCAAAATCTGAGATTGATAAGTTGTTGATTCTGATCTCGATTGTTGATAGAAAGCTTCTCTATTTATAAATGATCTTGATTTAGTGTCCAAGCCTCATGATCTCCAATTTTTTTAAATTTAGAAAGCACTTTCTTTATCATGGCCACTCATTATGAGTGGAGTGTGAATGATTTTGACTTAATAATTAAGGTTTCATAAATATTTTTTTAATTATTTTAAAGCTAATTAAATTGAGTTGAATCTGAACTTTTAAATTTAAAATTTGAGTATAAATAAATTATTAAATATATTTAATAAAATTTATTAATATATAAAATTTTATTTAAAAATATTTTATAATTTAAGATGGAGAAAATAAAAAAAAAAAAAGCTCTGTTAAAAAGTAACTTGGAGGCACCGCTGTTACTGGTGGTCTCGGCATTGTAGGTCAACGCCAGACAAGAGGCCGGAGCTGCTCTGGGGAAGTGGACGCAGAGAATGTATGGGAGCCCACGCGAGTATCCAAAAAATGAAAAAAGCCGAAAAGGAAAACGGCAAGGCTGTGTGACCTCTGAATATATTAATCAATAAGCTCTCTCATTTTAAGGTTTTGGATAAATTAAATGCACATTTTATTTAAAAATATAACATATTTTTTTAAAAAATTAAATATTAAAAAATATAAATATATTATATTTTAAATTTTTAAGGTGTAATTAATATATTTTTTAAAAAAATTTAAAAAATAAATTACTTTATATTTATTTTAAAATAAAATATTTTATTATTAAATAAAAATAAATAAAAAATAATGTTAATTTAAAAATAATTAACTATTAACTATTTTATTTAAAAATAAAATTTAATTAAAAATATTATATATTTTTGAATGGAAGAAGTAATATACTCCTTTCATTTAAAAAAATAAAATATATTTTAAAAAATTATATGTTTAAAATTATAAAATATTTTTAATTTTTTTAAGTATAATTATTATTTTTTTAAAAACACCTTTATTAATAAATAATTTTATATTTATTATAAAGTATTTAATAAAAGTAAATATAAAAAATAAAATTAACTTAAAAATAAATAATTATTTTACTATGAGTCAAATACAGTTGAAAATGACATACATTTCCGATCGAAGGGAGTATAAATATATCCAACAAATTATGCAGTCATTCTTCCTCACGCGGCCTCTGGTTGGTTGGTCTGCAAAATCTCTCCCGTTAAAATTACACTGTACTATAATTTAAACTTGTGATAACACCCCGCCCCAGCAGCCAGCCGCTGCGACGAAGCGCCAAAGGGCAAGCCCTGAACCGGAGTGACGCGGGACCCACTGGTCAGGCGGGCGTGGCTGCCCCACCATCATTAGCCTCGCCATTTTGGAAGTGGGCCCCGACCTTTTGTTTCGTTTGGAGGTTAAGTCATGTCACGTCACGAGGAGGAGGACCCGACCAGCCACAAGGAGAGCGACACGTGGTAGAAGGCGGTTGGTGATTGTGGGTGCCGGCACGTCAAGCCACACCTCCGGATCGCTTCGTCCGCGGATCCGCCTGCAGGTCTGGCTGTTTTTGCTGATTTTAAAATCACACAAGAAGGGTATCCTATCACTCTCACCAAGGCTCCCCTTTGTTGCGCTTTTCCGTTCGTAACTAAACCTTTGGGCCTTGGGCGAGTAGTGAAGCTAAAGTCTCACGCCTTATCCATCTCTCATCTCTCCTTCCTCACTTCTACTCTCTTTCATCTTCCATTTTTTACATTGTTCAATGACGAAGTTAAGCCAAATCTAATGTTGTAACGCCAACACTTTTATCTGGTCCTGCAGAGCCACATCCATACATTATCTTGTCCATCATATCAGCTTCTCAGTATTACTTGTATAATTACTTTATTATTTTTGGTGAAATTACTTTGCTATTATTACTTGGCATCTATCAGAGTATAGTATGATAGGTTGATTGAACATACATGAATGAGCACGATGAGATATAGTGAGTGGAAGCAGATGGAAGGGGAGGGAGAAAGTGGGATCAATTAGCAATGATTTCTGATATCGACACTCACATATTCTTCGTCTGGGTTCCACACTCTCCACAAACATTTTAATGTGAAGCGATATATTGTGCGCTTCACTCTTCCCGTTTTCCCTTCATCACTTTTTCACTTTTAGGAAAACTGCTACTATTTCTTAATTTCTTAGATATATTAACAATAACTATAATAATAATTGGTGTTTAGATGGGGCCGGGAAGACTATCACACTCTTTTTGGGCACGTATAGTGCGAACTTGTTGGGGACGTTGAATGTCGAGGGTATGAAGTAAAGACTCGGCAAAATGAGTAACAAGTAGGCCATACGTAGACCTAAAAAGTATGCAAATTTATGTGTGAAAAGCAAGAAACACAATCCAGAGGAGGAGTGCAGGCAGTGACTTTTTCCCCAGCTCCAAGCCATCCTCAGGTTGCTCATGGCTTACTATATTTGCTTCAATTTTAACTGTCTAATTCTTCTTAATTAATTACTCATGCCCGGATACCTATCACGCCAATCTGTTCATTTTCGTAAAATTCAGACAATTATAATAGAAATTAAAGGTGGCGGAAACAAAAGAGATTTCAGGCTTTTCGAGCGTATATATGGAGGGATGGCACTGGATATGAAAGTATATGGGCGCACGTGATGAAAATCTAATATTCCACATTCCATTTTGTTGTCTTCACCTGCGCAGACCTGCATTTTCCTGTCTTTTCTCACTTTCACTCCCACTGGGTATGGGCCTGAGGCTGAACGTGAGACCCTTATGTGTTTTCTGGTTGACTCCCATTTCTGACACCATTTGCACTAATGATGATTCTTACCCCTTCCTTTGCTACTAATAAAGTTGGAATTAATGGAATTAGCTGAAACCTTATGGACAGGGCTGGCATGTTGCTGCGCTCGCCGCTCTTTTGGATCCCAGTAATTTAATATTCACGGTTAATCCTTAGACAACAGTACGTGGTTTTAATGAATGCACCGCTCAATTAATTAATAAAGGATAACAATGTACTGAATAAAGCAATGATTCTAAAGCCTTTGATATTCCAAATGCCTGGATTATTATTTATTATAGCCATTATAGTTATCCCGAATGCAAATAAACGCCCACCAACTTCTTCGCTGATGATGAGTTCGCTGACTAGTAAGACTGTATCACACAATGATTCCATACGATCAAGAGCTTTTCTCAAGGGGGAAAAACAAATTACCTGGCTTAATTAATTGGCTACTAACATGTCAGCTGGCGAACCTCCCATGCTGATGAAAAAAAGTTGTTTAACAACAACAAATATTCCCTCCTGTCTTGAATATAGAAGACTCCATTAATTAATTCATGAAGATTAAAAAAAAATCGTTAAGTTGATTATTTTCTGTGTACTGTATAAACAATGCGTGTCACTTTTTCTAAAATACCCCCTCTTTAAAATGAAGGTATTAAATGCCAGAGAAAAAGATTGAGAAAAATAGTGAAATTAATAAGGGTAATGTGAAAAATATTAAATAAGGGAAATAGAGAAGATTGAGGTCCTATAATTTAGAATCAAGACACATTCTTTAACTAAAAAGTTTGGTTTATAAAAGTTTAGGTGAATTAAGTATCAGAAGTTAACCAGAATTAGAGCAGAAAATGCCGCCGGGTAAAAGACGAAGGGAATATTATACTCATGGGAGGTAATAAGTGCTCGCAATTCTTAAGAATACGTTGGATTTAATTACTCCCAATCCACTACCACTGGTCAATCATAACAGCCAACGTACATAATAATAATGCGAAACGACTGTATATGGTAAATTAAAAATGGGTAAATATATGTGAGTAATGGATGACTATTCGTAGGTCAACTGTTGCAGCACGGAAACACATGCAGCACTGGCATCATGCATGATCCGTTGTCTGTATGCGTGATGAGTGATATCATGACCGTCTCAGTGCCTTTCTCTTCTCATTATGCGTCGTGCCTCATTCAGTTTGCAACTATCTGGCCAACGCACGGCATAACATTTTGGTTTATTTGTCCCCTTCAAAACAATAATACATGTTGCCAATTATAGCATTAATAATACGAGAATTAAGTAATGAGAGACAAACACGGTTAGAGACAGTGGATGTTGGAATCATCACCCTCCTCCTCCATTTTATCCCTTGCCATGTTGATAAATTTTACTAAACATGTGACAACCACAATCTCCTATACTTGAACTTTTATTTCTTTTTTCCTGGGCTCTGCCTACTCATGTTAGTTAAGGAGGCGCATGTGGTTTTGTCTACTTTGACTAATTCATGGCGTGCTTCTAAACATTAGGATTAATTTCAAACGCACAAAGTTGATTTGCATAGGGTGCTTTCTTAAGATTATTGAAGATAAACTTACACCTTGACTGGCCTTCAAACTAACTTATAGGAATGACGCACCCATTTTTTTTTTCTTTTTTTCAATTTGCATTCGGGGTGTGATTCTCTTCTTTTGTGATGACTGATGAGATTCCCTGGCAAGGAGATTTTTTTTTTTTGGTTGAAAAAAAGGTGCACCATAGGGAGGCGTTAATCTTGACTTAATATAAACAAATTTCCGTTCTTTGTTTTTTTTTTTTCACTGCTAGAATGCCACTTGCAAACAAGGATTGGTCAAAAAAACCTGGGAAGGCTCCAGGTTCTGTTACAAGCTGGGAGATCTTATAGGCGTGAGAATAAAGGGCCAAGAATACTCAGGCGGGCTCGAATGAGCTACAAAAGTCTAACAAATAGTCCAATACCACACCATGTTCCGACCCAAAGAACGCTTTTTCTTTTTCCCTTAAAAAAAAAAACTAGAAGAACGAGAAATTTAGGAGCGGTTCAGTTTAGTTACTCAGAAGTAGACTTCTCAAAAAGTAAATTTATAATTTCTTTTGGGTAAAATATTTTATAAAAAAAAATTGAATTCTCAAGAAGTTCTTTATTTGGTTACTTTTGTATTTCCAAATTGAAAATATTTTTAAAATAAATAAATTCTTTGTTCACATGAAAAACAGAAATACCTGTCCTCCCCTCTCCACACCTTCTCCCCATGACAGGACTCAATGAGAATTATTATAGGGAAAGCATGTTATAGAGGAGCAAGGAGCTCTTAATGATGAACGGACATAGAACACCATAAAACTAAATGGCCTTTTATAATGCAACATAATCTCCCGTCATTCCTTCCTTTCCTACGATCATAAAGAACAATCAATACCCGCCATTCCAAAACTATTGGTTTATATTACTCTTTCTACAATAAAAACATGCCACGGTTGAAAATTCTCTTTCATAATTCCGACAATGCGCCTCAATCGACAACTACGTACAACATGTCTTCCGGCATCTTGAAATTGGGTAAGCATTTTATCCGTTTACAACTAGCAAAAATTTTGTTTATACAAAGCAAGTTTTCCAGCAGAAAGACCTAAAAACAAGCTGACTACATAATCTACAAAGGGTCACTGTTAACCTGCTTCTATTATCATGTCCCGGACCCTTGGTTTTGGCTTGCGATGAGATTGAGTCTTTTAATCACCAAAATCAGTGTTACAAATTACAATGTAGAACTGCACCAGTTCGCTATCATTCGACATTACTTCTTGTCATTTAAAATCAATTGTCGTGGTACAAATTATTTCCCTCCAAGTGTGAAATATATAGCAGCACATCTATATATGCACATTAAGGTCAACGACAATACTGTATGCCCTAAATCTGACATTTGAGGGCTACTGGTTTGCCTGGTGTTATCTATAAAACTATGAAGGATATTTATTTAGCTACCTCAAATTAGAAATTGCAGAGAAACAAAACACAATTGTTCATAAAGACTACAATCCACAAAACAAGGATGATGGCAGCAATTGAGAAGAGCCAAAAAGATCAAGCACTGTAACCCCTATTGGATGGAGGCCAGAGCCTATCGTGGCCAGTGCAGGCCGCCATGCAAGCTTCCTCCAGGGAGGCCTCAGAAACGCCTTTGTTGCAAATATTGGCGAACGCACGCATGTGTTTCATGCCATACTGAGCCAGCGACCCACAGTGAGTTTCGAACACCCGCACCTGCATGCAACCCCATGTTCGGCTTCATCATCAATTCAACGCGTTCTTTTAAATTCCACGATACCTGGAAAGCTAGGGAAGTTCTGTTTACCATTGATTTTAGGCACTTCCAATCATCCACCAGGGGCAACCCGGATGGTCTGACTGAGTTTAAAACAGAGGAACCTTTTGCCGGTCCAAATAGAAACGTTCCGATCAATTCCACACTACCATCTAAATGCTTTCTGTGCTTCACCGTCTCTGTAATCTGCTTCAGAATCATCGCCTTCTTTCCTGCTTCATTTCCGGTTCTCTTATACTGAAAGATCAAACTAATTTTGATTAATGTGATTGGTCACGGAGTGATGCATGTTTCAATTTTATAAGAGAGAGATGATGACCATCTGCCACATGAAGAAAATATCCGCGTCTCTCTGGTTAACGACTTCCATTTGCGCTCTTAACCTGACGTTGCCGGGAGGGAAGTTGACGGTCGCAGGATCAAAACCTTGATACATATAAAGCTTTTCAGGCTTGATCCTGCTGTCCCCATACTCCATCACGTGGGAACCAAGCGCAAAGTTGTTAGAATTGGAAGTCCGCCTCTTAACCTGCACAACCAAATTACCATGTTCATTAATTATTTTCGTTCTCCTCAAAAATTCCAGTAAGGTCACACTGCAAATATCTTACCGTCTCATATTGTTGCTCTATAGTTTCTCTCTTCAGATTGTGAGTCTCACTGCAGCGAAGTTAGTTTCCGCAATTAGAAGATGAATGTCAACGTTAAAGACTCTGAAGCTTTGAGAAGGGCAAAAATGAGTGAGATGATCAATACCTGTCCTCCATCCAAGCAACGCTATACAAATCCCCAAGGCAAGTGATGTATTCTGGAGGCGGATGAGGTTCCATCCCAGGACAGTATGTTCCGAAGCTACTTTCTTCTGCGTTCGATGCGGTTGTTACATACACATTCAGATCTGTGGGCATTACACCCTCAAATAAGCTCCCACTTTCACAAGCTTCCACATATATAACCTACAAAACCCAATCATGACATGCATCTTTGATTAGTATTTACCAAGAAGCAGCTTCATCCTTTCTGATAGGCAAATCACACTTGTCCCAAAAAAAAAATAGTGGGCAAATCACACATCATCTCAATTCTCACCATCTCCTTGTAACCACCAGATGCATGTTTCTTCTTCAAAACATCAATGAAATCCTTAGCATAAATATACGGCGGGTTTGGCATCCCTGTAATCGAAGAGCAATAATTACTGATGAGCTATAACTCTAGTAGCTTCTGCATGAAAATTAATGCTTGCAGCTTGGACATGAATGGAGAAAAATCATATGTTGGGCTCACCCAGAACACCGGGACCTCCATGATCAGAGTAATAGATGAAAATCCTGTCATTGGGCTGACTGTTGATCACCTTACCATTTCCACCCTTCACTTTACTCTTATCGCCAAGAATTACTGCATACAGGTTCTCTGCTGTCACATTCTCTCCTGTGTAATCCTACAACCATGTGTATATAATATATCAATGTCATCAGTTCCATTCAATGAATAAGCAGCATAACGAGTTTCTGCTAGTCTATATATATATATATATATTTTATAATATTTTCCCCTTGATTATTAGTCTATTCAGCTTTCGAGCGAGCTTGTCTGAACCACAGAGGTATGCTTTTGAACTAGCCATTCATGGACTCGTACTCTTTAGTCCTACTGCTATGCTCCACTGAATTATTAAAAACTGCTATGGTCCACTGACTTATTAAAAGGGTCATCAAAATCATTAAACGAAAGAGAGGAGAGGAGGAGTATAATGTCCTCTGTTATAGATCAATAACATCAATTTAATTAAGTTTCCTCATAAAAGTCATATTTACCAAGAGACTTGCTGGAACGATAAGTCGATAACTTCCCTCAAACTTCAAGTGTCAACTTTCAAGTAGTTTCCTACTGTACATTTTTTAAACAAAATATAGCTATATATAGAAATTTTGCAGTTTCCAAAGTAGAATTTTCTCTCCATTTTGGCTCAAAGTGTGTTGTAAATTTCTGATCATAAAAAACAGGGGAAAAAGGTTGACTTCTTTTTTGCATACTGCATACTGCAGACCATACGGAATGTGATAAAAGAACTTGGTCCCGGGACGGTGATATTAGTAAGCTGCGGACTTAGAGGCTAGAGCCAACATAAAGTAGGAATGAATGTAAGCAAACAATACCTTGGGGACGCCAGCATATACATCTGGCCCCTGAGGATTGTTGATGATGACTCCAGGCCTGGGATTCAACGCGTTCATAGCTATGTCATCATACATGAACACCACTATGTTCTCTTCCTTCAGCCCTCCCTTTCTAAGCAACTGGTACGCGTGGCACACATCTGCCTGCACTTTCACAGGCGTGTCTTCAAATCATTAAACCCTTCTTTCCCCCTGAAGTCGATTATTTCATACGGATAAAGGAAAGGAAATGATTACTTCAGTTAGAAATGAAAACCAAACTCACTTGATGCCTGTAATTTCCATAGCCAGATGAACCCGCCACCAGAACCGCCCACCGAGTGCCAACTTCTCTGTCAACATCCACCGGTTCATCCGACCCAGTCGGCAATTGAACCACCGACTGCCAACTGTCTAACCTCGTGGCTTCATGCGCTCCTAGTAAAATCAACATCAACAGCGTCCATGAGATGCTGAAAGTGAAGCCATGAACCGCCATGGCAGCTGAACCGGGCGACGAGGAATGAGAAGTTGAGGTATAGTAACAGAGGAGCAGCAAAAAGAGAGAGCTGGGCTGTGGACAATGGGGGAGAGGTGGCGAGAGGGAGGTTTAAGAAGAAATGGTAGGAGAAGCCATGCAGAACAAGAGATTGACACGAGTGAAATTGTGGGGTCCTTCACTCTTTAGCAATCAACAGGTGGGCGTGCGTGTCTCGTTTAAATTCGCTACTACCAGACCTTTCTCTGTTTGTATTCGGTTTTCCTGTTTCTTCTTTACGGAATCTCACTTGTGTGAAACATCTCAAGTGCCCTTTCTACATAGAAAAAATGAGTTTTAAAAGGATTAATTAATTTAATTTAAATTTTAAGTGTTAATTTTAAAAAATTTATAAGTTTAATTTTTAATTTTACAACTTCATTGAAATAAATTTATAATTTATTTTTTAAATTTTAGCATAGTTTTAAAAATAAATAAATTTATTTTTCTTGTTAAAATTTGAAACACAAGTTATAAATTTATTACAACAAAATTATAAGATTAAGAGTCAAACTTATAAATTCTTGTAAGTTAACACTTGAAATCTAAGTTAAATTAATTGATCCTTTTAAAACCCCTTCATCATTCTCTCTTCTATTTATAAGGGGGAAAGAGTTTTTTTTATTTTTTTTATAAATTATTTCATTAAATTTTTAATATATGAATATTGGAGATAGAAAGTATATTATTAAAATACATATATTTAATAGAAGCATAATTAAAAAACTTATTAAATTTTAAACTAAAGTTAACAAATTTTAAAATATTTCTTAATTTGGGAGAATTTTAATAAAAAACCCTTTAACCACACGTTTTTAAATTCAAAACCCCTAAATTTATAAAAATACACTGCAGTTTAGGAGTACTGATTTGATATTAAATTTTTGAGTGAAATGATAAAATTATTCCTCATTTAAATTAATATCTAAATTTTTTTACTTTACTTATTAATTGTTCTACTTCACTTGTTACTTTACTTTTAAAATGTTGTTAATCACCCAACTTAACCTGTTTTCATGTTAGGTGTTTAAATTATCTTAAGTCAACTTATTAATTTTTATGCTATATATTATTCATTTACTTATGAATTGTTATTCATTGCTCTATTTAACTTGTTTATTGTCAAACTTTTACTTAATTTTATTTCAAAAAAATAAACTAGTGAAATAGAATAATTAATAATATTTCATAAGTAAATCAACAAGTGAGATAAGGCAATTATGATATTAACTTAAATGAAAAATAATTTTATTATAGCAATTAAATATTAAATTAGTATTTTTAAACTTTAGTAAAATTTTAAAAATTTAAAAGTTTTAAATATAAATAAATGTGATAAGGAGTTTTTATTGAAATTCTCTTCCTTAATTTTAATAAAACAAAAAAAATTATACATAGAAGAAAGAGAAGTATTATTTGAAATAAAGCAAAGGAAGGAAAGAATTGCCTTTTTGAGAGAAACGAGAGTTGACCTCATTCCGAATACAGTTTTTTTTTTTTTTTTACCCCAATTTTTTAATGAAGCGCTGATAAAAAGACCGTGCATCCATGAATTCGTGTATCTGAGTCTTTGAGTCAGAGGTTATGAACATTCCTCCGGGATCGAGTTCATCGCCTCGATTTACTACTCATTGATGGGAGATTCCGGACGATTGTCGAACAAACTTCCATTGAACACTTCAAAAGTCAACTACAGTTTCATTAGGATAAAATTCAACTCCACTCCCCTCTCCCCCACTCCTCCACGCTCCACGCACAACACGAGATAAAGCCAAAAAAATAAAAGAAAAAAGAAAGAAAAGGATAAACATTGACCTAACTCATTTCTGCTTTGATTTGGAAATGACAAAATATTTGCGACCTTCGTTAAAAGACAGGGAGGCAATCAGAGACATCATTCCAGATTTCAACAATTAGATCGTGGCTTGGGCCCCAGTAATTTGATTAATTTTTCTTTTCCACTAATCATATATTTAAGTATCCATCAACTTTCGCTTCTTGAACATGATTATTTGCGTAAAAGCAAGCAAAATGATTATTTAACAAAGTATATTGGTAAAAGTAAAATCAATCTCCATCGAGCTGTCAAGTGTATACCGTATCCCATTACAAAATAGTTTGATTTCCAATTCCAACCTCTGTGGTCGCGTGTTATACCATGCTATGGTAAAATTTACACCAAAGGCTCGCGGCTACAAATTTTACAATTATTATCTTCTTAACAGCATAGTTTGCCTCGAAAGTTAAAAAGAAATCTTTATGGTGAAGAAGAAAACGTAAATGATACCATACTACACTACATTGTAACGTACTTGACAACAGCCCCACGGAGCTTCTCCATGAATTCTGCCGCTTGTTTCTGCAGCTCAGGTAATATGAAAACATGTCATTTCATAATGCAAAATATAAGCAACGGTCCTCACAATTACTATTTACTACATTGTCAATGAGCTATAAGTTTGTGTGTTTGGTTCAACTAGTTCTCCTTTGCTTTAATGCAATCATCTCCTGCTAGTCACTTGCAATGATCCTAAGCTAATTACTAACATTTAGGAGAATTACACCCAAGTCTCCCGCAACATGATTAAATACTATAAGGTTCATTGATAATTAAGTATAGCAAAACAACAACAAATAGTTGTCAATGGAACTTTGGTATTTAGCTGTATTGTGAGAGACCCAAATGCAATTTTCCAATAATATGTTCCTACTGGACTTTGTGATGGACAGACTTCTACTCGATAATGACCTGTTAGACATCTTATTCTCATAACAAGTGACAATAATACCATATTTCAGTAAATGATTTCCACTAATTCAAAAGATTTGTACAGTGCGCCCTTGTATAGTGTATACGTCAACAACCGAAAGGTGAAAAGTTTGAATTGTAAAAGACAATCAGTCAATCAGACATGCATGGAACTAGTTACAGAATTGGCTGTAGCAGAAAATAAAAGAAATAGAAGAACATGCAGGCATCGGCTCAAGATCTGGCAGTCAAGTCATCAATACTTACTTTGACATTAAGCATATGCATGAAGAGGTGCAGAGAAGTTAAGTGTCATAATATGGCATAAAAAAGGTGCAAAGAATGATACTGTGTAATTAATGAGTGATTATGGGATAATTCTGCCCAAAATTGAATGCCACGGTCATTAATTACACTATTAGACGAATAAAACACTTCCAATTGCTATTACCTGATTACCCTCGTGTGCATTTGCTATGTTTTCATCAAGAAGAGCCAACAAGGATCTATTGATTTCATTGCGCTCGACCATCTCTAGTAACTGCATTCATCATAAGTTTGACTCCATTAAATTACACGTGAAGCTGCGAAAAATAATAGAAATGAGCCCTTCAAAGAATGAGTGATCAGGCCGTACAGTTGCTTTCACATCTTTTGATGACAATATCCTGCTTAGGCTAGCCCTGGCTGTGATAAGTTCATTCTGCATCTTATCATAGGCTTCTGCAGTAGAAGAATGAAGGAATGAGCTAATAGTAGTTGAACAGGGACTCAAGTCCTGAAACGTGGTTTTATTCATTCATTCATTTTTTTGTGGAGTCTGACAAACCTGTTCCTTCCTGTAAGGCTTTCTGCAGAGCTTCCAGCTCAATCAATCTATCCTCCATGTCCTATAGAAACCATCCCTTTCGTGCAATGAAATTCCGCCTAATATATATGACCCAAAACTAAAAAGTTTATGTAAAGGAACCTGGGTTTTCGAAACAGCAAAGCGAAGTTTTCCTAACTCGAGTTGCAGATGCTCAAAGAATTCCTCATTTAGGCTGCAAAAGCAAGTTATTAGAGCCTCAAAGGCGAACATTTAGGTAGCATAACAAGTAGAATCAATCATGCCGACTCTGGTGAAATTGAAAACTGAATTCTCGATTCATCACCAAAGAAAAACAAAGAAATCTCGAAATTCTCCGGTCCCTCGGATAGGGAATTGACTTCTTCGATAAGATGATTCTTGTTGGGCTAAGAGACGGGAGAATTCCGAATTAAAATGATGATCTATAGAAGCTTGCTCAGAGGAACATGGTAAAAATTATGGAGGAAATGTATCTGGGAATACTGGCGCACAGGATATATAACAAACAAAACCATTGCCTCGCTGGGATAAAAACAAAACACTAGACAAAAGATATGCAATTGCAATCTTCAAGCTAGGAAAAAAAAAAGGGATTGGATGGTGTTTGGAGGCAATATAAAAGGGGTCTACCTAGGCCTCATTCTTGCAATCTCGAATTCGATGTCCTGGGCTTCAGTGTCAAGGAAGTATTCAACGAGCTCCTCGAGAGTATCCGGGACGACCCGAGACTGCAAAACCAAAGCTGGAACCGTACAAGTAAGGCATAAAAGAAGGAATAAAGTAGCAGAATGCGAGTAAGCAGGGATAGAATTACTTGACGAAGAGCTTGACGGCGCTCCTTCTCTTGGCGGACTTGAAGCTCGAAGGCTTCGCGTGCTTCAGCATCTCTCTCGAGCCGTCTCTTAAACTCAAGTCTAGCAAGATGGCCGGTTTGGGGTGGTCCAAGCACGCCTTCGGGATCCTTTCTTCGCAAAAGGAAATAATCAAGTATGGATCCAGAGGTATTTTAGGAGGGAGGAGGCAGACAAGGGGAGAGAAAAGCGAAGAGGTGCGCGTACCCATCCAATGCAAGAAATTCTGGTTCTGGAACGAGTGTAGTTCAGCCTCGTAGCAGAAACAGCAGCAACAATCGTTGGAGCGATGCCTATGCTAAAGGCAGCCATCGACGCCACTGCCTCTACTCTCCGCGAGTCCCAGCCTTGCAGATTTTGCTATGGAAAGAGATTTCGCATTGGAAAGTCATGGGGCTTTATCCTTTAGAATTGCAACTTGAGGATTGCGCCAAGTGACGATGGCCTGGATGGGGCTTTCCATATCCAGGTTTCCGCCCCTTTTGATGCTGTTATTGAGCCATATTGGGCTGGCCTCTTGATCCAATTTGCATTCAGACAAAAAACCGACGAGTATTACCCTAAAACACCTCCGAGTTAGACTTAGAACTGAAAGTGGTTTCCTTACTCAGGGTCAAGGCTTTTGACCTGTGAGCTTTTGTGGGGCCACGGAAATCAACTTTTTTTAATAAAAAAGCTTGAAGCAAGTCGGGTCTTGAAACTCATGCTGTGACGCGAACAGTGCTTGCAAAAATATATGTAGATCATTTAATACATTAATAAAGTTATTACATCAGTAACATGAGCATCTCCTGAGACAAATCATATTTAAGGCATGATTGGATAAAAATTAACCTTTAAAATGTAATAACTAATAAAAGGTATCTTTTTAGTTTTTACCAAAAAAGTATAATTATAGGATATCTTAACTACTTTATGCACACACAAAATATTTCTTCATAAATGCACTGGTCAATAGATAAAATATTAGTTCATCAAAGTTGATTTCATAAAGAATCAAGCAAAAAAGCAAATTTGACAATAGAATTTGCACTTTTATTTACATTAAGTAAAACTAATTAGAATAAATTGATCAATCAAAATGAAAATGAATAAAATGCAATAAGAATTTTAATCCAACAATCACGTATGTCCAAGGCAATCTAGAGTCATTAATTCCTTTTTAGATTCAAAGATCTTACTTTTACCTAATTAATTAATTTTAATACTAATTTTGTTAATATAAAGTATTGGTAGCTACAAAGTGTTAGATTTCTTATATTAAGTATGTTTAAGAATAATATAATCCACCAAAATAGCTTAAGTCATTTAGTTAAGTATTTTCTAAACTTATATATCTATAACCTATCTTATAATCTTTAGATGTGAGACTTTATTTATGTTCTCATATTTTTTCTACTATTTTTTCTTCATTTTTTTATTGTCTTCTTCTTCTTGCTTGGGCATGTACTTTTTTTAATTTCAAAAGTCTCAAATATTTTTAAAATCAAGAATAAAGGTTGGGCTTGGAGGATTACCTATTTAAGTTATTTTTATTAAGTATTACTCGGATTCTTTGGACTTGTGATTTTGGGATAGTTGCGGTAAAGGTGCAAAAATAGAAGTTTTGTGATTCAATTTTAATACCGTAGAAATGTCCAAAAACTTTCAAACCTCTTGGTTAAAAGCTGAAGTTCTAGTTTGTATTTCGAATTTAGTTCGAGTTCATTTTGTCTTAGGTTGAAAATTATTCACACTTTACATCGTCCTATATTTAATTAATTTAACTATTTTAGTTGAGTTGTATCTTAATTTGTCTTCGGACTTGGCGTTTAAATGTCTTAGGTTTAGTTCTTGTCTTTGGAAACTCTTAGGATTATTTCTACACTTTTGTCCCTTCATTTCATCCCCTTTTTTAATTTATGCAACTCACACTTAAATGACATTTTTTAAATAAATTGAGCTTTCAAGTCCGGCCCTGATAGGTCCTGAAAAAAGAGGCTCAAGCGGCCCTTTTAGACCTTTTTTTATTTTTTTAAAAAAATAAAATATTTTAAATTTTTAAATTAAATTTAAAATTTAAAATATATGTTTATACTTTAAAATTAAAATTTTTATTATTTATTTTAAATTTTTAAACATTATAATTTATTTTTTTAAATATGTGAAATATTATTATTAAAAAATTTAATTTTTGAAAATTTTAAAAAATAAAAAAATAATAATAAGGGCTTACGGGCCTGGCCCTGAACCCTTTATATAAGAGTCAGGTTTTAAAAAAAATGAGGTATTTTAAAAAAATCGAACTTAAGGGTTGAGCTCATATAGGTCGAGCCGTTTTTCAACTCTAAATCTATTCAATTTCTTCTTCTCCTTCTCCTTTTTTAATCTCTTGTTTTTTTATCTTACATTCTTTCATTTTCTTTTTCTTTTTTTCCTTTTTTTATTTTTTTATTTGGGTCCTCAATTAAATAGCTCATAATATCATATTAGATTTCTTATATTAGGTATGTTTAAGGATAATATAATCCACCAAAATAGCTTAAGCCATTTGGTTAGATATTTCTCAAGTTTATATATTTATAATCTATTTTTTAATCTTTAGATATGAAACTTTATTTATGTTCTAATACAAGGGCCTTTCAACCTAAAATAGCTCTCTCTCAAATTAATTATGTTATTTTTAACAAAATTATCCAAAAAGCAAATTTAATTTTAACTCACTCTAATTTGATTATATAGGGCACTTAGGTATATTTCTATCCTAATTGCAAATTAGATAATAATATAATCTCATATTATTCAATCTAAATGTCTAAATGAGATTCTCCTTGGTTAAGAAAAAACCCCTACACCTATATTCATATTTAATGATGGCCAAATATTAAATAGATAATGAAGTGGAAGATTGAGCTACCAAAATCAATATTAAGCATATTCAATAGGTAAAAATAAGCTTTAATCTACCAACAAGTTCATAACTACTCTAGATCAGGTATAGTCAACCATTAAACCAACACAAATAAGCAATACTCAATAGAAGATGCATCAAAATATAGAGAAAAGGAAGAAGAAAGCCTGGGAAGAATGATTTCTATCACAAATTACAAGGCCTAAATATTCCCTAAACTTCTCCAACTCTTTATCTAGCTTAAAATGCTCCTGACATGTGTAATTGCTATCAAAAGATGAACTGAAATAAAAAATGACCCTCATAAATTCTTAAAATCAAAATTAAGTGAAGCTGTGCATTTTTGCAAAAATTTAGTTTGATGCTGCGACATTCACTTTGATGTTGTAACATCACTTGACAGAACTTAAATTTGATGTGGATTTTAAATTTACAGCTGTGGGCTCATAAATTAGGCCATCCTATGTGAATAAAACCCATATTTAATGGCATAATTAATCTAATAACTTATACAATTATCTTAAAATTTATTCACTTTCATTCTCACAAATAATTATCTATTCAATCATATGTTTACTAATTAATTGCGCAAGATAACTTTCAATTGCATTAAAAACTTTAATAATTTCATTAAAATATTGAAAGTTATTAAATCTCCACACTTGGACATTAGCTTATCCCCAAGTGAAAAAAATAATCACTATACAAAATGGGTGAAGAACTCGTGAATATTGCAAAGTCAAATACAATCCAAACTTTCAATAACTTAGTCTCACTAGAAACCTTTCATTCCTTCTAAACATATAAGTTTCAAGATAATTCGTTAAGTAAAGATAATTTTTAACAAGTTGTTCCTCATTAGTCAAATATTTACACTTTACGCTCAAAGTGTTTATAGGTGTGTTTCACTTAATTCCATCTATTGTAGACTGTATACCATAGACTTGTTTCTCATCTCAATCTCCACTTAATTATGCCAATGCATACACGAATAAAAAGGACTTTTATTAGAAACTTATATGTTTAGAAGGAATGAAAGGTTTAAGCTTAGCAACAATTAACACTTATTAAAGTAGTAAGTGAAAATAAAAATGGATGACAAATGGATTAAGCTTAGCAAAAGGGCTTATGACTTTTGTTTTCATTTTAAAATAAGGCCAATGTTCAAATAGATGAAACAAATAATTTTATTAAATGGGATGGATATTTAGCCAAACAAGCTAAGAAAATGAATGCTTAAATCATCTTTATATATGCCAATAGTTATTATAAATCTCAGTAAAGATTAAAAACAAGTTATAGAGATGGAATTATAATAAATGTATTGAGTTTAATTCCTTGCCTATTTACTAAATTTCTTAGAAGGAAAGATCAAATCATAATCAAACTTAATTCTTTTAAGTCTAAATCAATTCAACTTTAGCAATATTTACCAAAGACAAACAAAAAGACCAAATAAATTCTTTTTTTTAGTCTATTCACAAATATGTACTATAACTCATAATATAAAAACAAAATAAAATTCAAAGACAAGCAATGCAACAAAAGTAAACACAATCACTCCCTCCCCTACACTTAAATTACATATTGTCTCCAATTTGTAAAACATAGAAATATAATGAGAGGAAGGGATACTAGTACTCCCTTGACAACTCAAGCTGATAGATACTTAAATTGAGAGATAGTAGACGACAAACATAGCTTAGGTAAGAGAAGACATTGCACCTGTGATAGGACAACAATAAAAAAAGTTGTTAATTTTCAAAGTTAACTGCACATAATATTTCAAGTTAGTAAGGTAAGATAGTCAATATGAATTTATAGACACAATTGTAGATGTGAAAGTAGTTATAGGAATTAAAATATAGTACCATGGATAGTTTCAACAAAAAATATAAAAATCTTAAAAACAAAAACAATGAGAGCAAAAAAATAAACTAAACATAGTCATGTTTGGTGTCGAGTGTAGTAGTCACAAGTAGCCACTAAGTGTCTGAACTAGGAGAAGAAGTCGAATCAACTAAGACTTGTAAAGGGAGGTATTTGAGAGCCTCTAAAATTTATTGCTACTAAGCCAATATACCTATGTCAACTACTCCCATGTAGTTTGGTTTTGCTCACGCAGAAGTACAAATTGCTAGCGAACCCAAGTATTGAATTGCTCACCCTCCTCATGTTTAGGCTTTGCCTCTTCATTATGCTCCTTAAGAGTATTAGGATTGCAAAAAAGAGTCATACTTGATGGGAGCCTTGGGTAAAATTTGAGGCTCAAATTCTTCAATAGATACCTCAGTAGCTAAGAGAATACCCGTAATCAAATAAGAGAAAACTAAAGTATTCTCCTTTCCCAGGATACAAAGCTTTCAAAGATTCAAAAATCAATGGTGCTAGGTCAACCAGTTTGCTAGTCATTATGCAGTAAGTAAGGATCGCTCTACCAATGGTTTGCCAATCATTATGCAATAAGCAGAGCTTTCTTCATCTAAAGAAAACCTCTTTGACTAAGTAAGTGCTAAGTTATAGAGAAAATGTGACCTTCAAAACTTGAAATGACTATACCAAGAGAACCATTATTTGAGCGTGGGGTTATTACTTAGACATGCCTTGAAGTTTATAAGCCCATGCCTAGTGGGAGCAAATATTTCAACACAAAACATCCAAACTCCTAGTTTAATAAAACACAATGACCTCATATGAGTATTATAAATTGAGTTTCAATAAGTAAAGGAGGGGCAACAATGAAAAAGCAACAAACAACAACACAATCTAGACATCTTGTTACTTAATTATCTTTTGTATTACCTTATAGTTAGGATTTAGTTCCTCTTTTTAATTTTCTTGTAATTCTGTAACTTTGTAGCTTTACGCCATTAATCAAAATTACTTTCTTCTCATTACCTATTACATCTTGGCATCTGGACAAAATGAGGTAAAAAAGCCCAATAATTCTTGTTTATACTAAGATTCTGCACCTCTGACATGTCTGAAAATTTTATTGTAATGAACAAGAATTAATTAAATTTTTTCCCACATTAATTAGCTTTTGAACCAATTGGTTTGATTTAGGTTTTATCCTAAACCGAATCAAACCAAACATATAAACAACTCAAGAAAATTTTAAATCTATTTTATATATTTATAAAGTACACTGAGTATAGTTTGAAATTTATTTGTAAGAACTCATTTTCAATAAGGTGACAATTTTCCAGTTATTTAAAAAAGAGAAAAACCGCTCGTACAGGGGATCCGGGATTGCTCGGAAAGTCAAATCAACGGAAACAAGACGATTATTGTGCTGCAAGTTATTTTTTCTTAATTTTTTTGGTGCGATGTTTTATTACGAAGCAGATGTGCGCGCGTGTAAAGGCAATAGAAAATGTATATGCTATGACAATGCCGCGTTTGAAATATTACTTATTAAAGGCTATAGTGCTTGGAATATTCCGCGTTTCATTATCCCGCTAAATGAGCTATATTCCCGTCACAAGGAGATTGTCGTTTTGCTATTGAACAAGAAAATGCCACTTTTACATATTCCCCAAACCATAACATGAATCCAATTATATGTATAACTCAGAAACATCTTCTTTGAGTATCTGTGGGTTTAACCTTTTATGGGTTTAATGTATGCATAATTTCTCTTCTGTTATGTTGGGTGAATAATGACAAGGAAAAAAGAGGATATTTGAAGGCAAATGTGTTTAAATTAAAGTTCTTTACCCTTTTAATTAAAATAGTCTGCCCCCTGCACCTTAACTCCCCAAAAATTTTTAAATTATGTTTCCAAATTAATAAGATATTTATAATGAAATCAATTACAATTTTATTGAAAATAATAAGGAAAAATTATGAATAGGTTTCGTGAAGCAGACTTATTTATCAAGAAATTTCATGAAATTCAAAAACCACAACTAGGTTTCTTGAAACGTGAGTGTAATTTAAAATTAGATTGCAAAGATAATAATTTTTCTATCAAACATATATTACATCAATTAAATAATTAATTTACAACTACTTCATCATCAATTTACAACAATAATTTTAACTTTTTACAACTATAATTTCACATATTCAATAGTTAAACAATCATGTATTATTAACAAAGTTTAATATTAATTATTTACAACTATTTCATCAGTAATTTACAACTATAACTTTAATTTTTTATAACTATAACTTTATTTATTCAATAATTAAACTGATCAGTTTAATTATTGAATGTATGAAGTTACAATTATAAAAAGTTAAAGTTATAGTTATAAATTACTGATAAAGTAGTTGTAAGTTATTTGATTGATGTAATGTATAGTATATGTTTAATAGGAGTATTATTACCTTTTTATCTTAATTTTAAATCACACTCAAGTTTTAAAGCACTTAGTTATTGTTTTTAAATTTTGTGAGATTTATTTAAAAATAAATTATCTCCACGGGATCTATATATAATTGTTTCAAATATTAATATGCTTCCACATCATATATTCCCATATACAGTTTCATTTTCTAAGGGTACTGGCGGATCCAGAAAATACACTATGCGGGGGCTAAAATTTTGTGGGTAGAAACATATTCTAAAAATGTTTTCTCAAAGAATATCTCCATGTGTGGGGCGGAGCCAAGCGCCCCTACTTGCCCCTAGATATTTAAAAAATAATTTATAATTTATTTAATTTTACCATTATATCATGACTCTGTTTGGGTTAAATTCTCAAGTAGTAAAATAAGATATAACTGTTAGTTATTAGATTTAATCTCATTTTATTATTTTCCATACGATTTCCTCCCATATAATTTCAAGCATACTAGTAAATTATAGCCATATGTGCATCTAGTTAATTGAAACACAAGATAATTAATCGTCATCCTCATATAGAAAACTAGTCCAGGCTAGATTTAGGAACTCTTCATGTCATTTCGCAAAATTATTTGCAAATATCATCAAATGTTTCGCAGAATTTATTTTATTCACGAATCAAGATAATAAAGAATATAGTACAGTCAAGGAAAAAGTTTGCGTGGAAAGTCAAGCGACGCTAATTAATGCACAAGTCAAATGATCAATCATGTGTTTTTACCAAAACACCAAGCTGTCCACTTTTATTTCTCAAACTCCAAATTTCCACCCAACCAAATAATTTCGTACTTCTTTAGCCTATGAGAATAATAATTTGAAATTTTTTTTTATGATGAAAAAACAATTTTTGCAACGAGTTGGTGTCAATAAATTATTATGCAAGAAAACGTGGACAAAGGTATTAGCAACTGGATGGGCTGTCTGAAACCAAGTTGCCAATTATTGAGAGAAGGCACTGTCCATAGAGAGGCGCGCATGTTTGGTTGGTGGAAGGCAACGAGAGAGGCATATCCACGCACATATATAAGGGAATAGAGAGGGGAAGGCATTGAAATCAAATTAAGGAAGAAATTGAAGAAGCGTACTTCGGGAGAAAGTAGTTGAGAAAAAGTAACTGAGAAGAAGAAGATGAACGGAGGAGGATGGAACAAGGGGATGGTGATGGCCAGCTTGGTTGTGGCGGCGGCGGCGGCGGTGATGGCAGCGGCGGGAGAGGCACAGGTAGACACAAATTGCGCTCAGCAGCTAGCTCCATGCTTGGACTTCGTCGACTCTGCAAATCCTTCCCTCGTTTGCTGCAACCCCATCCAAAACATGGTCATTAACGATCTCTCTTGCCTCTGCTCCGTTTATTCCGACACCGATTTTCTTCAGAGCTTAGGCCTCAACCGCACCATCGCTCTCCGCCTCATTCGCCGCTGCGGTCTCACCGTCTCTTTCGCTTCCTGTGAAGGTACTCTTATTCCTCCCTCGTTTTCTCCTCATCATCTACTTTTCACTCAAACCAACACCAACCCATGATGCTCATCTATATCATCGCATCTGGTTTTGTGTGTGAATTAACTACTAACAGCTTATATCTTTTCGTGTCTTGAACATTTTTGGAACCCAACTTCCAGCTTCGGTTCCGCCTCCAACTGAAGCGACATTACCCCAAGGTACGGACAACTCTTACCCCGTTATTCCTACGTTTCCAAAACCTTCTTTCTGAGCAGTTAAAATGGAGTGGTTTAGTTTGTACGTTATAAGGTTGATTTTAGTCCTTCAGCCAACAAGGAGAGAAAAAGTGGAGGGTATAGCTATCCTGCTTGATCATGTGGGTTTGGCTTCAACAAATTGAAAAATGCTTGGCGAGTTTGAATGCATGCATCTTGCTAGAAATCCAAGTCAAAAAAGTGAGAACGATCACTCCGTTCCAGCTGGAGACATTGAGAGTTTTGGCAACTTTATTTGAAACTCAAGAGGCTAGCTGTTCAGTTGTCCCTTCGGTAGCCCGAGTTTTACCAAGTCAATGAAATCCCGAATTTTTTTATTAGAAAAATGTGGTGCACTGGACAAAGATTTTCTCGTAAAGATGACTCTTAGGAGCAGTGGAAGCAAATTAAGAAAAAAACAGCAATTGGTTGAGAAATCAAACTGCAGATAAATATCCATATCACAAACTCTTACCATGCACCGATATCTATGAGCAGTGGCAATTTTTTAACTACCCATTTTCATTTTGGCCTTTCAGCAACGCCCGGGGCTGACGGTGGAGATGCAGGCAGGGTGTCATGCACTACTGGGCTCGCTTTCTTACTCCTATTAGGTGCCGCCATGCTGTTTCATTTTTAATTACGATTTAGTAAAGAAACATTTTCCATTTTTGGAAACTGCTTGTTTAATAATCACTGCTCTATTTTCATATATTGGCTACTACTCTGTTGTTCCGTTTTACTTGTAGTTGTTGAGACGCCTCTCTCAGCGGGACTTTTTGTTTACACCCCTTCTCGCCTTGTGTTCTGCCTTGTCATACTCTCAGTTTCTCTGTTTTTTGTTCTTGAATGGAAACTGAACTTCAATGACAAAAAACCCAATCATTCTAAGCTTGAAACTTAAATGCCAATGCGCTGCTTGGTCAACTCAACACGGGCTTGCAATGTGCCAAAATAAATATTCACATCTAACAGAGTAAGCTCATCGCAAAATTGATAACCGGTGTACTGTTACGATGGGATTGGCTGTATATAAGAATTAAATATTCGAACATGTAAAGGGCTGCCCCATTACCAGTGCTCTGCTGGTAATTTATTTTTCACCAACATCCAAAACTCTTATTTTACAATGCAATTGAAGAAAGTAAAGCACCTTTAATTCCTTTCATCCCTCTTGGTGCGCTCTTTGGTGTAAATCGTGAAGAATCTCTCATTTCTGAGACTTGGCGAAGCATTCTGCAAATCCTCGGTTTAATTTGACTCCTGCAATTGCAAAAACAATGAATCAATTTGGTGGCCTTGCTCGAACGGCATTAGAATGGAATGGCCATGCGCTTAATTTGAGATTTCCCTCGGTTCCCCCACGGCCCAATGTTTTTTTCTTTTTATTACCCAAGATATCCACCGCCGGTAGCAGTAACTAATCCTTTCGCCGCGGGGTCTCCTACAAGGAGGCAAACGGCTGGCCATAGAGTGTTTTACATTCACATGAGTGAGGAATCAAACCCCCCACGGCCCAATGTTACACAGAGATAAGTTTAGGCTGGACGTGGTAAAGAACCGAGAATTGGAACTAAATAATTAGGCTTCAAGCCCATGAAAACTAACAATTGGGGCCCACAACCATGGACCCTTCATTATTGGTCTGGGCCTCAGGTTTCAATTTGGTCAAAAGGCCATCGGGTGTTCTTTCAAACTTTCCGTGGGCAATCATATCCAAGGCCTTCCACCCTCAACTTCAAGGGTTTCACCCCTTTGACGTTACATATTGGTTCCTTTACAAAAAGAAAGAATTACTTCTAGGTTATAAATAAAGAAATTAATTAATTTTTTAATTATTTACATGTCAAAATTTAATATTTACAAGGTTCGTTTCGGTTCCCTTGCCGTGAAGGTCTTCTCATCCCAGATTTGGAGAGCATCTGTTGCAAAATAACTATTAAATATTTATTTAGAAGAAAAATTATCAGTCAATAATTTTTTTAAAAAAATTGCAAGTGATTTATTCTAGAGGGAGAATTAAAATTTAGTATTTATAGATCAAATATCAATATTTACAAATCAAAATTTAGTATTGACAAGTGATTCAGATTTACGAGTAATTAATTTTTTGATTTAGAATACTCCCTTCGTTTAAAAAAATATAAGACATTTTTTTTATATTAGATGTTAAAAAACATAGAAATGTTTTAATTTTTCACTGTATAATTAATAATTTTTTAAAAAAATATTCTTAAATAAATTATTTTAACTTTTTAGAAAAAATAATAATAAAATCTTTTTGAATTATATAAATGATAATTTAATTATTTGAAATGTCATAATTCCATTGAAGTTCCAAGGGATTTCTATGTTAATAAATTTTAAAGTAAAAAAATTATTTTGCTCTTATTGAAAATAACAAGTCCCAATCACAATATTTGTATAAAAAATAGCAAATTTTATTTACAAGAATTGAACAAGAAATCAAAACTTATCAAGTGTAATTTTTGTTTTAAAAAAAGCCTCAATTATAATTTTTACTTAAGAAATAATAACTTTTATTATGTGAATAAAAAAAATTTAATAAAAAATTATAACTCATCAAGTGTAATTTTTATCATTAAAAAATAAATTCTTAAAATAATAAATCTCAATGACAACTTTTATTTAAGAAATGATGACTTTCACTTAGAGAATTGTAAGAATTGAACAAAAAAATATAACTTTTCAATAAAAAATAATTTTTTCATTTAAATTTATTGATATAAAAGTCTCTTCAATGGATTTATAGCATTTTGAAATATCATATTATCATTTATATGATTTAAAAGAATTTTATTGTTATTTTCCCAACTTTTTATCTTTAAATAAGATACTTTATTAAATAAAAATAAAAATAATAAATGAGATCAATTTAAATACAATTAATTATAATTTATTAAAATATATAATTTAATTAAAAATGATTTATATTTTTTTAAGTGGGGAAGGAATGTATAATATTTTTCTGCTCTAGTCTTTAGAGAGGTGGGAGCTGTACGTCTCCGTACCCATTTTCAAGTATAAACTCAAAAGCTTCCCTTCTACGGGGAAAATGATTCATCAACTATTGGGCGTTGCATATTAATGGCATCCGATGCTTGCGTAGGATGGAATTTTACAAGAACCACCAGTTTATCTCTGTCTCGTAGTCTACTGGAATCTCTAGGTAAGCCGTCCCTCTCTTTTTTTTCCTCGAGTCCGATAATGTCGTCACTTTTCATTCACATCTTCTCTAGACCGAGAAATTGCGATGTTGAAAATTCTGCGATCGAGAAGGAACTCCATTGGTTTCAACTTAAGTTTGCCAAATTAAATGCAAGGCACTTCTCGTCAACCTAAGGGATTGAATTTGTGTACAATACAAACAAAACAAATTCTACGTATCTGGTTTGCCACGGGACTCAGTCAACTTAAGTATAACCGGATACGAACCGTGAATACAGTTTGCGATCTCATTTCCTTACCAGTTCATTATTTTCCCAACTAGATTATACTTATGTACATGTTTGTTGTGTCATCAATATCTGATCTGTGTCGCCACACCACTGATTACGCTGTTGAAATTTTGGACTTTGCAGTCCCGACTCTAATCGAATGCTCTGCTCTTTCTATTTGTTGATGAACGACCATCTTCAAACGTGCACAGGACAACACAAGGTTGCACTAACATTCTAAAAGCCAAGAGCACTTAAAGTTCAACTTTTGGTTTTATTAGTCTTCTCATTCCTCCATTACAATCACTCCATGTGGTTATTGCGTAATGTTTGTCCAAGTGACGACTGCATTACTCATTAATTGCGCTAATGCATTCTCTATTTAATGAGTTAATTGGTTTATTATATTTTAATCATGCTTCACAATATCTTAGCATCAATAATCATTGTTCTTTGATTATCAAAATGTTAGCTTGAATCCACCCCCGACTGTGCTTTTAATTAATATATATTATGACCCACTGTGAAAGCACCCTTGTTCCTCCTTGTACTCATCATTGAGGGGACTAAACGATTCTTATGATTAAACAGTCAAATTTTCACAACTCTAACATGTAGCAAATTGATGGCTATTGAGTGCATGTGACATCAAATATATAAATTAATTAATTAGCATAATGTCACTGTTGCTTGCTGCAGAATGGTTCGTTCTGTATTACATCTTTGAAAATCTTCGTTCAGAATGGCGTGGCTTCCCTTGAATTGCCACGGCTGCCGACGACAAGACACCTATTCTATATGGTGTATAGTCTTTGACTACCCTTGTAAACTGGTTTTTGGCTGTGATTATTGTTTCCCATTTTTCTCACTGGCTGAATTCTGACCTCCCCTTTGAAACTTAGCACGTGTGGACCGACTACTTAAGCGTTGAACCTCCACCACCAAAGGAGACAGCGACAAGCCTTTGTTTGTTCTCTACTTGGTAATCCGTCGGTTTCATACCACACTAATAATGTATAATGAGTATAATCCAATCACGAGTGGCAGAATGATGTGTGACAAGTGTATATTTTATAATTAAATAGATATATATTTTATTTTAAATTTGATTATATTTATTAAAGTTTTATATCTATTTAATTATAAAATAAAAAGAAATTTTAATACAAAACTTACCCATATCTTTTTTTATATTTTGCATAAAAAAATAAATCAAATTAAAGGAAATAATGAAAAGAGAAATATATATATATATATATATATAAAAGTCCTACATTGATTAGGAATTAAAAGATGAGCCTCTATATTAACTATAAATGCTCTCCTCCATAAAATAAAATAAAAAGACATTCAGTCACTTATCTTAATATTTCAAGAATTTTTTTTGGAATATTTAAAACTTGTAGAAATATATTGAAGATTAAAAGTGAGATCTTTGAGAAGTTTTGCAAATTATAATTATTTTTTTTATTTTTTAATTTTTTTTGTGATCTTTTTTTGTGATTGAAAATTTTAAATTAATGTTATTTAATTTTATTATGTGTTTTTAAATTATTCAGTTGGGGTAGGGATGTATCTCAATTGAAAAGCTAGTTTTCTATTTTCTTTATTTTGACTCTTTGTATTTATATTTATAAATATTTTTTTTCAATTATAATTATTTTTCTTATTTTTCATATTGATTTTATGACTAGACGAACTTAGATATAAAGAAATAGACATAAATAATTAGGTTAGATATAATTCTAAAAATTTGTGACGATTTAAATTATAGTTTCATGGTTGAATTAGTTGTTTGGACATTGTGAGAATGAATTCAAAGCTAATTAAAAAGGAACAATAATTTGGGAGAATATTAAAACACTTTAGAAATAGTTATCATTATAATTAATTAGAGTCAACTCAAATGCTAAAAATTAACAACTTATAGAGTGAATCTTAAACCCTAACGTTTCAAATCATTGTGTTTTTATCATTATTTTCTTAATTTATTTTTATTATTTATATTTTCATCAAATTATTCATTTTATCTATTTTTCTCAAACTATTAATTATTTAAATTAACAAAAGCACAAGTTTCTGAAATATTTTGAATAATTTATTACTGTGATTTCGTACACTTATGAGAGTGATCAAGTATGCTCATGATTTTTCTTGTTCCTGCCCTAATGAACAATTAATCCTTTTTCTTCTGTCTCCTTACACATCATGTTGATCAAGTAATCGAAGCAGACTTTTTGGATATGATATCTTGGTATCATTATTATCATCATCATCAAAGAGAGGTAGCTTATTTTGCCTCCCTACTCAATGATATTTACTGTTTGGGCGAAGGTCGCGGAGGTGATAGTGAAGTCTCAACTGCTACAGTAATGGATACAGATTCTAAAGCCGACAGCCCCAACCTTGCAAGCAATGCCACCCTTTGAATTAGCTTATACATCATTGCTGCATGTTACTCTACGTCTTTTCACCTAACTCTAACTCACTTTTAGTGTAGCTCAATATTGTCTCTTGGGTTGCTGCCTCGATCGTGCGTATTGTATCGATACAGAAGCTTGTAATACGAGGTTTTTGTTGCCTTCATCACATAAAATATCCAAGTTGGCTGACTACGGTCAAAGTATGTTTGTGTGGTTCCTAAATCTAATCCTCTATACTTCCGATGAATTGATACGTATGAAAATTTGTGATATGTGATGCCTTGCAAGCCAATTCAGTACTCCAACATGATTTTGGACACGTAGTGCTCGTATGTTTGTGAATTAAGGTAAGTTAAGTATGTGTTATAACAAGAAATATTCTTTTTAGTCTTTGCTTGCCCTCTTCGATAATAATAACACCAAGGCAATGAAATATGAGGCTTAAATAGAAATGGGTAATTGGAACGAGGGTCCACACCCACAAAAACCAAGAGGTACAAGTTAGACAAAAATTTTGGGTTTGGTAACTGCTCAAAACCTAAGTTGTAGGGCGTCCGGTTTCGGTGTTCAGCACCATAGTACTCATCAACAAAAAATATCAGGGCCATCTAGATTTTAATTTGGATGGTCCAAATTTTTTTAATTTCAATTTTAATTTTAATTTTATAAAAATATTTTTAGATTTTTTAATTTTAATTTTATAAAAATAAAATTAATAATTTTTTGATAAATATATTCATTATCAATTTGGACAGTACTAATTCAATTTGAGAATCTATGTGGTTTAATTTAATATTATAATTTTCATAAACTAATTATTTAGATGTACTCTAAACAAGACAAATTTAATATTAAATTTTTTAATAAGTTTTTATTTTAATAAATATAAAATATAAGTAAAAAATTTAAATCTAGGCCTTGTAGATAAAAATTTAATCTTAAATCTGGATTGTTTAGAGTATATCTAGATAATTAATTTATGAAAATTACAACATTAAATTGAACCATTTAAATTTAATCAATACTGTTTAAATTGATGATAAATATATCTAGATTGATGATAAATATATTTATCTATTTTTATAAAATTAAATTAAAATTAAAATTTAAAAAATATGAAAAATTTGGATGGCCCAAATGCTTTTTTATGATGAGCACTGTGGTGCTCAGTAAGCCACTAAGCACTGAAACCGGACTCAACTGTAATAGTCATGTATAATAAAATATTATATTTAATCAGCGAACCATGAGGTCCATCCATCACAAAAAAAATCAACAAATCATGAGGTTATAAAAGATTTGACTTGGATATGATCTCCTTCACAAGAAAGTGCAGGGCCATAGCTGGCTTCTTCTTCCTTAATTGCTCCAGTACGGCTTAGAGCTGAAGGAGTTCTTCTTTGAAGGTTAGAAAGCATTAGGCGCCTGTTTATGTCTTTTTAATCACCAATAATGGATAAGTATCAATGGGCGCAGCACTAGGAATCAAATTTCTTCAGCAATTAATCTCATAATGAACCAACAAGTTATTTTGTGAGAATGGAACAGTCTAGGACTAAACATAATTGGATGAAGCAACCTGCTTCCACGGTTATCGTTAGGTTCATCTCGTGGTAGGTGTAGAGACACTAAACCCACAGTTTTCAGTCTAATTTGACACAGACTACCACGCATCTTCATGAAACTGACCGAACTTTACATCCTGATACAACCTGGCAGCAGGCAGAGGAAAAGGCTTGAGAGGCTTTAGTCTCTTAGAGTGGTCTGTCAAGATATCAATATCAGAAAGTAATCTTCAAACTAAATATTAGATATCCTGCTCTATATGTAAGTAGTTACATGGAATGTATTGGTTCACAAATGTTATAGTGAAAACAATCAATGTAATTAATCTGACGGATTTCAGTTTCATTAGGAAGTTTGTATTAGACAGGACTGTATAGTGACCGGAAGGGCATAGGATCAAGATTTTCCTGGGCACGTGGTGAAAGAAACGGCTTGGTAACCTATAAAATTAAAAACAATGATCTCTTTCAGGGTTTAATTTTAGCAGATTTTGGCATTTTGCTATGATATAGGAGGCAGATCCCAGATTGTGCAGAAGCAGCGTTGCTTCTAAGCCGATACCTGATAATAAGTGGTCCATGTCAAATCACAAAGCACCAATTATATTTAATTGCTTTCTTCCTAATTTTTATGTCTGGTTCACCTTAGCTATTTTGGCTTAACATGCTCCGAATTTCTAGGTATACGTTATAAGAAGACAACGGGAGGGGCAAATGTAAACTCTCAGATAATATCATATGCATAATACTATGTTTTTCCTACATGTATTCATAATCATTCTTCATCTTTGAAGGACATCTTGTACTATTTATTTATTCCCTATATTTTTTTTAGGAAACTTTTTGTTTCATTTTATGTTTTTTTAGAAGTTCAAAGCGCTATTTATTAAAATTTTTTCTATCATACCCTTGGTTACTAAAAGGGTAAAGTAGCAAATTTAGCTACAAATTATTTTTCGAAGAGTATCTAGTAGTTTAAACTATTATATGATGCAAAATAAATCACAAATGTTCAAAAATGGAGCATCAGTAGCCCGCTATTAACTTCAGCTAATAGATGTAATGTGGAGTCTACGGTGACACGTGGCATGACATGAGCACGACACATCAGTATGATAAAGGTGCAAATTTAACCACAAACTATTTTTCAAAAAGTGATGAGTAGCCCCTACTATAAAAAAAATGAACCATCCAACGTCTTCCTCTCAATTTTGATCAAACACCATTTATTTTCATATTTATGAGACCCATAAAGCATTAATTTCTTTAATTTTCTTGTCTTCGTTCTCAATATAAGCTCCAAAAAAAGATGTTTAATGAGTTATTATTTGAACATATTCACAAGGACGATGTCAATGAAGTAAAAGCTTGATTTTACTATGCACGAGAGAAGCTTAATTATAGCTTAATTTAGTCACGAATTATTTATTCTACTTTGTTAGCATAATCTTTGTGAATGTCTTCACAGGTATGAACTCTTTGAACCTCTTATTCTCGAGTTGAAATTGAGAATGAAGACAAAAAGATTAGAGAGATTAATGTTTTATAGGTCTCATAAGTATAAAAATAAATGGTATTTAGTCAAAATTGAAGGGAAGGTGTTGGATAGTCCTTTTTTTATAGTATAGGCTATCCAATGCTCATTGAAAAATAGTTTGTGACTAAATTTGCACCTTTATCATGCTGACATGTTGTGCTCTTATCGTGCCATATGTAATTATGGGCCCTATATAATGTCCGTCAGTTGAAATTAACGGCGAGCTATTGGATGTTCAATTTTTAAAAGTTTATGATTTATTTTGCACCATTTGATAGTTTAGGCTATCAGTCGCTACTCGAAAAATAGTTTATGGCCAAATTTACTGCTTTACCCTTATTGAAATTATAAGAACTAAAAATATTTAAAAAAAATTATAAAAATTAAAAGCAAAACCCAATGAAACAATAAAGATAGATAATTGTATTTTTTCTAAATATCTTTATATGTATTAGTTGCATTTGTTAATCAGTGTGAAGATAATTTAAAAGACTTATATGTTAAAAAATAGAGTACTGTAAGAACAATCAAATAGTGTAATGGGCGGTACATTATCTTGTTATTTCATACGTAGATGGGAGTGAAATTATTCAGCCGTAAGGAGGGGGGCAATGGGACATTCACTTGGGTCCTACATGAGCCTCCAATCTTCCTCTTTAACCGTATTGTTTAAAGTGTTTTAGTTTTAAATGATCCATTGAAGAAATTCACCTAATCATTCTTCACCCTATAGGCTTCTAATCCTTCATAATGTATGCACGGCACACTTATCCAGAAAATCCAAGGGCCAATTTCATGAGATTACCTTTTGACCTTTTCTTCCCTGCTGGTTTCAACTATCATCACCTGAAATACAAAACTATATCCGCATAAAGTTTGATTATTGATGGGGTAACGTACATTGCTGGGTGCTTCAATAAAGAAAAATGCCAAGCTCTGTGTGAAACAGAGAGAAATGATGACTCGTGATGAGAGGATGAGATCAAATCCAAGTTTAAACCCATATTGTCTTGCTTAAAATTTTGTCTCGGTATATTTTGATCCGGTCGTGTTGGCATCATTATGATTCGTAAGGAAGGAGTAGAAAAGGGGTAAAGCTTGGGAAACTCGAGATGTTTATTCGTTGTCCATTAATTAACTTTGACATCAGGGTTGTTAACCAGAACCGGCGTTCTGTGAACCAGAAGATGAGTCTCATTTCAAAGTTCAAACTCTAAACTAAGGGCCTTCAATTCCTCAGTCAAATAGGTTCCTAGTCTTGAACACGAAACGTGCCCTGCCAGGCAGTGTTAAAACAGTTTCTTTCAAACAAATCCAACGGTTAATCCTTGTCATCCACATCAATATTTACTTGTCATCGCCCACACACGAGCATAATCTACTGTTGACAGGGACACGTAAACGTGGTGATGACGAAAGGGTTGAGTAAGAGTGCAATGAGGGCAGTGGGTTTTGTGAAGGAAAATAGGAAAAAGATTTTTCATGTTTATTTGATATATATATATATATATATTTTTTTTTTTTTCACTTTTAATGGGTGCTTAATTACATGTAGCCATGTCTTTGGACCAGCCATCTTTCATGTTGTGCAGCTGTAAGCTGGGGAACCCCTCACATTAGCTCTCACATAGCTTTCACAACCCAATGGTGGGCCCCAAGCCTGTGCGTCTTGTTTCTGTGTCCTCCAATGAGAGTTTTGATGGAGAGAGCAATTTTTTAAAGGAAAAAATAATGAGGGAAGGAAAAGGAGAGGGGCTTATATAAAGGAAAGGGTGTGGGGCTTTTGGGTCATTACAAGATAGTGTTGGTTGAGACTTGTTTTGCATTAGTTTAAGTCAGTGGTGATGGGGAGGCAACCTTGCTGTGACAAACTGGGCGTCAAGAAAGGACCATGGACTGCAGAGGAAGACAAGAAGCTCATCAACTTCATTCTCACCAATGGCCAGTGCTGTTGGCGAGCCGTCCCCAAGCTCGCCGGCCTCCGGCGTTGTGGTAAGAGTTGCCGCCTTCGCTGGACTAATTATCTCCGTCCTGACTTGAAGCGAGGACTTCTCACTGAAGCTGAAGAGCAGCTCGTTATCGATCTCCATGCCCGTCTTGGCAACAGGTTCTTTTCATCTTTTTCATTCTTCCTCTCTCCTCGAGTCCTTGTACATTGCTCCTCTTGGCAACTTCATTCCAGAAGCAAAATTCAATTCATGTACTTTGAGACCTATTATAAAAAGTTCATACTTGCATGGCATGTTCTCCGAGTGGTATATTTTTCATAATTCTAACAGGTATAAAACCAGAAAATACTCAAGACTTGTATCAGTATGGATCAGTACAGGTTATTTAACACACATATGACATGCATCAAAATTCTGTTAAGGATTCAATCTTGTCATATATTTAGCTTTTTTTTTTTGGGTGACAATGATATTTAACTATTTTAATTAGAGAAGCTGATAACAGGAATATATATATGTATATATATAAAAATGGATTTTCAAAATTATTATAATTGCTTAAAGAATATGATATAGCTGTATACATCATTAGTGTTTTCTTGCACAATGCAAGCAAATTATTAAAAAGGAGCTGGTATTCATGGTTGGTGAAAACTCGGTCCATTGTCATTCAGTACAAAATTGGTAGCAAGTGAGATCTGTCTTAAAGCAACCTTGAAGTTATTACAAATCTTTGCTGCCAAGAAAGACCCTTGCATCAAGCTTAACCTGATTGATTGATTGCTGTGCCCGCTCTGTGTCTAGGTGGTCCAAAATTGCTGCCAGATTACCTGGAAGGACAGACAATGAGATTAAGAATCACTGGAACACCCACATCAAGAAAAAGCTGCTTAAGATGGGTATCGATCCTGTTACTCATGAACCTCTTAATAAACAGGCTGCCTCCCAGGAAACATCTTCCCCTCAGGATATTCCACAATCTTCAAATAATCACCAGCTTAAGGAAAGTGAAACGGTTCCCAATTCCGAGGAGAATTCGAGCACATCCCCAGTTGAAAACTCTTCAGGCGACGAGTCCCTTCTACTAGATAGTATATGCAGCGATGATTCTCTAATGAACAGCTTGTGGCAGGATGAAACACCCCTGGTGGATGCATTATGGGACAGTGAACCTAAAGTGCAGAACATTACTAATGATGACATGGCCATGCCATTTTGGGAGGACAACTGTGCTTGGTTTTTGGACTGTCAGGACTTTGGTATTCATGATTTTGGTTTTAATTGTTTTAATGAGATTGAGTCAAATGCACTGCAAACTTTAGGAATCGAGGGAAAGGATCATTAGCAAGCAGTACTCCCTGTGATCAGAGTTGTCCCTATAAAAGCAGAGTATTATATCAAATCTGTACAAGTTACATAATACCATGGGCTGAAAGTCAGGCTCTTGGTATTGAATTTTATCAAGCTAGCATGTTAAACAATATTCTTGGAAGGTGGAAGGTGGACCTTTCCTCTTAAGAGGTTCCTCACCATCCAAATAAACAGAGCTGATACCAAAACCAAATCATAAAATCCCACGATACTTGTTTTCTCATAAATGTTGTAATCTTATGTGCATGGTAGGGATACGGGAATGGAAATGTCAAAGTGCTACTGGTTTTCGTGATTACTTAACCTTTTGTACATAGATGTTTACTTTGAAAATAATGGTTAAAATGTTATTTTGTTGTGGTTATAAATTCTGCTGTGGTATTCCGTGTTTTTGTTCATGTGCCTCAGAGATAAAATAGAAACACAGAAGAGAGACAAAGACGTTTAACATGAACGCAGAGTACTGTGTGACTCTTCAGGTGGGGCGCATACTCTGGTGGCAGCTGAATAACTTTTAGACAAGTTGATGAATCGAAATAGTGCTTTATTTTCTTTCATTATATAAATGCACACCAGCTCTATTTTCTCTCTCTGTCCCCCACTCGGCAACCCCACACTTTTTGTTCGTTCTACTTTTATCATCATCTTCCTTTCTGAAATTATGCAGCACAGTTATCACGGTTTTACTGATGAAGACAATTATTGTGCTAACACCTAATCAAAGCCGTTTCCTTCCATGGGAAGAAGATTAATCAAATCATGTCTTCTCCAGAGTTGGAAGCCAGCGACTCTGTAGAAGCGAAGTTTCTGGACAATCTATGACGAGTCATCTCCTTTGAAGATGTTAGGAAACTGAAATAACTATAGATAGTCAGATATGCAGGATCCAAAAGCTTAGAATATGGTCTTATCCGCTTCACTGTAAGTTTAGGTACCTAAGGACGGTGTGTAAGAGAAAAACAAAAGCATATACATGGTCACCTTATCTCATTCATTCAAATTTATCTAGCCACTAATGATGAAGCGTGATCATAATATATAATATATTGCCGGGCATGGTGGCGAGATTCTTTCTGCCCCTTTTTGTGCTCAGTGTATTTGCCAAGACAAAGCAAGATATTAAAAAAAAAATGGCTAGTCTATATGTTATACATGTATTTATAACCAAAAGGTAAGCAACCAAGCATAACATTATTTAATCAAGGAAGAGTGGCTGAGTTGATGATAGTCGATTCTTTTTTATTAACTTTAGTGTTCAGACTTTGTAAGCAAAGGAAAAAAAACATATCAGATATCAAATAGACGTAAAAAAAAGTATAATTAAAATTAATTAAATGAGCTTTAGGCCATAAAAACACTTCAGAAATGAGCTATTTGAGTTTGTAATTTAGCATACAGACTCTAGTTATCTCTATTTTTCAAACAATAAAACATCTCGGTACATCAGGATAAGTATTATGAAAATAATGAACTAGCAAACATATTGTTGCAAAAGATTTTAGTGATGTGCATAATTAAAAAATGGGCATGACAAAGTGTTGGGCGATAATTCGATGTCTTTTGGTGAAATGAAAACTCAATAGAGATAGAATTTTCTATAATTAATAAATTATATTTGTTTTGTAGCCACTTAAAAAAATAATTAGAGAAACTTTAAAAGAAAAAGTACATTTGAAGAAGAGTGTCTCCGCTTGTTTTTTAATTTTTTTAAAGAAAAAGGTTAGACTTTTAACAAGTTCTTTTAAATTATGGCGTATCTCTGGGGTTTGATATGCAATGCTCACATTAGCCCAAGTAATTACAACTTAGTGGCACTAATGATAACATTCTAAAAAGTAAAAACAACAACGAATCAGCGATTAGACACCACATACCCCACAACCCAACACCCCCACTTGTTATCTTATTCTTCCACCTGTAATGGAATGTGCTAAGAATGTCGCAGAGCTTTCGGGTATTGTCTTCTAATTTACTATCATCTCCTCGATTTTCAAGCAATCACTCTACTACCTTCTAATATTGTCTTTAATCTTGAGAGAACCAAACATTAATTGTTCAGGCAAGTGCAATAGAATGTCAAATAAACCTATTCTTTGACAAGCACAGCGAAATCAGTTCACTCTCACTCAGTGTCAGGCCGAAGATGAAAAGTGTGACATGTGATCACTACTTCCAACTCAGGCTAATGCTGGCCAATCAGATCCATTTAACACCATCAGAAAGCAGAACTCTCGGTAAAAGTTTTTCACGAAGTGAATGCCGCCTGTAACGATTTACTTATTTCCTTTTAATTTATAAGATATTTTTTAATAAAATTATGCATACAAAAAATAAAATTTATTAAATATATTTTATAATATTATTTTTTAAATGTATGAATATAATTTTTTTTAAAAATATTCTTTGTTTAATATAATTATGGAGAGAATGACAAAAAGGACCCAAAAGAATCAATTAATTCAAGTTAGATCCCCAACGTCAAACTTCAAAAATTTACAACTTAATCTCTTAATTTTGTAATTGTATTGTGAAAAATTTATAATTTATTTTTTAATTTTTAACATGTTTGAAGAATAAAAAAATTATTTTTCCTGTTAAAATTTGAAATATATTGCAAATTCATCGTAATGGAGTTACAAAATTGATAAATTGAATTATAAATTCTTAAAATTTGACATTTGAAACATAACTTAAATTAATTAATTTTTTTGGGACCTCTCTATCATTCTCCCTAACTTTATTTATAAAGACATTAAAAAGAGCATGAAAAAATAATAAAGAGAAAATGTGTATAATTAATAAAAATTTATTTTATTAAAGTATTTTATATTTTAAAATAATGAATACCTTCAAATATTTTATAGATGGGGAGGGAGGGACTGCTTGAACAGTCAATGTGGACGCTGTGGTAAAACAAAACAAAAAACAAAAAATGGTCTACCTGCCTCCACATTTCAATGAATTGTCTCAATACAACTTCTTTTATTTATTTTTTGGCAACTGTAAAAATGACTGGATTGGAATGTACGTTATTATCATTAATTAGTAGAAACAAGAGACTAAGACCCTAAGAGAGAGTCATTCTAGTCAGATTAATCAAGAACCTACAATGGCAACGAGGATCAGTTAAGAAGTTAACTTAGATAAAAATAAGCGAATTGCGTTTCAAAATATTACCTAAAACTGATGTTATTCCTTGCACAAACTAAAATTTTTTAACAAAAACCTGAAAAATTTGGGACAAGAATATCTACAACTTTAAGAATTAAAGAATGGGAAAAAACGGTAGAATGTGAAAATAAATTGAAGATAAAAAAATATATTCTCTAATCCCACACAGACAACCTAAATACAAAAAATATATGAAATTATAAAATCACTCTAAAATTTCATGTCATTTATTGAAGCTCTTAATCTGTATTAAAGTTGTCAATGACTTCAAAGTAATTTTATAATTTTTTTATATTTAAATTGTTTATGTGATATTTGAGAAGGATTTTCTCTTGAAGATAGAGACTTGAAGTGAATAAATAAGCATAATATAATTATAAGGAAGTCAAAATAAAGTACATGAGTGAAGAGATATACATAAGTAAATAAATTAAGGTACAATGTGACTTTGGATATGGATATCAGGTGATGGTTTTACTAAAAGAGAGGCAAACAAATCATATTGTTATATCATTTTCAATTTTTTATATATTTAATAATTTAAACAAGACATTAATCTTTTTGGCCAAAAAAAAAACATTTAACCTCAACCATGCAAAGGCGTACAAAGCCAAGTGCAATGAAACCTGATTTTTTTGGGGTAATTTTGCAGGTTAATTAATCATCTTAACCGTTAAGTTAATAAATCTAAAGTACTTTATCCATTTTAAATTATAAAATACTTTTAAAATAATTTACTTCATTTTAAAATATAAGATACTTTGGGTGAATTATGATTTCATTGAATGTACTAATTTTAATATCACCATTCTATTTCTATAATTAATTTCTGTCTCTTATTTTTTCAATATATTGAATGATAAATATTTTTAAAAATTTATATTTTTATTTTTTAAAAATAAAATTGTTAAATATATTTAATAAAATATATTAATATATAAAATTTTATTTAAAAATATTTTATAATTTAAAATGAAAGGAGTATATTATATTTTTGGAAGCAATTATTCAACTAGAATCCTAACCATCCTCGCAGTTTTTAGGATCATATACTCAACACTAACTTCTTAAAGGCGGAATGTACATCCTGTTCTCTCTGACACACCATAAGCTTGAAGTGTGCGTCAGCAACCTCGTAGCAGTGTAATTAATTTGGTTGAAACTCGTAGAATTTATAGATTTGGACGAGGTACATAATACTGCAATCAGTATCGTGGTCCATACATGATTTCTACGAGGCATATTTGTCGGTATGACCAGGAAGATTTAGACGTGGCTTTCTGCATAAAAAACATCTCATTCCATGACAATGCTCACTCTATTGCAATTTGCAAATGTGGCGAAACCGAACGCATGAAAATTTGAGGATTTTTCTAAATCAATTCGTCAAGTTGATTAGACCCCCGTTTTCCGACGAGACATTTGATTTGAGAAAACGCATTCCCAGAGGGCAGAGGCAGAAGTTGTTGTAAAATACATTTGTTCAGTGCTTATCGTCTCCTCCAAGCCATTCATTACTGGCCTCAAAATAATTTATGAAATAAAAATAAAAAGGTTTTATTTTCATTGACAGGTGTCGTCTAGGGCCACTACTTAGCTCCCTGTTAAATTGCATAATCATGATTACGGGCTTGTCTCAGCGTGTATTTTTCATTTGTTTACTTAAAGCACAAGTTTTTATAAGACTTTTGAAAACGAAGGGTACAATGTTAAACAAGCGGCAACACCTTCAATTGGAAATTGGATTTGATTCATCCGAACGAATTTTTCACCTGCACGTCGAAATATGATTTACCCGGTTCAATTTTTTTTTTTCATTTTGAAATTAAATTTATATAATATTGTTTTTAAATCAAGTGTGATATATGATATCATCTATGCTGTTACCATTAAGTTGTAAAAAATGATTTAAATGGGGAGGTACAAAAATAAAATGATTTATAATATATAATATTATCGGGGTGCCCCTCACTTTGATTTTTGACACGTTTTCATCCGCTCCCAGTCATGTATTTATTAATTTAAATTTCTATTGGATGTTCGTGTTAAATCAACTTTTTCATAGAGTTGATTTAACCTCTCTTGAAATTGTTTTTAAAATTTAGTTCCTCACAAATGCATAAATATAAATTTATCTTGCAAAGGAAAAATTTATGCTATTAATGATGTTCTTTATCGAATTAAATTGAAAAACATGTACGCATAAGAGAAAAGCCATATTACTTTTTTTTGTTAAGAAAATCACTTTCAAAGATCACTCAAAAAAAATCATTCGCAAATAAGAGCTAATAATAAATTTTATTTAAGAAAAACTAAGTCCATTTTCTTATTCTAATAATAATTCATTTCTTATTGATTGTTATCCTCAAAGAAGTTTTTTGAGTAATTCTTGTATATAATTTTCCCTATTTTTTTCTTTTAATTGTGAAATTAAAAAATGGGAGATGTTAAATTGATGTAGTTTAACATGAAAGATTAAAATCTAGTGTGACGCACTGAAATAACAGTTTGTATTTTTCATTGTATCTATTGCATAATTCTAATACTTTGGGTTGTTTATTGATGATTTTGCACTCAAGCCATCCTCGCATCCATTGTGAAGTTGTGTCTGTAAGATTCTGCAACGGTCCCGGCGATCGCCTGATTTGGCCTGGTAAAATAAAAACATTGATTCCAAAGCTGCTTATCATATTTTCCTGCATTTCATTTTGGGTACAATGTATATTTATTGAACAATTTTGGCTGATGTATGAAATGACACTGCTCTGCATTTGGCTCGTCTTAAAATGAGCACCATGGTGTTCAGCACTAAAACACTGCCATGTGGCAGTGTTTTTTTTTTTTACTTTTTTAAACTACAAATTTATTATAATAATAAATAAATACTATAAAATTATTATTTTAATATTTAATAAATAAATAAATATTAAGATGTTAAAATTAAATATGAATAGATTAATTTATTAAAATTTAACTTAAATAATTCATATATAAATTTTAGTTTGAATGGTTCAGAACTGTATTGAAAATATTAAAATTAAAAATAAAAATATTTTTTTATTTTATTAATTTTGTACAGTTGTTTATCCATGAGAGATAATATTATTCAAGGCATAGTCAAGTATTAAATATAGGTACTTCTCTTAATAGGAATTCAAACATTGATTTATTACAGTTTATGAAACTAGATCATTTTGTTAGATTTAACTCCTATTTTAAATTATTCAAATCATTTTTTATTTTTTAGTACAGTTTTTAATATTCAGACCAAAATTTTTATTTAAACTATTTAGGTTTAATTTTAATATTTTAATATTTATTAGTTTATTAAATATTAAAATAATAATTTTATAATATTATTTATGATTATAATAAATTTGTGATTTAAAAAAAGTAAAAGAAAAAAAAACACTGGCAAACAAGGCAGTAAAGCTAGCAAAAAGGGCCGGCCCTTGAAGGGCTCGGGCCTAAAAGGGCCAGCCCTTTTAAGCCCAAGTTTCTTTTAGGACCCTAATTTTTGAAGCCCGGCCCTTGATATGACGGTCTCAGGGCCGGCCCTGCGGGCTTTAGGCCCTTTTAACTATTTTAATTTTTTTTAAATTTTTTAATCAAATAAAAATTATTTCATTCTAATATAATACTCAATTAAGAAATGTATAAAAAAACTAACTAAATAAAATATAAATGACCTAAAAACACAAATAAAATAATAACAATGTAATAAGTAATAGATCGGTTAAGTCGACAAACACCCAATCAAAATTAGAAGAGTAAATGTTGAATTGAATAAATCATTATCATGGATTTACATGAATTAGGGGTTTAAGGTTGTATTTTTTTTAGAAAATAGCAGTCAAAGATTTCTGTATGAAATTTATATCAATTAAGAATCAATTATTGTTAAAACCTGAATGAAAAACAAACTATAATGAACTATTGTTAATTTAAAATGAGTTGTTATTAAAATCTAAATGAATACTTATTGATAAAGGCTAACTCGAATTCACAAGTATCTACTCAAATTTTGACAATAAGTGATCTTTGACTGATATAATTTTTGATCAGTGATTCTTCATTGCTATTTTTTCTTCTTCTTTTTTACCTTCCATCCTCAATAAATATGGGCTAACATGTGATGTGAAGTAACATTTAGTTTAATTTTTTTTTTCAAATGCAAAAAGAGTAAAAATTATGAGAATTAATTAAAAAAAATACACATGTGGGCTTAAACGGGTTGGCCCTTAGCCTTACAGGCCCGTTTAAGCACGATTTATTATTTATTAGTCCTATTTACAAGCTCGATCCTATTTTTATACAGGTTTAAACGGGCTAGCCCGACAGATTCGGTTCATTTTTTCAACTCTACAGGACAGTGTTTTGGTGCTGAGCATCGGTGATGAGTACGGAAACCGAGTCCTTTACCGAGCAATACAACGAATCAGTTTTATACGCAGGAGTAATAAAAAGTTCCCAACCTCTTTTTTTTTTTTTTTAATTATTGTTGATGTGCACGTAACATCTAACGATGATGTAACGGGTCTCCATATTTTTGCGTTTAATCATCACCCCTATTGCCTTGCTGATGCTCCCACTTGACATTTTTGTATACAACTAAATTAATCATGTGCATAAATACTACATTTAAAAAATGGCCTCACTGTTGCCTTCAATTATTTATTTTGGAATGGGGCTACTCTGAAAAGCAAAAGAAATCAATATGTTCCACGTGATTTCGAATTTTTTTTTTGGCAAAAGAAATTCGAATTGTTCAACACATCAAAAGTTTGGATTTTTATTGGACCTGTACTTGGGCTTATCTGTTACACGGTCTCCTGAGTTGAGGAGGCCATTGGCCCAGACCAATGAGTAAGTATGAAACGACGCGTTTTGGGGGAACATCGCGTTTCCTGGTACGAAGCTCCGCTAGAGCCTGGAAACTTTCGCGGGTTCTTCTAGCTGTGGCAGGGGGCCTAATTACTTCTCTTTTTGCTGCACTAGCCGCCTCAGATCAGTTCGCTATCTCCACATGTCGCTGAGTACATCCCCATCTTGTTGATCCATAATCAGGTATTTTGAATCACGATTCTTGCATGACATTATTCGATTCTTTTTTCCTGGAAATGTAGTCGTTTACTGCGATAATTTGCGAAGCTGAACTGCGTCCGTTATTGACGCTCTACGGAGATGTTCATTACGATATGTTGGATTCTTTATGAATTTTAAACCTTGTCTCTTACCCAATTTATTTATTAAATCACACGGCTCGAGTTATTTCGATTGCAACAAAATTTTGTTCGCTTGAATAGGGATTTTTTTTTTTGGGGTCCTCTCCTCTAGGTAGGAGCTTTTTCTCTCTGTGAGGAGAGTAGAGTCGTGGTCGTGGACTCTTCTCGTTGGTCGTCGGTGAGTGCGCGCGTTTGCGTGTTCTCCGCCACCATCTCTGGTGGTGGCAGAGCGTTCATATATAATCTTCACCCCCACTGGGTGAAGTGTTTGAGTGGGCTGTGTGTGTTCAGGCGTGTGCGATTTTATTTGGGATGCGGACAAAGTTCTTATCTCCGGCGACGATAGTGATGAAGAGGATGGCGATGGAGCGGCTGTATCTTGAACCGAGAGTAGATTTTTGGGTAACGGGTGAAAAATTGAAGGATAAGCAACTCTTGTCCCTATCTGATTCCCGCAAAATGAAGATAGAAGAATGGACGATGATGCAATCTGGATCTGAGAACGATTTCGGAATGGTAGGTATCTGGTTCAAATTTTGCGGAGGTGCCGTCCAGGTATGAGAATGCGGCGATTAATGATCCTGTTCATAATGTGATGCAGCTCCTTCAGGTTCCTCTGTCTCATGTGGTATAAATGTTGCCAATCTAGGTTTTACGGGTTCAATATGATTTAATTGTTTGGATTATGTCGAGTGTGTTTTGGTGGCGTTGCCTCCTATTTTTGAATTGTTTTGTTGGATTTAGTAGAGATTTTGGCTAAGGTATTGCTATCTGTTGGAGATTTTAGTGTGCTGCCTTTTGTTATTGATCCTAGAATTTGGAGCTGTACTGGGATCAGATGGATGTATGAATTTAATAGGATTAGAAGCAATGATATTCTTGAGTTAATTAAGGCCATGATTGTTTTCACTCTATGGTAACCATGGAAGGCGTGGCGCACTTTCACTTTTGAACAACAATGTAGTAAGCCTGGTGGTATTGTTCAGCTGGCTATGTTGTTTCTATATATTTTTTGGGCAGCTAATAATTGGTGTAGTACTGGTCTAAATGCACAAAGTGTGGATAGTACGGCTCTGGAGGCTGCTAATGCTTTTCCATCCATGGAACAGATTGCTACTGGAAACTGTGATCTGGATGTTTGAGCTTTCTATGATGGTGCTTATGTTGGTACACTTGAAAAAAAAAAATATTGGGCATGGTTTGTAGTAAGACACTGTTTGGGGACTGTTTATACATTGCAGCTGTGGATGTTGATGCAAAATCACCTTTTAGTTGTGAGGCAGAAGCTATTATTTGGTGTCTCCAATGTTGTATCCCTAAGGGTTACTCTATCGTCTTGCTTCTCTCAAATTGCTTCCCGCTGGTAGAGGTTGCGTGTCTTGAAATTCCAAGCCCTGTATGGGGTCACTTCACCATTGAGGATATCGTTTTGAATCTTGGTCAATCACTAAGCACCAGTTGCTTTAAGTGGATCCCAAGAAGTTTGAACTATGCTGTGACTTGGATTGCTTGTACAGCATGGTGCTCTTTGGATTGGGCTTGCATCCCCCCATCCCTGTTAGTGCTTTTCCTGGATCATGACTTTGCTGAATCAAGGAATGTTTCTTTGTTTTTATTAGAATCTTATACTGTTGGTTGTTTTCTTGTTTGTTCTCTGGTTTGTTTGGTTTCTGGTTTGTATGGCTTTTATTTGAGGTTCCCGATTAATGATGGTCATTTCTTCTTGGCAAAAGGAGGAAAAAAAGAATAGGAAAATTTTTAATTTTAACGAGACAAGAAGATCAACAATACAATGCTCTTCTTTTGCTCCAAATTGCAATGATTCACCTTCAGAGTAATGTACAAATTTGGTTGACATTTTATCAGATATGGCACTTTCTATGACTCCCTGATGCTGCAATTTGATCATAGATACACTAACTATTCAACTAAAACTTTGGATGCGAGAATTGTATATGGGCACTGAATCAGTTTGATTCCTATACTTATTTGACCACCTCATCTCCAGCACTAATTTATTATTATTATTATCTTCTTTTGTTTTGGGTTCATATTTTCATGTTGCTTGTCCATGACCGAAGCTAAACTGTTATCTCAACCATTATAATGCTGAATGAATCAATGAACATTTTACTAAATATCACAAGGCTTACTAGTCATTTTTTTTTTTTGCATGTTGTTGTTTAAGCGTTCGTTTGTGCAAGAAAAAGTGGAGGGATGAGAATTGTCAGTGAATCTGATTATAGTTTTGTCATCTAAACATGGTTAACTTTCATCTTCGTATCCTTTTGCCCGTCCTTTTTCACCCAAGCAACGTGTGTGTTTCTTTTTTTGTTGACGAAGCATGTGCAGGCAACATTTTTCCTAACAGTTGGTTCACTTGTAGTGCAAGATTGTTTCCTTAACTTGCTAAACTCTGAATGCCAAATTACGTGTAATGCATTAATTATCATAGCAATTACTCTTGGGGGTCTGAAATTGGTACAAATTTTCAGTGTAGGCTATGGCAATCATGTACAAGTGCAATATGTCAATAATACATGATGGTTGGTTACCTTGAAAGCATAGAAGTAAGTCTCGGACTTTAGTTTCCCAAAATTTAGGGCCTCTCTTTTTATATTTGTAGATAAAAAAGGATTCCTGAAATTGTGATTTGTGCTCAAAAAGGGTTTCCCATATGCAATGTGTGTTTGCATGTGAAGGTCCTAATGCTTTCCACCCTGTAACTGTTTTATTTTGGTTATATCTATTAGAAAATTTCAAGTCCAAAGTCCAAGCCCTTTGCGAAGATCAAGTTATTTGGGTATTATGTGTCAACTGCTAAACTTTGTTCAAACTCCAACTGGGATGTTTCCAGTGCATGTTTTTTTAAATATCTAATAGGTAAATGTCAAGAAGCAATATCACTATGGATAGCATAACTCACATACCTTCAACCTTTGGCCATATAAGATCTTTTCGATAGCCTTATTTGCAATATACATGATAACAAGTCCTCTCACTTGTCAATCTTGCTTAATTTAGCCTTGTTCATATTATTTTGATCTTCGTAAATTTGTATATCTTCATTTCACTTTTAAAATGATTTTCTGGCTTTATCTTTGCAAGAGAAATGGGGAACGCATTCTAGTCTTTTTATCTGATTGTCAGTGCACATATGGTTCAAATCTTCGGTTTAATTATTTTTGAGCGAGTGATAACTTTTAAATTTGTGGCTAGAAGGAGAAGTAGTCAAGGGTAGAAATAGGCCAAAGGCCTATCACCCAACCCATGCGCTGGCCCCTTTAACTAAAGGGTTAGTCTGAAGCCTATAACTAGGCCTATTTAGCTGCTGTAGTTTTTTTTAAATTAATATATTATTATATATATAATGTGATATAATTAAATTTATTTTATTAAATTATTCATATGTCTATAAAATTACTCAGATCTAGCCATCCTCACTAGTCATGATGTAACTCACTCACCCTTACCCACAACCTCGTCTATCATCTTGCTCAATCAGGACCTCACCTACAAACCTCATTACGTCTTCATCTATCACTCCACTAGCTCTCCATTCTTGTGATTGTAATGGAGACTTGGTAATATGGGGTATTAAGTCCCATATTGAATAATATAGGACCTTCAATAGGGTATTTAAGTAGGTTGGCTCTCTTACCTTAATAACTAACTTTTGGGATAGGGTTTCTCATCTTACATAGGTATTCATCAATTGATATTAGAGCCAAATTGTTGACAGTTTTGGAGTTACCCACAAAGGGTTCTGATAGGCAAGAGGCTGAGTTAAGTATTGTGGTATGCAGCTGCTATGATGTTAGTTTTCCATGGGTGACTAATTGATGGAGACTTGATAGTATGGGATACTCAGTCCTACATTGAATGGGATGGGATGCTCAATGGAATATTTGAGTAGATTGATTTTCTCACCTCAGAAACTAACTTTTGGGGAAGGATTTCATTCAGTATTTCTTTCTCATTTTCCTTTTTCAAAACAAATTTGAGGGATAGGGCATGTTAATTCAATATCTACTGTTCATTATTGGATGTGATTCTGATATGGTGGCATCGACAGCTACATCAACATAAACCCATCTCCTCCCCTTTTAACTTCTTCCCTTTTCATTTAACTTTATCTCTTAAAAGTATCTGCCATCTTACTAAGTCATCAAATAAATAAAAATGCAACGTTGAATCTCTTATTGTGCTGTCTATATTAATAATTGAATGTTGATTTCTCTTGTCCACTTAAAGGTCTTAAGTGACATGGAATAGCAGAGGTTGAGAGGTGGTAGACCGATACAGTAAAAGCTCCTAGAAAGCATTTAGGAATTTAAAAGTTTGTGGCTGATTTGGCTTCAGATTCTGATTACGTTTGGGAAAAAGCCTTACATAGGCTATAGGTGAGGCTCAGGTCAAATAGGCCAAAGCTTGCCTAACCTGCCCTGTTGCCATCCCTAGAAGTAATCATTTTAGTAGTTTAAGTCTGGGTTTCTTCATATGGTTTATATAAGTTGTTAGAATTACTTGAGGACTGGTGAGAAGCTACTTGGGCCTGATATGATGAGTCACACAGCCTAATGTGACTCACCTGTCATGGTTAAGTTACCTAACACAGTGATAATGATGCAGGGAATTAATGTAAGCGTACTGATAGTGTTAGTTTGTAATAGAGCACAATGGCGTCTTGCAATCCATGTAGCCGACCCCACCTAGTGGGATAAAGGCTTGTTGTTGTTGTTGTTGTTGTTGTTGTTGTACTGATAGTGTTAGTTTGTGCAGGTTATTTAGTGAAATCAGCCAGTTAAAAGAATAATTAAATCATGTGCTGTGCTCTCTAATTCCCTATGGTCTATTAATAGGGGGTCATATGGACTGAGATAGTTGTTGATGAATATCCTTGAAGTTACATTATCTATTAAATGGTACAACTCGTACCAGATCTGCTTTGCTATTTTCTATGAAGAAATCAGAACTTGAAAATTGCATTTCTCTTTTATGTTCTCTGTACATGGGACTGTGAACTTATGTGATTGTTTATTGCTATTGATTTGATCCTCTTTATATAGTAGCTTTGTGAAGAAATTTAGTTGTTAGTATCGTGGTTATTTACTTAATTTGTACCAATTTCCAGCATTATATCTTTAAGGACTTTTTTCAGGAACACCTTTTAGGAGTAGCCATATTATGGGTGAGTTTACAATTCAGATTAGCAAAAACCTTGTTGATCGGCTTGTTCAAGATGCGGATACGTCAAAGAAATCTAAAAGAACTAAACGGAAGGCATCAAGAGAGCCTCCAGTGTCCCAATCAACTGCAAGCCAAAAACAAATAGGCGATGATTTTGTGAAGCCCAGGAGTGAGGCTGCTCCAGCATGGCCACTGCAGCCTCCTGTGTTCCTGCCAGCAACTCAGTCTGTACATTCTGCCAATGCGGAGTTAGAGTCCATACGATCTGTGCTTCAGGAAAGTGAGAAAGTTGTGGAGCGATTGCAGAAGGAGGAGGAGAACATTTTGCAGAAAGTAACCCAAAAGGCAAAGGAGTTCCGTGATAAAGAGTATAAGCTTCCAAAGCCAAAGCCCAGACCATGCACTGCTGAGTGTCAGGCTTGCTTGTCATGTTACAAGGAGCACGTCAAGGATCCCTTGAAATGCGCTAGTCTGGTTACAAATTTTGCAGACTGTGTGCGCAGGTTTAGACAGCAAGTTGAACTGAGAAATGTGTGAAGAGAAAATTACACAAATTGATGGAAATAAGCCGCAAACTGACAGAAATACTCATTGATTGTTTTTTTTAGTACATCATCACCATTTTTGTTTATGTTACCTGGCAAATGCTAAAACTGTTCTCTTGATGTGCTTGGAATTCCAGCACGTGCTTGACACCCATTGTCCAGTTGCACGGATCTTGCTAATGCACCCGTCTCTTTTAGGGGGACGCTGGTTGGATGGTTGTTAATTTTAGATGATGATCAAGAGTTGACTAGTTTTTCATTTAGAGTTAATCTATCAAGCTCTTGTGTGTTTTTTGAAGTCTTTATCAGTTAGTTTATGTCCGATCTAGTTCCAAGTCCATTAGGTAGTGCTGCAATGACGGGGGTTTGATTAGTTCTTGGTGATGATTTGAGACTGAGGAGTGTTAACTGATGATAGAAACAAGCAATGATCGTATTGCCAAGGATTTGGTTGGGAGCAAGAGATCAAGTGTTTGGTAGGGTTCCAGGGGTTTTAGGTCCGTTATGGATTCTTACATTTTCTGCAAGCAGTATCCAGTGAAGTCACTTAAAACGTGGCATCAACATTGGCAGATGGCTCGATTCTTTGTCTAGGTCGTCCTTTGCCGAACCTGGGCTGCATGATGTACATCCAGGGACAGACCCTGGTGCAAGAGAATGAGGTAATTGCCCTGCAAGGTAAGAAAATAGTAGAGTAATAATAATATTATTATTATTGAAATGATCAATTTAAACACACAGCACCCAAGTGCCAAAACAGGATTCGAACCCTGGACCTTACATTTGAAGGAAGGTGGCATTGTTGTTGAAGCAACTTGCCATTAGCAGGCAAGAAAATATTAGAGTTAGTAACTCAAAATTAATTTCCCCTTATCAAAGGGAAAAAATATTTGTCTCCTTAAAATTTTTCACTTCTTGCGTTTTATGCATTATTCTTTAGTATTTAATTTTAATAGATTCCATCTTTAATGTAATTTAATAAGTATCTTTTATGATATTTTTTAAAAAATATTTATTTTAAGTACAGATTTTTTGGATCCTTCACTAGCTGCATCACTGTCGTTCTTGTCAGACGTTCTTGTCTTTATTTACTTGTCTTTGTGTTTATGTCCAAAACAAAGAACAAGATAAACATCTAGCTCCTTTCCAACAAGTGCAAAATAATTGTTATCTTGCCCCCTCTACAAGTAAAGAGGCCACATTTTTCACCATTTTATAATCTTTTCTTAAGCCAGTCTTAAGCTTGGACAAGGAAGGAGGGTTATGTTAGGTTCTCAATAGTCAATGCAAAATTATAGTGAATCTCACATGGATATAGATAATAGGTGTTTTTGTGCTTATGCTAGATTATTATCCATAAATAACGTGTTTCATAGCTTGAGTGCAGTGATAAGTGAATTAAAGCTATTGCATTGGCGCCTAAATGTAATGTTAAATGAGCAAGGGTTATTGCATTATTTTGGATAAGCACGGTTAAAGAAGTTAGTCCATGTGAATAAGATCAGATTTGGTACTTGAAATGTTGTAACTTGGATTGGTAAATATATGGATGTGGTAGGAGTTATGATTTATAGAAAGATTAATATCTTGTGCCTATAGGAAACTAAATGGTTTGGTGAGCAAACTAAGAATATTTAAGGTTTTAAATTTTGAAATATTGGAAAGTAAGCACATGTAATGGGGTTGGTATCATTGTTGATAAGAAGAAAAATATGTTTGAAGTTAACAGAATTAGAGATAGAATTATTTTCTTAAAAATAATTGTTGGACGTGAGACTGTTAACATTAGTAGTGCTTATGCACGTCAAGTTGGGACAAAAGCCAATCTTAAAGAATTATTTTGAAAAGACTCGGAGGGGTTGATTCAAAGTATACCATATAATGAAAAGATTTTTATTACAGAAGACTTTAATGGTCATGTTAGGAGAGAGACAAGTCATTATGCGAGGGTGCATAGTAGTTTGGGTTTTGAGGAGCTAAACAATAAAGGACAATCTATGCTTGATTTTTCTTTGGCATATGATTTTAAGATTGTCAATACTTATTTCAAGAAGAGGGATGAGCATCTCATCATTTATAAAAGTACAGCCTTAAGGTTGTATATTGATTTCTGTTTGGTAAGGAACACGAATAGAAGACTTTGTAAAAATTGTAAGGTGATTTCTGAAAATGCTGTAATGACATAGCGTAGGGTTTTTGTCATTGATGTGCGCATTATGAATAAAAGCTAAAAGCCTCAACAACTGATAACTCTAAGAATTAGATAGTGGCAATTAAAAGGTGAAAAGTGAGAAATTTTCAAGTGAAATCTCTCGACAGAAGGAATTTAGGAGTCTTGAAGATGTGCTAACATCTTATAAAAGGATATAGTTAGGAAGGTAAAGAATGTTGCAAAAGAAGTTTTGGGAGGATCAAAAGGTTTTGGTTCAAAAGATAACGAGTCTTGCTGGTGGAATGATAGTATACATGAGAAAATCAAGCATAAGAAGGAATGTTTTAAAGCCATTTATTATGCAATAATGATGAAAATTAAGAAATGTATTGTATGGTTAAAAGGAAAACTAAAAAGGTGGTGAGTGAAGCTCGTTTTAAAGCATTTGAAGAATTTTATAATAGTTTTGGGACAAAAGATGGAAAACAAAAATTTATAAGATTGTTAAAAGTAAAGAAAGAAAATCAAGAGATTTGAAACAAGTAATGTTTATAAAGGATGAAGAGGGAAATGTTTTGATCACAGATGGTGATATTAAAGACACATGGGAGACCTATTTTTCTAAACTTTTCAATGATGGTAGGGGCTCATTAATTAATTTGAAGGATTTAGTAACTCCTAAAAGAGAATAAAATTTCTCATTCTATTGAAGGATACCTAATTAGGAAGTAAAGGAAGCCTTTAAGAAAATGGCAAATGGTAGAGCCAATGGATCCGATTATATTCTTATTGAAGTATGAAAATGTTTGGATTAAAAAGGGGTGCGATGGTTAAGTAAGTTATTTAATGAGATCTTACAATTCAAGAGAATACTTGACGATTGGAGGAGAAGCACCTTAGTTTCTATTTACAAAAATAAAGGAGATATTTAGAACTTTGTTAATTATACAGGGATCAAACTTATGACTCATACAATAAAAGCATAGGAAAGTGATTAAGCATAGGTTGAGATTGGAAACTAATATTCTTGAGAATCAGTGTGGCTTCATGCAAGGTTGGGCTATTACAGAGGCAACTTATCTATTAAGGGGATTAATAAAAAGGTATTGATGTAAAAGTAAAGATTTACATGTAGTTTTCATTGATTTGGAAAAAGCTTATAAACGTGAATCAATAGAAGTACTTTGAAAAGCATTAGAAAAGAAGGGCGTTCAGGTTGCCTATATTCGAGCTATCCAAGACATGTACGAGGGGACAATAACTAATATAAAAACATTTGGCGGCGAAACAAAAGACTTTCATATAAAGATTGGATTGCATTAGAGATTATCTTTGAGTCCTTATTTGTTTGATCTAGTCTTAGGTGTTTTGACTGAGCATATTTAAGAGAAAATCTCTAAATGCATACTTTTCAAGAATGATATAATTCTTATTGCGAAGATAAAAGAATAGATTAATTGTAAACTTGAATTATGAAGGAAGACATTGAAGTCAAAAGGTTAACGTCTGAGTAGAAGTAAGACGAAATATCTATATTATAATTGTAATAAGAGGTCAATAATTAGTAGTTTGAAAGAGAAATTCGGTGATCAGATTATACCTCAAATGTAAAAGTTTAGATATTTAGGAGTGATTATTTAACATAATAGGGAAAGTGATGGACATATTGTACATAGGATATAAACTGAGTGGTTTAATTAGAGAGAAGCTAAAAGAATTATTTACGATCATAAAATACCTAATAAATTTAAAGAGAAGTTTTATTGAACTACTATAAAACTAGTAATATTATATAATAGTGCACGTTAGGCTTTAATAGAATAGTAAGAGCATAAGGTTGGAGTAGCAGAAATGAGAATGTTGATATGGATGTGTGAACATATATGTAAAAATAAAATTTAAAATAAGCGCATATAGGAAAATTTGAGCGTCACACCTATTAAAAAATAATAAAAAATTGTTTGAAATGATTTAAAAATATATAAAAAAGATCACGAGAGGCACTTGTGAGAAGAGTGAAATAAATAACTTTAAGTTTTGTTAAAAAAGATAAGGGAAGGTCAAAAGGAATACTTTTAAAAGTTGTTAGATCGAAATTTCTTAATTAGTATTAATAATATTTTTAAAAGTTTAATAAATGATAAAGTACATTGATATTGTATAATTCATATAGTCAATCCCACTTAGTGGGTGAGATAAGGTTTGTTGTTGTTGTTGTTTTATAATCTTTTCTTAAATTAGTGACCAAAGAAACTAAATTTACATATTTTGATTGTCAAAATTTTAAATTAGAACTTGATGATTGATATCTTTATAATTTAATTGAAAATTTATATGATTATGATTATTATTTATAAAACTTGAATGGTTATTATTATTATTTTTTGCTACCTACAAATATCTTCGTAAACTTAAATAGTTATTAAATTTGTCTGCATCTAGATTTTATTTTTTAAAGTTCAAATCGAGCCCAACTTAAAAAAACCTTACAAAATATTATATTTAAAAGTTAATAGGTATTTTAAATTTTAAATTATTATATAAATAGTATTTTATATTTTAAACTTTTGAAACGTATAAAAAATTTTCTTAACTATTAAATTCTGAAGGTCAAATTAACCTTAAACAGTTAAACTTAACTCATGTAAGTTTTAATGCGAATAAATACATTTTCATGTTCGGGAAATGCGAAATATCGCTCCAATCCGTAATTCCCACGAGGGGATGGGAAGTCAGGGATATTGAGTATTGACGGCTGATACAATAAATCATGAATGTTAAAATTGATTGACAGCGCATTATATTTTGTTGAGTGTAACAAAATATTCTCAAAGATAATAGGAATGATTTACCAAGGGTTCTTTTTTTTTTGGATAAGTGTTCATTTTTTTTATAACTCATAAGTATGAATTTGTTACAGGTATTGTTATTTGAAGTGTGGTTTTAAAAATTAAAAATGAGTACTTCTTATATTAAAAATAAATTTAAAATTTAATTTATCATATTATAAAACATTAGTCCTTTTTTTAGACTTAATTTTTGTTAGTCATTTTTATTCATGAAATTATGAATCTTATTTCTTCAGAATTACATCTTTTTTGTCAAATTTAGGAATCACATATCTGAACAAGTAATCCCAAAAATATAGGAGTTCATAAATTAATTAGTCCGAAAATATAAGGAAATATTGGCGACGAGAAAAATACCCAAACAAAATCATCCCCAGATTGTTTTTTAATATGCACACACGTACCCAAAACAAATTTGCGTAACAGGCACACTTTTTTTTTTTTTTTAATCGGAAAAACTAAACGATGAGGAGGAACTGGAAATCTGTAACAGCGTCATCGTTTAATTGACTGCAATCATAGGAGGGACCAACCACGTGGTGTCTGCTACTGGTTTTGTCTTGAATCCTTGAAATTAAAATTGAAGAAATTGGCTGATTACAGCGAAGATTAACAAACCAAAAGACTTTCGAGGGAGAATAAATAAATCAGTGATCGATCGGATTCGCCATGCTTCTGTGATATGGGCGTACGCAGACCTAAAAATTAGCAATGAAAGGCGTCTTTTCGGCGCCCGGAGATTTCATCCACTTCAAGTCTCAGGTCCCTCTTCACAAAATCCCTGTAGGTCCCTTTACTCATATGTTGTAATCTTAGTTGTCTTGCTATTTTTGTCATTCACTTTTATCGCTAGCTTCATATCTTAAGTGCTTTTGGATTTAGTCTGTTAATTTTGTTATAAGGACCTTATACAGTTCGGCAGTCGATCTCGTGTTTTTTATCGTCATGATTTTTCATAATTGTCATCGCAAAGTTTTTGAATTTGATATGGCTATTTCTTTTCGTTATTGACCGTGTTCTCTGCGTTTCTACTCGCGTTAATTTCTGGGTACATCTTCGGCTTGGCTTCCTCAGAGTATTATTTGTGTTGTTGATGTGCAAGAACGTATGCTCATAACTATTTGATTGCATCATTTCCAGACAATTCCAAGTTTATGGTGCTCTCGGTTCTAAATTTTGCACCCATATTTTGGTAGTTCTTTCCTTTCATTCTTTTTTCCTTTGTCTTCTTTGATTGACTTTTCAGAGTCATCGTTTGAGCTGGTAGAGTGTTTTGCAGTAGCATGGATTGCTGGCAGCTTGCTAGTTACCTTTTTTCTTCCTTCTTCTCGTGTCGATTGCAATATAGGCCTTAGAAGTTAAAATTGTTATATAGCACGCATATTGCTTTTATTTGCATAATTGGTTTGCAATTCATTTGTGGTCAATTTATCTCTTTTCTTAGTCTTACTTCTTTGTGAATTGAATGCCGCTTTAAATATCTCATCCTCCTGGAAGAAAAATTCATAACGAATAGAAGGATACATAGGTTTTGGAGATGTAACAATGATTTCATTTCATACTTCTCAGTGACAGGTTCCTTAATATGGCTATGTCATGTGAATACTTTTAATCTTAATATGCTCCCGAACTTCAGTATTTTAGGGATGAATCACAGGCTTCACCAAAGATTGAATGTACAGTAGACTAGATGTTTTGGTTTTAGAATAAGCACATCTTTCTTTCTTTCTTTTGTTTTGTGTTTTTGTGTTACTCTGCCATTCTTAGTGAAGGGTTGGGATTTTGACTATACCTGATTCGATCAATAGTTATAATTACCATAGATCAATTTAAAAGAATGCCTTTTTGAATCATTCCATGCTTTTAGTGTGCAAAATTCAGTTATGCAGTGGGTCAGCAAAATGGAGCTATGAGATAACACATGCAACAAATGCATCTTATATCTCCAAGCATCATAATACCAGTGTACCAAAAGGTGTCGTGGACACCTCTTGGCCATTTGGATGTCATCTTGAGGATGATAATATACTAATCAGTTCCTCTGTCTCTCCTGATTCTTCTCAGGTTGGGCAGAAATATAGATTATTGATTTAATGTGCGGGCAACCTAGTTGTGCTTTTTTGGCATGACTGTTTTTGTATTTTTAATTAGACTCTGTTCATTGTTGAATTATTTATATGGTTTGTTGGATTTTGTGTGTTTATTGCCTTCTTTTAGAGTATAACTTTTCATGAGGCATCACTCCTATGTTTTGTGGCTGCTTGCATTAATTATTGCAGATTGGCACAAAGCAGTGGCGATATTATGATTTTGGTCCAAAAGTTGTGCCTCCACTCATTTGTCTTCCCGGAACAGCTGGAACAGCTGATGTGTACTATAAACAGATCATGGCATTGTCCATGAAGGTACTGCATATGTTGACATAATAAATAGTATTGCAATCAATTTTCATTTCTGCCAATCATCCTCTTTGAAGTTCCTTTCTGTTTATAGTATAAGTGGGCTATTTTAGGAGGACTAACAATGCATTCAATTTTTGAAGGGTTACCGTGTCATATCTGTTGATATACCCCGTGTATGGAATCACACTGAATGGGTTCAAGCATTTGAAAAGTTCTTGGATGCTATAGACGTCCACCATGTATGATGTCCTTAAGCTTTATCCGTTCCTATTTTTCATCTATAATATTCATTATCATACATGTCTCTGCCAGTCTGTGCAACAAAGCTTTTGTAATTTAGCATGCACATGTGTCTAACCATCTCTCTGTCTAGAATTGGAAGCTACTTACTTGGCCATCATAGGTTCTTACAACTTGAGGAAATATATAATAAACTAATACAAGCTCTTTTTAACAGATACATCTTTATGGCACATCTCTTGGTGGCTTCCTTGCACAACTTTTTGCTCAGCATCGTCCACGACGAGTTCGGTCATTAGTTCTATCGAATTCCTTTTTGGAGACACGGAGTTTTTCTGCTGCTATGCCATGGGCTCCAATGTACTTTTCTGATATTCTATTGTAAAACATAATAAATGAATGCTAGGAAGGAGCTATTTCTGTTGCATTATGTGTGTATAACTGCTAATAAATAACTGTGTAGAATGATTTGGTGAGATTTCTAGCAGACAAGAACATCAAGACACTTTTTGCTTAAACCATAGGGCCATAGGAACTGTCAAGTAAATGTTACAGGTATGATCACATTAGTGATAAGGAAACTACTATTCTAGACTCAAGTACATATGAGAAATATGATAAGTTTGATTTAGAAATTGTACTCCTACAGTTAGGCTGATGAAATTTGCGTAATTCATGGAAAAAGCTGGATGTTGAAGCAAGGATGCTTACATGAAAGCATGTTTAGTTCCATTTTGATTTCAGTTCAAGGATGGTGTTTATATTTATATGTATTTTTCTTTGAAAAGTTGCATTTTTTGTATATGTTATGGACAAAGATAGTCTGATTTGAGGATTCTAGTTCCTCATATTCCTGTGAGTCTGATTTGAGGATTCTAGTTACTCATATTCCTGCGAGGCTGATGAGAATCAAGAACATTTGGTGTTTGCTTTTGCTTTAACAGGAATTTTTTCCCTGGCAGAAAGGTGTTTCTGCACCATATTGAATTTATATCTGAGTTCTTGAATATGTATTTTTCTGCTATCATCTAATTAAGGAATTTCAGATTTAACTTTGCAGATTTTCAGTCCTGTGGTGTGTGGTTTTATGTTACTCTTGTACAATAAATGATAGTTAGTTAATGACTTTAGAGGATGGAATTGAGAGGACTTGTTTTTGAGTTTCTCCTTTTCTTTTTTAATTCCTATTTTCTGAACACTGCTGGATCTTGTCTGGAAGGAGTGGGTAGAAGCTGGTTTATTAACATGGTTGCCTAGAAATACATGATCGATGATATTTTTATGTTGCTGTGGTCAAATTACTTAGTCACCGAACAAACTTTTTATTCTTCTTCCTACAAGGGTATTTCTTACTACTTCCTGATAGCTTAACTGAATCTGTTAGCCTATTGTCTCCTACAGTGTCAGTTGGACCCCTTCTTTTATGCTGAAGCGGTATGTCTTAACGGGAATACGTGATGGTCCTCATGAACCATTTATTGCAGATTCAGTGGACTTTGTTGTTTCTCAGGTATTCTTTCTTGCATAATCTATTGCTGACTATCAAGCTGCCTTTGGCAATATCCAGTATGCTATGATTTTTCTTGGCATGAGATGACTATAGTATGTATTTTACTGCAATTTGTGGGGTTAGTCACCTTTTCTCTGCCATCACGCCTTCTAGTTCAAGAGGCAAATGTAGATCTTGTTTGTGACACAGTTGTTTACGTATCTACTTATTTTGCTATATAATTCAGGTGGAAACCCTCTCGAGAGAGGATTTAGCCTCCAGGTTGACATTGACCACCGATGATGCTGCAGTGGGGCCCCTTCTTCTTTCAGATTCATTCATCACTATAATGGATGTACGTCATCTAAATCATGTCTTTATCTATTATATTTGTGCATCTTGGAAGCTTATTCCTTTCTGAAAAGTATTGCTATTTTTGCTTGAAATTCTTGGATCCTAACTTTTCAATTATCAGAAAAAAGGTAACTCGCTGTTTGCTCATCTGTATCCAACCTCTGGTTTCCATAATGCCATTTCAATCTGGTTGATAAGTTCTGCTGGCAGTTGTAGAAAGAAACCAGAAACTCGTATGTATTCTATGCTTGTGATTTGTGTGGAAAATTTCTGATGATACAAGTTGCCCGGTAAATCTTTGTAGTTTATGTTGAAGCAGGTATGCAGGATGATATTATTAGGGTAAACATAACTTTTAGTCCCTATACTTTACTCGCATTTTGCTTTTAGTCCCTATAATTTTTTTCAGTATTTTAGGTCCCTACACTTTTGTTTTTCATTGTTTTTGGTCCTTCCAAGGTCCTTATACTTTGCGTATAGAAGGACCAAAAATAATGGAAAACAAAAGTGTAGGGATCTAAGATATAAAAAAAAATGTATAGAGACCAAAAACAAAACGAGAGTAAAATACAGGGACCAAAAGTTATGTTTACCCATATTATTATGTTTTAGGGGGCGGAGATTTGGAAGATGATAATATGTACAAATGGATTAAAGAAAGTGTTCTCTATAAATTATGACAGAAGAGGTTCATTTAATTCACCGCAATTGTCTAATGTCTTTCAAAACCTCATAAATAATTAAAGATAGTCCTCCAGTAATAGCAACTGCTTTCTCAAACAGCTGCTTGACCATCCATTTGGATTGCAGCATGGGATGCTCATTATTTAATTTAAATCGTCCATATTAAAATTAGATGGTTCAGATTTTATTTTTTATTTTTTATTTTAACAGGCACAGAATTTGAAATAGATAATATTCTAATTGCCAAGTTTTTTTTTTTAAAATAGAAGTTTTAACTTAAGATCGTAAAAATGAAAGCATTGGAATCTAGGCCATCTAAATTAATTTGAACAATCTGGATCTCATAAAAATTGAAAGCCATTCCAGATCCATATATCACAAAGGTAGTTATAGCCTACGAGAGTTCATAGAAAGCAGCGTATTGCAAGTTCTAAGACATGCAATCTTTCACTTACTAGTGTTACAGATCACTAGGTTATGGTACCTTGTTTTTATCCGTGTCTCCGTTGGAAATTATATTTGGTTTTGTCCAAATTTCTTATTTTTTTTTTTTGTGGCGAAGTTATTTGGGCTAACTCAACAAGCTTGTTCTTGACTTTTTCATGAAAAAAAAACAATTTATTTAGGCTAAATACTCTGGCTGGTTGCTCTAATGCCACGCGTGAACTCCGAAGCACATTAACTTTCTCTCAGACGCCAGTCACGCTTCTTTTTATACACGGCATATGTTATTGTTTTCGGGTTTACTATTGAGCTATGATACTCAAGAGAATGGCATACATATGTTTCATTTGCTTATAACTTTTTTTTTTTTTGGTCGTGGTCATGTACTTATCTTAAAGACAAATGACTACTGTGCTATTCCTCAACAACTTAAAGATCAATTGAGTGAGAGATATGCCGAGGCAAGGCGGGCATACTTGAAAACAGGTGGAGATTTTCCTTTCCTCTCACGCCCAGATGAAGTCAACTTACACCTTCAGGTATATGGGGCTCCCAATCATTCTATGGGCTAGTTCTTGCATCAGCCATTTATGGCCATTTGTAAATTGATGTTTTTGACTTTTGTTTATATTCCGGCAGTTACACTTGAGACGTGTTGGCGTGGAAGCTCGGCCTGACTTGGTTCGCAGCATTCCAGAAGGGGGACTGGGAGGAAGTCCTAGCAAAGAAAGCGGGGGAGATCCTGACGAGCCACGTAAGGATGATGAGGGAAGCTCAGAAAACCCATCTGCTGAAAGTAATCTTCCTTTCCTCTCAGAAAACTTGGAATCCAATAATTTAGACAACCAGCCACGTGAAAATTCTTCAGAAAATTGCTACCTGGGTCATCAAGTTATGTTGGATCTCTTTCCTGGTGGATTCGCGGAAAGAAAGCACACTGTGCCTCCTGAAGTTCTTGGACTTTTCGTTTGGGAATGCTTTCTTCGTTCTTCCCTTAGTCATATTTGTTCACTCGTTCCTGTACATTATCTTGAGCCTTTCTTAGGAGTGTAGACAAGTTGTGTAGGATGCATGTATGATGGAAATTTTGCAGGAGCAATGAACGGAGAAAACCGAGTGCCTCAACAAGTTAAGGTTGTGCTTCCTGCCTGCCGAATTGGATTCGAGTTCTTTGGGAACCTAACTGTTCATTGTAGTTGTAAATTATTTGAAATTAGGAGGATGTGAACTGTAAGCTGCTGTTCGAGCTTCTATGGTTTCTACTTTCTATCTTATAAGAGTATGAACATTGTCATTCTTTTTTAATTGAAGAGATGGTGTTACAGACCAATTATTTGTAAGCTGGATAGGGTTGGATTTCTTCATCCTGGTTGGTTACATGTCAAAAAAGTTTTTTCAACTCAAATCAATTGCTGATGTTTTTGCTTTATTCATGTGATTGAAAGCTGATAATAATATACAATTAAGACTTAATGTTTTTCTTTATTTATGCTGGTATGAAGCTTCCCGTTCTCTTTTTTGCTTGAAAGAAAATAAGGCGCCTTTGTCTCTTCTCCGTGGAGATTTCGAGCTAGATTTCTTCTCATTAACTTGGTTGGATTTTTGACTTGATTTGAATTTCCGTGGATGCTTGTAGTTGCAAGGCTTCCTTTCTTGTAATCTTTAATTTCTTTTCTCATAGTTATGATTGGGACAACTTGTCTTGTATCTCATCTCAAAAAAATAGTTAAAATTGAATTTTTATTCTGTGTTTTATTATATATTGAGAGTCATTTTGTCTCGTTAGGAGTTGGGACAAAATTAGAATGTCCTAATAAAGCGGATAAAATAAAAGAAAGACCTAGGTAACATTTATTTGTTAGGTTTAAAACCAAAGTAATACAAGTACATAAATTACAATGATTCAAAGTCTACCATTAAGTTACGTTAATCACAATTATAAGTGTACAATTTAAAATTAAGTATACATGAGACAAAACATATTATAACAGTAATTACAAGTGACTTTTAACTACAAGAGCAATAGCAACAAACAAGTCAGACAACATTAAGTCAATTTTCTTTTTCTTTAGCCGAGATATTTAAAGTTATAGACTCTTCTAAAACTAAAGCAAGAAATATGATCTAAACAAAAATTATTACATAGATAGATATAATAATAAATTATATTAATAAAATTAATATATTTTAAATAAAAAATAGATTACTTTGTACTGCATGCTCTGTCTCATTAAAATTATTAGTACCAAGAATTTTTAGTTTTGAATAGGAATTGTAAATATTTAAATTATAATTAATATAATTTATTATGAAATATAATTACTATAATAATAAATTATATTAATATAATTAATATATTTAATACATATTTTTAAAATAAAATATATACTTATATGATATTTGAGACATGAAGGGATGTCTTGAGGATAATCCTATATCCGATTCTGAACTCCTCTTCGTCCCATCCTACAAATCTCATATCGTTTTTTTTTAGTTAGAAAAGATTTATCCTAATATAATTGAGATAGAACTAAGCTGATTGGGATGGCTATAAGGTTAAGGGAGAGTCTCGTTAAGGGCCTTTAAAATACAAAAAATTAAACTTCAAGCCCAATAAAATTTGAAAACACACTATAAATTCTAGGGCCCTTCTTGTGAATTTTGTTATGGGTGAAAAAACACAATTGCCTTTTTCTTGGGGGCATATTCATGTATACGCAATATGATACCCATAAATTCTTAACACAATATTCATAAATGCACGACACATCTAGTGAACATAATTTAACTTGAAATGAAATATATAAACAAGAAAATAATGAACAATATAATGTTTATAAATACACAACGCAATGTATATCAATTTTCAACACAATGAACATGTAAACTTGCAACATTTGTACAAAAAAAAGTCCATAATGAACAATATGCTTTCATTGAAACATAATTCAAGTTAATGTTCATTAGATGTATTATGCATAAACATTATGTTGAGAATTCATAAATATCATGTTGTATATGCATGAACATTCAATCAAGACAAGGGCAAATGTATCTTTTCATCTTAACAAAGCCTGCAACATGTCTTAAGATTTTATTGGGTTTGTAGTGTAAATTTTTGTGTTTTGGGAGCTTTTTGTGTGAGTCTCCCTAAGGTTAAACACCATAAAAAGTTTTTAAAAAAATTACATTTAGATCTCACATAAAAAAATTTATTATTAAAAATTAAGAAGTTTCATGAAATTCATAAAATATTTTTAAATTTTAAATCTTGAGCATTTACAACTTAACTAAGAGTATTAACAATTAGGCAGCGATCATTACAAGTTGTAAATGACCATTGTCTAATTTTTAATATCTTTAATTAAGTTGTAAATATATAAAATTTGAGACTTAAAAATATTTTATAAATTTTATGAGACCTTTTTATAATAAATTTTTTTCATATTAGACCTACATGTAATTTTTTTCTAGTTTTTCATCCCTCTAAACTTATAATTACTTGTTTATTATATTTCCTTCTCTTCTCAATTTTTGATTGCTTTGTACAAATGCAGAATATTTATGTATGATGTGCATCATGCATCTCTGACAAGCTTTGTGTGTCTTTCGGTCTTTCCATTAAAATAGTTAAAAGTTGAAACATCTCTAATGTTGAAGAGCGCCGCGTATGGCAGCAGAAAACTTCGAACTTCACTTTAGGTCTCTGGAAGCTGACGTACGTGGCTAGCCGGAGACATCTCTAACCCATGTGGCGACTGAGGGATGTTACACGAGTCCATTCGAAAACTCAGCCTTCACCTTCTTCACTTCAACAAAATTGTCTTCGCCAACGCAGAGAGCGTGGAAGCAATGAATCGCCTCAAAACCTATCTAACATTTCCCGGATCTTTTGCGCGCAATTGCAGAACCTTCCATCACACCTCCCCGAAACAATTTCCTGATCACAAAACCCATTTTGAACATGCTGGTCCCTTGGTTTCACTCCTCAAGTCCAGGTCGGTTATCCGATTTCGAGGGACTGACACCTTGAAGTTCCTTCAGGGACTGTTAACCAACGATGTAAGCAGGTTTGGTAAACCTGTTGGTGAAAAAACCGCTAATCTGCCTACACCTAATGTACCAGTTGCATCAGCTCCGCCTGTATATGCTGCCCTTCTAACACCTCAAGGTAGATTCCTCTACGACCTTTTTCTCTTTAAGCCACCCAGGTCTGAGACGAAGCTTGATAAGATTGGGACGGGGCCTGGGACTGACTCTGATGAACCGTTTAATTTGTTTGCCGATGTGGATGCTTCGGTATTGGATGAACTTTTGGAAACCTTAAAGAAGTGAGTTTCTTGTCACTACTTATTGTTCATTACAACTTTTATTGAGGTTTGGAGACCTGCCATTCGGTTGTTAGGGTGGATGTTTTTCATGCTTTCCTATGTGTTACCTCAATTATGGTTATTGACTTGCCTTCATGAATCTGGTTCTCGAAGAAGTTTAAGTTACTGCAAATTCTGCTTTGTATGTTTACTATAATCTCTTCTCACACGGGGCCACTGTTTAAAGTTGTTCAGTTCAAAAATCCAGGACGTAGCAACTTCTAGTTCAACTGTCATTTTACTTGTGAAATGTGTGAAATATTGATGCTTCTGTATTGCTCATGTGAGGGTTAGAAGACGAAAGAATATAATTCATATATGATCAGGATTCTGTGATAATATTATTTGCATTTTTTTCCCTTTGTTAAGTTCTGTTGCATTGGGCTTGGCTACTACCAAAGTACATGTTTTTGTTTGGTAATTGATGTTATTAGACTTACAACAGAGGGGGGAAATTAGCTTGTAGGATTTGACAGTGTTGATTAATATTAACTTTCATTTCATAGAACCTGAAAAATTTTCTGTTTACTCTAGTTGGTAACTAGACATGCTTTTTTATGCGTGGTACAAAATGTGAAGAGTGAGTCACACTTTTCATGGGGCATGAATAAGGCTTGCTCTAGATTTGTATGAAAATAATTACATCCAGCCACTTATTGGTAGAATGTCCCCAGTTAAATTAATTTGCTGTGCCGTTTGTTCCTATTATAAAGCATGATGAGCGGTTAGGTTATATAAGAGGTAGACTTTATGGCTTGCTAAGCATCTAGATTTCAATGATGCCATAGCAAGCCATGTTTTACTATTTGTTTATAAATTGATCGGAAAACCTACAAGATTATATTGCAGAAACCCTAAAATTTTGGTGCTACAGATACCGACTGAGGTCTAAGGTTGCGATTGATAATGTCACTGAAGATTTCTCATGCTGGCAACGCTATGGCCCTTGCCTTTCTGAGAAGCTGCCAGATGTGGATGAACCAGAGGCAGCTTCTGTTGGCTGGGGTGCTGGTGTGGATCGTTCTGCAACATCAGCTTCACGTGGGAGTAATCTTGGGTGGCAATGGTTCAAGGACCCTCGATTGGACTGTCTTGGTTTTAGAGGGATCTTCCCATCTAATGTAACACGTAAGTTTTTTTTCCCCTCCTTGTAAGATTTCTGTCATATATGGCTGCAATCCTTATCATTTCAACTATATACAGTTATCTTGCTTAATTAATCCCTCCTCATTTTTCCTGTTTCAGCACCTCTGGTTGAGGTTGACAAAGAAACAGATGAAGAGAATTATCTTTTTTGGAGAATAAAAAAGGGAGTTGCAGAGGGATCAACTGAGATTCAAAAGGGTGAATAATTATTTCTAGCGGTAAACTTTTTTTTTTTGGGTCAATCAATCCTTTGGCATGTTAATGTTGCAAATTATGTACAGGTGAGGCAGTACCACTTGAGTATAACCTTGCAGGCCTTAATGCAATTAGCTTTGACAAGGGTTGCTATGTGGGACAAGAGTTCATAGCTCGTACACATCACCGAGGGGTGATTCGCAAGCGAGTAGTACCTATAAGATTTGTCACCAATGGTGGGAAAGGTAACGTTTCAGGACTTCCTTGGCTTCTATAGGATTATCTATTTTATTGATTGACACCCAGCCATTCTTCTTCTGCTCTTCCAGAAGTAGAAGATAAAGTTATTCCAGGCTCAGAAATAATTGACACAACGAGTGGCAGGAAAGCTGGTTTCGTGAATACTGCCCTCGGATGTTGTGGGCTAGGGCTTTTGCGAATGGAGGCAGCTTTTAAAGGTTCTGGCACTTTATCTATAGAGGGTCAAGATAATGTGAAGGTTGAGGCTGTTCGGCCAAAATGGTGGCCTTCTAAGTGGCTTGAAGATCATCAACATCACATTGCTTTTGCCTAGGATGCTCAATGCTCTTGTCCAAAGGCCAAGTGCACGCGGCAATTCAATCCTTGGAGGCCACTGTGTGAATCAATGTATTCCAAATATTTAAGGTGTTCATATTGGGATAAGAATTGTAGCGTCATCGGAATTATTTCTGGAGGAGAGTCATGAAGATGGCTGTTGGAGTTTTCTTATGAAATAAGTTTCAATAAAGGGGATTGTGGTCTACCACTTTACCCTTGAGTTTTCCAGGGTCCTGAGAACTTCAAGAGATCTGAAAAATTTTGTACTGAGACATTAGAAACAAATCATGTCTCTAAGATTTTGTAGTTGTGCCTATCCTGAATTTGTATTTTGTCAGTTGCTGGTGGGGATGAGATGAGCATGAGAATCAACTTGGATGAGTTGAATACGTTCATGCTGAATCTGTTGATATTTTCATTGTTTAAGCGCCCACTGAACTAAAAAAGAAGTTATCAACATTGATCGAAATACTAAATTTCATAATGAATTTATCGTGTGAAAGACTTAGTGTGACTCGTCTGGTTTATAATGTATCAATATCTCGTTTTACTTTTTCTTCTTCTTGAGTCAATTTTTTTGTTAAAAAATTTACTTCGAACTTGGTCCCTTTTTTTTTTTTTGGAGGAAGGGGGATACATGTACATCCCTACACATATAACTTTGTTAACACTAAATAAATTTACATCTTATATATAAAATGTAACACGATAATAAGGAGCTGTACATTACGGATCCGTAATGAGAATCCTATCATTTTCCTTAGATTACGTTTTTTTTCCTAGAGTATTTTTTGGCCAAATTTCTTTTTATATTTATCATCAAATTTTCAAAATTTCATATTATAAAATGAAGGATATCTATCTATCTATCTATCTATTTATATTTTAAAATCTTGTGAGTGTATTTTATATCCTCAAATCTTGGTGAATGAAACTTGATTGATCAATTAAAATCATTATCACATTTTTAAGGGAAACTCAAATGATTAATTAAATTTGTTATCATATTATAAAATTTATCAGTATCACATCACAATTTTATCTTTTGGTCAAATTGATTGATTAAATATTTAATCCTTTAATCATTTTCAATTGCTGATCATTGTGCTTCTATCTCTTCGTTTTCCATTTATTTATAATTTCGTTGTCCAATAGAATCTTTATTTCTTCACCTCTCTTAGTGCATTCAATTTTTATGTTTCTACTTCCAATTCCCAATATGATCGATCATCATTCAAATTTTAAATCACAAGCATCATACATGTCTGTCTATTCATTCATCTTCGAATTCTAGATTGCCTTGTTCAAGTACAATAAGGCAATTATCTATGAAAGTCCTTGGCACCAAATGCACTGTTCATTTCCTCCACATGTCTATACCCCAAACCCCACACGGTCTTTGGGTCTACTGATACCATTCCAATTTAAAAGGTGGGCTTTCCTCTATCTTCCACCTCACCCTGCATAAAATTCTCATGGCACATCTCATAGTTAACTCGTGGCGCCTCCCTCCAGATGCTCTTGAACTAGGGGGCATATTACATCCATTTCCAAATAGGTATTGTCCAAATGGATGAATTGGCTTGCCTTTTATCTTCTTTCTATTGCCCTTTCTCATCTTTTGAGCATCCCTGTGCACTGAAAATATCTTAGATAAAGGTTTCTTTTTTCATATCAACTATAAAGGATCCTCTTTTGGGAATCCCAACTAGGGGGAGAAAGTAAGGATTTTGTTAGAGAAATTGATGGCCTTGCATTCAAGGAAAGTTTTAACCTTTGATAGTGTTGGAAATTGCTGGTTTTTGCGTAAGCACATCATCTTGGCGTTCTTCTTGAATTTTTTCATTGCTCTCAATGTGATTATTATATTGATCAAAATATACTTTTCAATTTTATAATTATCATTGCAATACTTTGGAGTCCATGTTCCTTTTTTTTTTTCCCTTGAATATGATCAAATTTTTTTGGTATGCAATTCTTTCCCTAGCTACTTTTTTAATTTTCTTAACAGTTTACACGGTCCTTATTATATTTTCTCCCCTTAATTTTTTATCTATAGATTGTTAGAGACAATCGAGATGACGAGTCACACAATTCAAATAAAGAAGATTATAGAGAACCCCGGTTTTGAGTCGAAGAGCTTCATTTTTGTTTGATTTGTGACATATTTTTGTGATGGTTCCCAATCAGTTTTTATAAACATTAATGTTCCATGTGAAATTCAAGATTTTATGTCCTATATATAAAGAACAAAACAAAAGATCCAATGTATTTGTGTGCTATTTTGTGTTAATTAATATAGAATTTATCCTTATATGATAAATGTTAAGATCACACATAAGTCAATTTTAGAAATTGCATCACATTTTTTTATTTATTAAAATTAAAAGAGTTTGAAAGAACTAAAAATTTAACATAACTTACTAAGTAAGGACGAGTATAATTTGATGTATAAAAAGAAAATTGAATTTAATATGTTATACAAATTGTTATTAAAATTAAACTTAAAATTAAATTTTATTAGTAAAGAAATAGATATTATTTGAAAACACCTAAATAACTCCTATTAATTCTATTTAAATCAATGAATTCATACTCATAACCCTATAGATTTGAAAATCACTTTCCATTTATAAACCTTAACTTCGAATCTATCAAAAGAGGAAGATTAGGACTATAGAAACTTACCTTGTCTTTTAGATAGCTTAAAATTCTACCAAAGCTTTTGATTTTGGCTTGCCCTAGCAGAGTTTCCCTGTTTCTCCTTTCCTCTCTCACTTAAACTTTGTTTTTCTCTTCTACTTTTGAAATGGTTCATGCCCTATTTACTATTAGAATCTAGTCATGTACTGCGGTGCACATTATATGTATCATAGCATGTGACATAGAAAGCTACTCCATGCTTGTGTGGTCTATGAGCCGTGGCAAAAGCTACATGTATTAGATAGCACAAAGAGGTCCTCCTCTCATTTCTAGCTCGAAGCATCACGATGGAAGATGCACATGTTATGATATGTGACATAGAGTGCTACTCCATGCTTGTATGGTTTATGAGTTGTGGCAAAAGCTACATGTTGGGGTAGATAGCACAAAGAAGTTCTCCTCTCATTTCTAGCTCAAAGCATCACAATGGAAGATGCACATGCTATGATGTATGACATAGAGCTCCCTTTGTTGACTTTTTCTCCCTTTTTTGAGGCTAAGCGACCCAAACTCCATTTGGACCTAATCTTATGGCTATAATCGAAGCCTAATAAGTCTATTACCCTTTTCTAACCATCTTCTAATTTAATTCAAGTTAGATTTATCTCAATTACCCCTTGATTACTTGATTAATTAAGGAGTTAAAAATTCAAGTTGTTACAAAAGTTATTTAAAATAAGTTGCTTGTTCATCACATTCCTTCCATGTATCAAATTGCAAACATCTTTGCTAAGCCATTGTCTAATTCTACTTTTGAAACGTTGAAGCCTAAACTCATGGTATGAGATACCATGAGTTTGTGGGAGGCTATTAGAGTGTAATCAATCATTATTAATTAGTTAAGCTGATTTGGTTGTTATAACCTATGGTATTATGTATGGTTAGTAAACCAGTACAGTTATTGTGGTTATTTATACATAAACACCTTGTACTCCTATTCAATAATATCTTAGAATTTACTTTTCTTTTGTCTTTTTCTTCTCTTATCTCTCTGTTTCGGTATACCCTTATTTAATAAAATAATTTAATTACAAATAAATAGAAATTTTTATTAATTTCAAATATTAATTAAAAACATTTTAAAAATTTCATAAATTATTCCTTAAAATCTTCAAAATGCTTTGTATGTTTAAATGAGATATCTTCAGAAAAAAGTGCTGTAGCATGCAGGCGTAGTAATACTTTTTTATATACTTTTTATATTTTTATTTATTATTTTTTAAATAAATTATACCCCTATTCACTTTTTTTAAATGTTAGCTACTATTCTAGTATCAAGAAAAGAGGAGGGAGAAGTGTTATAAAATCCCCCGTTGGAGGAGTAATTATGCTAAAGGACCAAGCCTAAGTTAAGGATCAAGGTGAATATTTTATTCATAAAACAATCTTTTCAATTGACTAAAATGTCCCTTTGTGTTAAGTAATAAAAAAAGCACAAAATTTAGCCATCAGAGCTCCAATCGTTGGAGCTCTAATCCCTTTGCTAGCCAATGATAATGTGCCTATTAGAGCTCCAATCAATTGGTGAATGATCGCCAATAAAAATACCCTTTGATTACGTGAAAACTATCAAAATTACATGAAAACTCAACCACTAAAGGTCAATGCCTATACCATTGCACCCTAAGCCTAAAAGCCTTGTACTCAAAACCTATCACCTTATAACTTATGCTTCAAGCTTATATCCTTGCAGCCCAAACCTATTATCTTGTACTTCAAGCTTATACCCTTACACTTTAAATCTAGAAGCTTGCACTAAAGCCTATTATCTCATATCATAAGTCTATACCCTTGCACACAAAACCTATCACTTTACATCTTAAGCCCATACCCTTACACTCTAAGCTTATATCCTTACGCCTAAAGCCTATCTTCTTACACCTGTTACCTTAAGCCTATAACCTTACACTCAAAGCTTATCCCCTTACACCCAATGCCCATGACCTCATACTATAAGCCTATCTTTTTGCATCATAAGCCTATAGTCTTGCACCTTAAGCCTATACATGAGAGTTAAATGTTGATTAGTATAATATATAATATTTACATGTAAATATATGTTTTTCTTGTAAAAGTCATATCTTCGGTTCAATCCATTAGAGTCACAACATCACTCTAATCTCTTCTAGGAAATTGTTCTTTTTTTGTCCATGAAAACTTGCTGTATATGATGTAATTATTGATGGCTAAGGAACATATGTCCTTTGTTTTCATGAGAATGCATAGTATATTCTGAAAATGATAATAATGATATTGAGAAGTTAACTACAAATGTCCTAAAAAGACAAACACAAGTAACATAAGCTAGTAATACATATTCATTACACAAACTTAGAACAAACACCTATTCATAAGCTAGTAATGTCTTCCTTTGCATCTAAATCACCAGCACTCTCAACCAAAAATTGTTGAAGTCAACTACAACATTTGAGGAAAAGACCTTGAGAGAGAATGCTCTCCCATCACATCTATTAGGAAACAATATAGTGCCCAGCTTCTTGATGCATACAAGTCCACAAAAGCTTACAACTTTAATTCGATTACATCTAAGACAGAGCTCCTATAGATTTGTCAAGGTATGCAAATTCTCTAGAACTTGAATCAGAAGTGCAAATAAATCAGAATCCATGCCATGCTATATTTAGGTATAAGATGTTTATCCAAAATAAAATGAATATCCAAAAGCAAAACTTGCTATCTAAGTCAATACACAAGAAAAAAAACAATAGATGTACCATTTTTATCATATTGAGGCAGAATCATTAAGACTAATTACCAATTCAGCCAATAAATTAAATAATTGAATTCATCAAGTGATGAACTCCACAAACTTCTTGGCCATGCTACCATTGGGTGACCTACTGTGGTGGTGCTATCTCTCAGTCACATGTTTCCCGATATGTTTTCTCACAAGCCTTTCATACAAGAGTGCAGCCCCTTTCTGTTATCATTAGACTTCTAGTTGATCATAAAGCACAATCCACTTGAATATCTTCCTTATGATCATTATTGCAAACATCATGTTGTGAATTGATATTATTACTTTGATCAACATCCTCATCTTCCTCACCTCTTAACAGTTCCATAACTTCTCCATCCTCATCATCATTATTATCTTCCACATATTCATCTATGACTGGCTGGGAACAAGGAGAACTCTTAACCAAATGTTTTTGACGATTTAGATAGCCATAACCTTGACTTATTTAAACAACCATTCGTCTCACCACCACCAGGATAAAAATAAGAGGGCAGAAACAACAAGGGAAAATCATTCTAAGGTCCCGTGGAAGCAATCAAAATACACTAAAATCCCATGAATTCATCAAATAGCTACAAGATTCCAAAGGACTTAAGGGTGAATAAATCTGAAAATAAAATTACTAATTTGTTCTCTACCATTAAAAAGAAAATCTTGCTTGAACGCAGATCTCATAAAATCCATGATCAGCGAGATTGAAGATTGATGCATATCCATGATTGTTGATCACGGTAGGATAATTTTCATTTTCCCATATCTATGATTACTGTCGTTATCTTCATCTAAGCGAGGTGGGAGTGTTCATTCGCGACTGCAGTATTTCATCGCGCGACAAAAAACAACACAATGATTGTTAAGTGAGTAAACAATTTCTCATACATTAATGATTTCATTATTGTTTAAGAGTAGGATAATGCTTTCTGGGTATGCCTACGATCATTTGATTTGCATAGCTAATGGGTATGGATTCATCTGGTGCGACATTGATACGTTGAAAAAATCTGATACGAACAACTCTACATGTTGTCAATATGTTATTGATAGTTGTCGATGCACTGTATTATGCAAGATGACTTGTAAGAATGCTTATACCACCAAAAAAAACATGTATTATGTTATTTTTTTCATATAGGGGACATTTTATAGATTATTCTCAAGTATATGATGCAAGCTTCTTTTGTTAAAAAATCTCTATTATGAAATAACATTGCTTCTTGTCAATAGTGAATAAATGCATTGATATTATGCTGTGTATAGTTGTCAATACACTGTGTGTGATATTGGTTGACCTGTAAGATGACAAGTTCTTCTGGAGAACATATATTATATTTTTTTCATATAGGGAACATTTTCAAAATTATAATCAAGGAAGTATGCAATATGTTGGGGGGAGTATTAGAACAAGAACAATAAAGGAACGAACAACGTATGAGGAGTTGACAATAATGATATCATCAAATGAGTAGCACATACATGCTCTTGTTTAGCATGGCAAATGAGTGGAATACCTTGTGTGCATGCATGTGCAGCAATCAAGCTAGTTTATGGCAATGTGTATAATTTTGTGGATGAATGTTACAAGTTTACCACTCAACAGAAGATATATGCCAACAACATGAGGCCAGTAGTCATACATGACTATCCATGTTCATAAGCATTGACGGTGACAAATTTATTAACCCAAAACTGATTGAAGCTTCCAATGACTATAAGGCCTTCGGGTAGGCCAAAGCATAAAGGAAGGGAATCTTGAATCCAAAACAAAAGGGTTTATCATTGTGCAAAATGCCATGAGACTGGTCATATCTCCAAGACTTGCAAAAATCTTAATCCATGCTAGAAAATATCAGAGACAAGTGTACTTTTTTGTTTATTTATTTGGAATTTATTTTTTTTATTTATTGCACCTAATGTATCAGTACTTGTCAACGAAGAATGCATAGCTTGGCAATAAAGTGATAACTTGTAATCAATGGCCAATGGCAAGTAGTCAGTCGGTTCTTGTAACTAGTTAATTTTTAAAGGGAATTATTGCATTTAATGTATCAACACTTGTCAATGAAAAATGTAGAGCTTGTCAATATAATAATAACTTGTAGTCAATGGCTAGCGGCAAGTAGTCAACGGGTTCTTGTAATTGGTTGATTTTTAAAGGGAATAACAGCACTTAATGTATTAATACTTGTCAATGACGAATGCATAGTTTGTCAATATAGTGATAACTTGTAGTCAATAGCCAATAGCAAGTGGTCAACAGGTTCTTATAACTAGTTAATTTTTAAAGAAAATAATAGTACTTAATGTATCAGCACTTGTCAATGGTGAATGCATAGTTTGTCAATATAGTGATAACCACTTCTCAATTGCCAACAGCAAATAATCAACTTGTAACTTGTTAATTTTTAAAGGGAATAACAGCACTTAAAGTATTAGCACTTGTCAATAGTGAATGCATGGCTTGTCAATATAGTGATAACCACTTGTCAATTGCCAACGGCAAGTAATCAACATGTTCTTGTAGTTTGTTGATTTTTAAAGGAAATAACAGCACTTGATGTATCAGCACTAGTCAATAGCGATGCATAGTTTATCAATAAAGTGAAAACCACTTGTCAATCACAGTTGGCCACTTGTCAACATTTAATTACTAAAGCAAACTATTTGCCACATTTATAAATTTGTAATCACCATTCATAATAACATTATTTAAGTTAATTGCACGAAATAGGCTAACTTTATATAAAAGGACATAATTATCAATAAAGTTATATCCTAAAGTTCTATCAATAATCTTCTATTTTCTCTTCTTCCTTTCCTAGGATCTTTCTAATAAGGGCATGGCTTTGTGCTCCTTCACGTTGTTACAATGACTCAATGGCCATCACAAGAATTCTATCTTCTTCTTATAGAGGTCATCCTACATCACAAGTCATTCTTATGAGGTATAACAGAGATTTTGCAACAAAAGAAGTTTAATATATAAAATGTCCCTTATATGAAAAAAAAAACATAACATAATACATGTTTTTCGGTGGTATAAGCATTCTTACAAGTCATCCTGCACAATATAGTGCATCGACAACTATCGATAGCATATTGATAACACAAGAATACACTATTGACAACATGTAGAGTTGTTCGTATCAGATATTTTTCAACATATCAACATCGCACCAGATGAATTCATACCCATTAGTTATGCAAATCAAATGATCGTAGGCATACCCGAAAAGCATTATCCTACCCTTAAACAATAATAAAATCATTAACGCATGAGAAATCGTTTACTCGCTCAACAATCACTGTATTGTTTTATGTCGTGCGATGAAACATTACAGTCGCGGATGAACACTCCCACCTCGCTTAGATGAAGACAACGACAGTAATCATAGATATGGGAAAGTGAAAATTATCCTATCGTGATCAACAATCATGGATATGCATCAATCTTCAGTCTCGCTGGTCATAGGTTTTGTGATATCTGCGTTCAAGCAAGATTTCTTTTTTAATGGTAGAGGACAAATTAATAATTTTATTTTTAGACTTATTCATCCTTAAGTTTCTTGGGATCTAGTAGCTATTTGATAAATTTATAGGACTTTAGTGTATTTTAATTGCTTTCATGAAACTTTAGAATAATTTTCCCAGACAACAAAGACGCAGGAATGCATGAAGAAAAAGGAACATGGACCCATGAAATTTCCACATAAATAAGAACACCCATTTCGAGAAAATCCAGCATTACAGCGTCAAAACCCAATGCGAGAGAGGAAACAAAAAAAAAAAAAAGGCTTTGGAATTGAGAAAAAAGTAATGGAAAACTCATCAATCTTTTTCACAAAAAAAAAAATGCCAAGTTAAAATATTTTCGGCAAGAAAAAGGGAAGTGACCTACTAGGTCCTAAGGTTCTCTTCTGTAATGTCGATCTCAAAGATTGCATCAAATCGAAAAGTTTTTCCGTAAACTGTGCGCTAAAGGTAGTGAATAACAAGTTCCTCATCAGTTAGGTGAAAGCGAGACCCAGGAGCAAGTGATGTAGGAGGAGCTTGTGGTGCGATTATTGGTGATGTTGGATTTGGTTTTGTCATTACTGGGGCTGGTGGAGCTGGAACTGGCAATGTCGCACAACCCATAAGGAGGTAAAGATTGAGGAGGAGGAGGAGGGCGGTATGGAGATTCGGGCCTTTGGTGTGCTGAAGTTGCCAAAGCAAAATGAAAAAGATGGGTGTTCGAGTGAGGGTTCGACCAATTCCTCAATCACTGTTGATTGTTTCTCCATCAACGGTGTCCGTCACAGCCGCTCTACTGTTGCTTCGTCTCCCTGGTTCTTATCGTCTGATTCTCCGATTAGGGATCCTCAAGCAGTCTTTTTTTTTTTTTTGTTAAAACAGAGGGGCAATTCGGTCATTGGGCTAAATTATTTTATAAATATTAAATTCAGTTTGATTGTTAAATTTAACTTGGACCTTGACATAATTTTCCTTCCGCAATTCTGCCAGAAGAGAATCCAATTATTTATTATAATTAAACAAGGATTTAGCATTGTGAGGGTCTGACCGGGAACCCGCGCGTCGAGGATCCGCCCGTATTTGCATAATTGCTTTTCCGGAAAAGGCGAAGAGGAGGAACGAGGGACTGGACTGTCTGGGGAGGCCATTTGCAGGGACGAAGGTCGAAAACAAAGAAGAATTAAAAAGAATGGGTAAGGATTTGAGCGACGACCAAGTTTCTTCCATGAAGGAAGCTTTCACCCTATTCGACTCCGACGGTGACGGTCGGATCGCTCCTTCCGAGCTGGGAATTCTCATGCGTTCTCTCGGTGGCAACCCCACCCAAGCCCAACTCAAAGCCATCGTTACCCAAGAGAATCTCGCCGCCTCCTTCGACTTCCCTCGCTTTCTCGATCTCATGGCCAAGCACATGAAGCCCGAGCCCTTCGATAGCCAACTTCGCGACGCTTTCAGAGTTATCGACAAGGACTCCACCGGCTTCGTCTCCGTCTCCGAACTTCGACATATCCTCACCAGCATTGGCGAGAAGCTAGAGCCTGCTGAGTTCGATGAGTGGATCAGGGAAGTCGATGTGGGTTCTGATGGTAAGATCCGTTACGAGGATTTCATTACCCGAATGGCCGCTAAGTGAGATTGTTTTGCAACTTGTTTTGCTTGAGTGGTTCTGTTCAATGTTTGCTCCAGTAATTGGATTTGGCGGTCTCTTCCTTCTTCCTTCTTTCCCCTCCTTTGCGGTACTTCCTGATTTAGGTCTATATGGGTCTTGTATTCGGCTTGTATTGTATGACGTTATTTCCGCTTTTTTTTTTTTCCCATTTTGTTTTGGAACAAGTTAACCGAGTTATGCTAATTGTCACCTGCAAAATTTGGGTCTTGAAGAATTGCAGCTTGCCTTGAGTTCATGGTCCTTCAATTTGCTGTCTTAAATTTGTTTGGCTTGTATTGTATAATGAGATCTAAGGTATATCTGGATACTGTAATGGACTAACGTGTGCTTATCCATGTCGTTAATCCTTTCTACATTATTGTGCGAAACCTCTACCAGTGAAATGGAATGATTTAGTATGCTGTATTCTCAAATCTTCTGACATTCAGTATGGATTGATAAAGATTCACAATTGCTATTGACTTTTAAATTGACATGCTAGATCAACGTCTCTGTTTTACCCTTGAAACAAAAGAATGGAATGTTGATTGTTATTAATAATTACACTACTTGTAAATCATAAATAGATCGTACGATTTATTTCAATCGTTGAGCAAACCAAAAGTTATTACATTGACGTTGTGTTTTTGAATTAGGAAATAGGAATCCTTGGATGTTATATTTTATGTAGCTTTATTTTTTATTTTGGTATAAGCTTTAAGTATCTAATATGTTCACTAATGATCTTATAATCTAGTGTCGTGTTAACTCCTTGTAAATTGAAGGTCACATGTTGAGGTTGGATGCCACTTATAATCTCAGACTTTTATTATTGTCCTTCTGATTTGGGGGGGAAAAATCTCCTTTGAAATTCAGCAAACGACTCGTGTGCCTGGCAGGAATCAGGATAGGCTTGCATATGATACTTCACTGTCATCCTCTTGCCCCTCCTACCTGAGAAACGGAGAATGAAAAATGTCCAATGTCAAGACATTAAACCTGTCTGTTATTTATTTTTAATTAGAATAATAAAATTTTTGGTGCTTTAAATTCATTCAGTTATTAATTTGATTTTTTTTAATTGTTATCAATTTAGTTTTTTTTACACTTCTTTATGTTGTGAATGTAATCTTCTAAGTTTCAAAATATAATTTGACTCTCAAATTAAATGAATGTATAATGTATTTTGATAATTTGGTATCTATACGCAACTAAATAAAAAAAATCAGTTTATATAAGTAACTGAATTTTCTTATTTTCATAATTTTTAGCTGACTAGATTACAGCTCACGGGTCCTATTTCACAATACAGTAATACACACATTTTAGGAGGCAAACTATATGCTTACAGAGTTACAGTGTGATTTTTCTCAGTATACGGACATGTTGATTACTAAATGCAAAAATATTCAACCAAATGCTAAATTTGTCAGGTCCTAGTGGGCCAGGGTTTGTACGGTGTTTAGTGAGTGCTATGCTATTTATTCGCTAAGCATTTGGTTTTCCACTGCATTATATCAGCCTATAATGCATCGAATGTTGTTGGGTAACAAGAAAGTGAACAAATTGAAGAAATGAGCAGTGATGAGCTTATTTACTTTCATGTGTATGTGTGGATTGTGGGCGAAATTCATCCTACAATTCCGAACATGTGGTTTCTCTTCATATAATGAAATTTAGATGATGATTTACCAAAAAACAAAAAAGATGATGATTTAGATGTAGTATTTTATGAAAAAAAAAATTCATTTTTTCTGCCACAGTTTTTAAAAGTTTGCTGTCAAATTTTGACCGTTTGCATTTATTTATTTATAACTTAACATTTTAATGACAATTTTTTAAAACATTAAATCACTCAGGAAAAGTTTACTCGATTCGCTTATTTGCTTAATTGCTTTTCGGCTTGGGCGATCATGTGAAAAGAGGAATGCTATTTGAGGAAGCTCAAGTTTATCATTATTTTTACTTTTCCACTTTCCTTAAAAAATATCGTTAATTTTTCCGTAAACCTTATTTTAATACATACATCGTCATAAAATTAAGAAGTAATCTTTGTCAAGTTACCGAAAGTAGGAAAGAAAAGACATAATATCTCTTCTTCTTCTTTTTTTAAAGTAATCATTATACTTAATGATCTTGTAGCCTTATCTTAACTAATACACACATTTTTTTCGCATGCACACACACATATATACACTTTTTTTCCACACACGCTATGTAATTTAATTTAGACTTTTTAATCAAAATTTAGTTTAGTATTTAATTGATGGTCAATTGTATATTGTCTATGATAGTAAATGAATTTATTCAAAACTTGTTCAAAAAGATGCTCAAAGATAAACCACTTTGTGTATATCACATGTCAATATTTTTTTTATTACATATCAGTATTTTTTTATTTGAGACAATAATGTTTGAAGTATAGTGAGACATTGAATATAAATATCTCTCCAGACAAAAGATCACAGGTCAATACTTGGATGCTTGTTACCTATAATCCATAAAATTGCGGCCATGGATTACCACGGAACACATTTTTGGAGAAATATCACAGTATATTTCAAAGCCCACAATTTTTATTTTCCTTTTTTCCTCGTTCCCTAGCAAAAAGTGAAAAAAATGGAAGAAAATAAAATCTGATCTAAAAAAGATTCTTAAAAAAAAATCCAATGGAACAACATTTTAATGATATAATTATAGCCGCCAAATGAGATGAATATGCATGATCTTGTCAAGTAATCATCAACACTTAAAACTCACGACACATCGCCACAAATCCAATCATCAATATTAATTGTAAAATGTAAAATTTATAACAAATATTAGCATCTACAAATTATAAACAATGCAAGCAGGCCATTCATTTCAAATTCCGTGCCTTGAGAAATTGTGTTAGTTTATGTTTAACCCACCTCTCTTAAAAATAGAACGATGCATCCACATTGTGAATTAATCGGCACCTTTAATTTCATTTTTCTTTCTGGCCCCAAAAGACCAAAGCAACTCATCATTCTCTCCCTTCAAACATTAAGGATCAGTCAACAATTTTTCCCTTTGTTATAATAATTAAATTTTTGGCCAGAAGTTACGATAATTAAATTGGTTGAAGGTGGCACGTAATTTGCATATATTCTCCTCTCATGTCTTATCAGATTATAAAATTACTCTTCATTTTAACTTGATCTTTGAATCTGATGCTAGAAGAAACACATCAAAATATTCTTCTCCTACATCTTCTTTCATAGGTGCCATGGGCCTAAATAAAAGAATCACATCCTACTAGCGGAGATTGAGTCTCACGGAAGGAACTAACCTCTCATAAACGATGTCATATATAGTGAAGTAAGATTAAAATTCATGTTAAAAAATGTGCTCATCACATCTAACATCAGTGCAGAATATTGCTTCCACTGTGAGAAACCTGTATGCAATTATTTATTTATTTATTTTTATTATTTATTTTTTTTTTTTGCTTTTTTGAAAAAAGAATCTCACCCTCATGCTAAGAGCCAAGTGGATTATTGGCCAAGGCGGGAAATAAAACAGGGAGAGGAAGAAGAAAACCAACGCGACTGGAGAAATTTAAATAATGAATTATATGTTTAAGTGGGAGAATTGAGAAGAATGAATCGCTGGTTGAAATTAGAATGTTAGACCAGAGTGAAACAGGTGCACATTATTGAAAGTTGCTTAGCTCACAACTTTATACTATTTTATTGGTTTTGTTTCCTAGTAGGCTCGTAATTGCTATTCCTGTCTGCCTATGTTTCTTAATTTTGGTCTGGCTTCCGGTCAAGAAATGAGAAAAGTAGTAAAATGATAATACTAAAAAAAAAAAAACAATAGCAATATAAACGTACATATTGTTGGATGACTAACGTACAAGAGAGAAAGCTGAGATGGAGATGTTTCACTGGGTAATGAATAATAACGGGATGATGATAAAGGAGAAAGAAACAAGAGAGAAGAAGGTAATGGGTTTGGTCTTGGTCAATAAGTTGGAGCGAGCTAGGCTTCGAAGAAACCGGAGATACATTTGGCAAAAGGTTGAGTAAGGGCTGACGACAACTAACGAGAGAGATGTGTCCCGTTTATGACTCACCACTAAGTGGGTCAGCGTGGGATGCAAGCTATATCATTAGTCATTACCCACGCACTCACCTCACCCCCTTCATCACCACCAGTTAAAATAATAATCCACATACTTATCACCACAACCAAATATTATTATATCCACTTTTCTAACGATATCTATCTCCTGTTACCCACTCGCTCACGTCACAGACTTCTTATTCCCACTAATCTTAAACCGTCTTCTCTGTTTTGACCAGCCATTTCTTCTCCATTGTTCATTCCAGCTCCATTCCTCTCACAGCCCCCACTTGTCCTGTCATACCCTCCTTTCCCCCTCTCATTTTTACGTTCCTGGCATTCAATTCAATCTCCTGCATCTCATCATGAAATTTGGCACTTGTTAACTGCACTGTGTAAGGCGGTCGCCATATTCAAGGATGTCCGTGAAGCTCAAGTGGCTTAGCTACTAAGCTTCGCTGCATCAAAACTAGTTTCCACCCCTCTTCAATTGCTACAGTGGTCTGTATGTCGCTGTCTCTGTCACTTGCCTTGGCCTTCAATCCAACAACTACCACTACAATCCAAGACCGTCATCCCTAGATCAAAGAGAAAGTCAACAGATTGTCAATCTTGTAATTTTGACGCCCTTTCAAGGGCTCTTGTTTATGCCTCCCCACCGAAATACGCGGTTCATTTTTAATTTGATGCCCATACTTTTCTTAAATTTAAATCATTTCATACTATTTGGCATAGTTTCTTAATTTCATCCTTACTATCCCATGACACTGTTTCTTTCAAAATGATCGATTGGGCTAACACGTGTATCTACATATATCGCATGACCTATTTGAGCTACCGAAAACATGAGACTAACAGTAACAATAACAAGCACCGCATGAGCTAACATGTGGCACGGTATCTTTTCCATCCAGTTCTTGTTAGGGAGGTCAACGAAGGGAAGTTTAATAAAGCATATTTATCATCAAAATTAAATCTTCTCATCAAAATTGAAATATTTAAGTTTACAAATCCTCAATAAAGCATGCATATCATCATAATTAAATCTTCTCAAAACTGTAGCAACACTATTTTACAATTAGTTTTCAGAATTCGAATCGTTTATATGTAATTTTCCTTTTTTTTTTAATTTAACATGGAAACGACACATATTTTAGGAACATGGAGTAAGTTGAAAATAACCTCAAGATTACGAGGACTAATTGAATAATAAAGAAAGTATGGGCATGAAATATGAAATTTTGCCTGGAAAAGGAAATAAAAGGCTCGCCCATTGTAATTGTGGCCGATTAAATGTCAACGGTCCTCGTTGCTTCCAGAGATGCTACAACCATCTTTTGTCCCGCCTCCTTTAAAGCAAACCTCAGGTCCTCTTCCACACCCATACTTCCTTTTACCCCCGCGCAAACAGAGCAAAATATCAGAGACCCCAAAACCCACAACCCAAGAGAAGCGAGCAAGGATCATCCCCAGAAATGAAGCTTGTTTGGTCCCCAGAGACGGCATCAAAAGCATACATCGATACAGTTAAATCTGTAAGCACTCAGTCCACAGCAAGATATGCTTCTTCTGTTCAGTACGGGAATTTCAATCTGTGTTCCATGATCCATCCCTAATATTTTCTTTTCTTTCCCCCTTTTACAGTGTGAGCTTTTCCGCGAATCAGGCGTGGCAGAGCTTGTTTCGGCCATGGCTGCAGGATGGAACGCACAACTCATAGTGGAAACTTGGTCGCTGGGCGGAGTTATGCCCACAAGCGTAGGCTTAGAAATAGCAAGTCGTCACACGGGTGGACGACATGTATGCGTAGTCCCCGATGAACGGTCAAGATCAGAGTACGTTCGGAGCATGGGTGAGGCCGGCATGTCGCCGGAGGTTATCGTGGGAGAAGCAGAGGAAGTCATGAACGGCTTATCAGGCATAGACTTCTTGGTGGTGGACTCTCGCCGCAAGGACTTCTCGAGAGTGCTGAGGCTCGCAAAACTGAGCAGCAAGGGGGCGGTGCTGGTATGCAAGAATGCAAACTCGAGGGCCAGCTCCGGCTTTAAATGGCGGTGCGTTCTGGACGAAAGATCGAGGCGTCTTGTTCGTTCGGTGTTTCTTCCGGTCGGAAAAGGGCTCGATATGGCTCACATCTCCGCCTTAGGGGGCAATTCAGGATCTGCCGTCAAGGGCAGCAAGAGATGGATCAAACATGTTGATCAACAATCAGGGGAGGTCCATGTTATCAGACGGTGAATCTTGTGTTCGAGTGCCCACTTTAATGACAACGACAAAACCTCCCTTTTTTTCTCATTGTTGTAAATACATCATATGAAGAATCTTTCTCCTTTCTTTACAATCTTTTTACATTCTCAGGTTGACAAATACTGGTGAGAGCCAGAGGATTTGTTAAATTATCTTCATTGCTCGTTCCTTGGTGGAGGTGCTTGACATAGGATAGAGTAATAGTAGCAAGAGCAAGAAGATTTACTGTAGCATGCAAATGAATGACATGATCTTATGAGAGTATTTTTGTATCAGCGTGATCGGTGGACGTAGATTGTAACCGTCAATGCCTCCCTTTTACTTCTTTTTCCCTTCATTAAATTCTCTGAAAGTGGCATCTGGCGTCCCTAGATAAGCGTTTCTCGTCGCCGCCACTGTTTCCTAACTTACATGGGAAGAAATCAAGAATCTACACCACTAACCAGCCATCTTTAACATAAATTTTGATACAGCAGGTTAAATCCCTTGTTCCTGCTTCAGCATTTTCTCCAGAAGAACAAGCAGCTATGCATTTTTTTGGAAAAAGAAAATGTCGAAGCAATGAAAATTCAATTATGCCCAAATGCATGTTCTGTGGCTAGAGTTGTAGCTATTTTTCACTCATCTTTTTCTCCTGGCATTGTTTCACCAACCAAGATCAAACATTGAAGTTGAAAGAGATTAAAAATAGGAAAATCTTGAGCTGTTAATCTTCAAATTCGAGATACTTTAATGTACACATGATCCACTGTTATCCGCATACATTGAACCCATAAAAACTAGTTAATTTAAAGAATAATGTAGAGTATATCCTAAGTCCTAAATCTATAGCTGTCAATCTGCGCTATTCCCTCTGGTCCGGTGCCCAATGTGTGCTTCTGGCATTATCCCAATGTATATACCAACAACTGCAACCAAAAAGGGGGGAAAAATCAGAGCATTTAAATCTGAGAATGAAACTTCATTGAGGTCCTTTCAGCAAGCTGGTCGTTGGGTTAGGCTTCTGACGTCCACCTCGTACATTCGATTGCTCATCGCACGTACAATTATGGGATCAAAGGATTGAGCTTTCATGCCCTGCAACCTAGATAAAACACATTAATAAACAACAGGAAAACATACTAAACAAGCGTACTTAGAAAAGAAACTCAACCAATGATAATGAACTTACTATGTAATGATCAAGAACTGCGAACTTTGGGTATTCCATAACATAGTCCCAACTAAACTTACTTCTTCTAAATGCTTTCTTATCTGAGAGCGCTTTCTTGCTCTTAAGGCGTTTCTGCTCTCCAATAGCAGCCCTTCAAAGTTACACGAGCCACAAAGATCAGCTACATGCCCTTCAACATCGAGTAGCACCAATGTAACTTAACCGAAAAACAACATAGCACGCAATAAAGAAATTATATCATTGTAGCTTGAAGAACTAGAAATTTTTAAAATAGTTAACATCTTCGCAACTTTCTTCTTTCGTTCTTCCGAGGGAGGTGGTGGGACATACACTGCAGCATCAATAATTGCCTGATTTTTCCATTAGATAGCAACAAAAATTACCAAGTTAAAAAAAGAAGCTTTTTTCTTTTTTCTTTTTTTGGGGGGGGGAGTTAACAGAGGAACAAAATTCTTCCTTTGGTGACCCTAACCAGGTAGGATGAGGAATGATAATCAGTTTCTGAATGGATTTATAGGCTCGCTCACAAGAAGTAAATAACAAGTATAACTAATTAAAACTAAGACATGTCTCAAAAAATGAATAGTAACCAACTAATTAAAAATGAATAGTAAACAAGGACCGTATAGTAGCCAACTGAGAAGGACCTAAAATCAATGAATAGTAAGCACAAGTCTAAGAAACGAGTTTATAAATTACTTCCCTATCCTGCATTCTTCCACCAGGCCCTCATTTCAGAAAGTAGTAGTCTTGTCTTAACCAGCTGACATCTACAGCTTCCATCTTGTTTCAAAGATGTCACTGAACTCATGAATATTTCTTTTCTTCTTTTTTATCAAGCTAATGATGGGAGGAGAGGGTATATGGAAGCAAGTTTATTTTGCAAATGTCCCCAGCATAACAAAGTTCGATGCTCATGCAAACTTTTGAACAATTTTAATCCAAGTCTATTATCGACTGTTCTATATTACCTCAAAGTTTTTCCAAAGCATCCTCGATGTTAACCCTGAGAAAGAGTAGCAGAATCAGGGCAACTTCTCTTGCAACACACAAGGGAACCACAAATCAAATAAAATGAAAGGGAAGATACACACTTTCGTGTTCTAGTTTTTGTTAAGGAAATCACAAGTTCCACATCCTTGTCGACGCGATTTTTTTCCTGCTCGAGACCTATTAAAGTTAGACCAAGAACTGAGGGAAAACAGGATCTAGAAATCAACTTATGAATAAAAATCACGATCCGTGAGATAAAGAGTGTGACTATCTGCTGTAAGCAGTATATGAAAAGGTACAAACACACATATCCACGCATGTGCACACATTAATACACATATCTATACGTACACTATTAAGATTATCCTTCTGGTAAAAAAAAAGAGTACAATATTAAGATTTAGGAAAATTGAACATTCCATTGTTTTGTACCTAAACAAAAAGATCTGTTGCCACAAACCATTTGCATAATTTTCTCCCAGATCCTATCACCTAATCAATATGCATTTTTAACATTCAACCGCATGTCCACCTGGGTGTTCACGGTCCAAGAAACAATTATGAGCAACAAATGGGCAATATCTCATAGCACGGATGCAAAACAAAGAAAGGATGAAATTAATAGCAATTTTGAAGCAAAGTTACCACCAAAAGTTAATAATAAGTTCCAGCAAAGTAGTAAATAGCCAAATACTGTTAAACTGACCTTTATTTACATTTTGACCTCCAGGTCCCCCACTTCTCGCAAAGCTCACTATAACATGATCTGAAACAAAAATAAAGTACTTAAAATCCATATAATTTACTTAAAAGTGGGGAAACATAATGAACCTGACACTAGAATTGGGAGAAAATCTGAGATATCTTTATTGAGCATATGCAAGAATTTATACAAGAGTATTTAACACAAGGGATAAAACTATTCTAACTTAAACTGTTAATGAGGTTCTGTAATGGACCAGGATCCAGCAGCTTAGTGAAGACATCCGCAAGCTGATCAGCTGAGCGAATAGGAAGAAGTTTGACCGGATTGGATCAGACCTTTTCTCGAGCTAGATGACCGTCCAGTTTTATATGTTTAGTACGCTCACGAAACATTGGGTTTGCTGCAATTTGGAGGACTGAGTGATTATCACAGAACAGAGAAGCGGGCAGATCATGAAGGAGGAGGTAAAGCAACCATTGCATTTCACAAGCTGTGGCAGCCAAGGCACAATATTCAGCCTTAGAGGACGATCTAGAAATGGTAGGCTGCTTCTTAGACTTCAAAGAAATGAGAGTGTGACCAAGAAAAGTGCAGAAACCTGTGACAAACAGCAATGGGTATCCATACAACTAGCCCAACCTGAATCACTAAAGGCCTTAAGTTGAAAGTCAGAAGAACTAGGAAAGAAAAGACCTTTAGCAGGTTCTCCTTTGATGTAGTGAAGAATATAATGAATGGCCTGTAAGTGAGAATCATGTGGATCAGAAAGAAATTGATTTAAGTGCTGGACAGGAAAACAGAGACCCGGATGGGTAGTGGTGAGATATAACAAGCAGCCAACCAAAGTTCAATAAGCTGATGAATCAGCTAGCGGAGTACCAGCATATCCTTAGACAGCTTAAAATTCTTATCTAAAGGAGATTTGGCAAGTTCACAATCAAGATAACCTGCAGCATGAAGAAGTTCCAAAGCAAACTTGCGCTGATACAAAACAATACCAAAGGTAGAACGAGCCACTTCAAGACCAAGGAAGTACGTAAGTTCTCCAAGGTCTTTAATCTTGAAAGCCTCATTAAGAAGAGACTTGATATGAGTGATTTCAGCCATATCATCACCAGCTAACAATATCATCCACAAAAACAAGAAGAGCAGTAAAAGAACCTTTATGAGAACGTGTTAAAAGGGAATGATCTGCAACAGATTGTGTATAGCCATAAGAGAGGAAAGCAGAAGAAAGCTTGGCAAACCATAGATGACTAGCTTGTTTTAAGCCATAGAGCAATTTCTGAAGCTTGCAGACAAGAGAAGAATCAGTAGTAGGAAATCCTTGAGGTAAAACCATGTAAAACTCCTCATGCAAATCCCCATGAAGGAAGGCATTATTCACATGAAGTTGATGAAGAAACCAGCCTTTAGCAGCAGCCAAAGAAAGAACCAATCGAACAGCAGTCGTCATAGCCACAGGAGAAAAGTTGTCAAAATAATCAATTCCTTCAGTTTGAGTATAGCCTTCGGCCACTAATCAGCCTTTGTAGCGATCCAGCTCACCATTAGACTTAAGTTTCTTCTTAAAAGACCCACTTGCAGCCAATGGGTTGCTTACCGGTAAACAAGTAAGGATCCAGGTATGGTTTTGCTCAAGAGCAGAAAGTTCATCAGCCAATGCATCCCTCCAGTGTTGATATTTATTTGAATGTTCTAGGTTCGGGGTCAGTGGAAAGAGAAAGGCCATAAATGCAATGGTTAGTGGACAAATGATCATATGAGATAACAGAAGAAAGGGAATGGCGTTTACCTTTGTCATCAGATGTTGGTTCGGAGGTAAAGTAAGGAACAATGCTAGTCATGCAGATAACCAGGTTTTTTTATGACATCTAGAGGAACAACGAAGTAGTGGAGGAGATAAAGAATAAATAAATCAGAATCATCACTAAACTGCAGCATCATTGAGTTCATTAAAAGAAGACAGTGGCTATGAAAATCTCTGAATAAACAGATCAATGGACAGTTTCTTAATAGGGTCCTGGGATAAGGATAGTCTCTAACTGCTGAAAAATGAAAAGTGGCAGAAAACCATTACAAATTGAAATTTACGCAGAAGTACTCTAATAAGCATCGAGCGACACCAAATTTAAAAAGGCATACTGCTTCAGAGAAAATAGAATTCTATTAATATCTCTAGAACATTGGAGATAAGATCTTCCAGGAAATTTATACCTCAACCCTTAGATTGGATGGGAAGAAAATTAGAGAGGAGAGAATACCGAGGAAAAACTCCCAAAAACAGTAATTTCTAGTATTCTCTCCTCCCATTTCCCCTGTAAAACCAAGCCTAAGTGAAAATTTGGATAGAAAGAAATATCGGTTTAAGTTTTGCAGCGATTGCTCAGATATCAAATGCCTGAGCTCGGTCTTCAGCTTCTTGCAGAAGCTGCTGAACCTGGGAGGGCCAAGCTGGTACTTTCTTCTCACCACCATCAGCATCTGAAGCTGCGCATCGAATAGCGCTGGAACCAATCCAGCGTCGTGGTAACGGAAGAACAGCATTCCCACAAGCTAAAGTCTAAGGACTTTCTGGGGTTTTAGGAAGCCTGCGCAGAGAAGAGATCGGGAAATACGAGAGTGCAATATCTCCTTCAACATCATTCTGCTGGTCTTCCCGACGGCAGCCATGGAGAAATCGCAGAATTTCGTACACAATCCTCCTGCTCTTCACTTTCCTGACAAGAGCGGCCAGGGACCCAAATCTACGTGTAATATTTGATAGGCAGAGAATAATTTTTAAAAATAAATTTGAATAAATATATGTCTCATTTCGATGTCAGCACGACTCTGTCCTTTAACTTACTAAATTAAAAAATTACAAGAGTTGAGTTTTATTACGTAAAGAAATTAATCTACTTCGGTGAGTCATTTCAATATATATGTCGCGTCATACAATAACAATTGTTTGATTTTATCACCAGGAAACATATAGCGTGAAAATTAAGTGGGAGGCTCCAAGACCTAGATGGATCAAACTCAACACAGATGGAGCGGCGAGAGGGATCCTTGGTTCAACTTGCTATGGGCGACTTTTTCGAAACGAGAAAGGGAACTAGTTTGGCGGCTTTGCATGCAACTTGGGTAGCTGCTCAGCGAAGAATGCAGAATATTGGAGCGTGCGTCGTGGCTTGAGAATGGCGACGAAACTAACCTCACCAAGCTTAATGTGGAAACCAACTCGATGACAGTTTTGAAACAATTAGAAGACTTGAACAAGGTGGCTCTCCTCAGTGGCACCTGCGACGGGCCATTAAGTTTACTAGTATGGATTGGCAGATCCAAGACGGGCGTGGATAAAGAGAAAGTAACATGCGTGCTGACTAGTCAGTCAAGTGTGGTCTCAAGCAGAATAATAATTGTAATTTATTAAAAGAACTCTTGAAATGGTTTTATCGAAATATTAAGGGATTTTCACACCTTGCAGCATTCTTTTACACTTGATCTGAACTAATTTTACACGTTTTGATTTGAACTAGTTTTGCACGACTTTTTTGATGGCTTTGTATTGAAGAAAAAAAAAGAGAGAGATTTTCACACCTTTTGTGTTATTTTTAGTTAAATAATTAGGAAATAACCTCGTGTGTTGCACGAATATCAAGAAATGATTGATATCATACTAAAACATTATTTTTAATTTTAATAACAAATTAAATGATAAAAAACAAAAAGATAGAGCATCATAAAATATTCAGTAATATGTCTAATTTAACAAATGAGTAAGTAACAAAATGGGAGAATATGATATTTAAATGGAGGAATATATCTTTAATGTTTATTAAGCGATAGAAGATGGTGAAATTATTAAGGGCATTGGAAGAATTGAACCGGCACACATCTCCCAATGCATTAACCATAGTAATAAAAGGAAGATGGGGACTGAATGCATGCCTGGAGGATTAGTGATGATTGAGGAAAGAAAAAATTTTAATATTATTAATTAAGTGAAACGAATCATGATTTATTAAATATCACTTGGAGAAGTTTTATTCATTTTCTTTTGCACAATCCTATGTCTAATTATTGTTTGGATCTAAATGCATATTTACATTTTTTGTGAAGATTTTTTCAAGACAGGAATTTTGGTGGTTATTGTGCCCACGTCTTTTCCTATCATTATTTGTATCATATTTCTTGTGCACATTTGTTATTTTTTTTCTTTCACTTTTTTCTTTTTTCTTAATAAGAGTACAAATAGGTTAGGCTAGCATGACATATTCTAAAATCAATCTAACTTGTTTATTAAATAAATTTAGATCAAATTCAGGTTTTTAATTAAATAAATTATGCCTATTTTTTAAAAAGTTTTACCTATGAGCTTGACAGGCTGCACACACTCGTGCATATATAATATAATATATTACACACACATCAATTTTATCATTTAATTTTTAATCCATGTATGCTTTTTTATTTCTAATTATGTTTTCAATCTAATTGCATTTGTATATTGATTTTGATGTTATTGCTTCATTATTATATTGTATTGTAATTAATAAGTTTTTTTAATTATTATATATTGTAATTGATAAGTCAAGTAATATATTATATACTAATGAACTTAAAATATATTTTAAACATTTAAAATTAAAATATGAGTCCATTTAAAATGTGTAGTTTTAAACATATTTTTAAATAGGCTTTCAAGTCATGTCAGGCTTTAGATAAACTCAAACTTGAGCTTTAAAAAAAGTCTTATTTAGGTTTTAGATCAGGCTTAAACATTTAACTTATCACACAAATTCAGACCTATTTAATTAAAACCTAACTCAGCGTAATTTATTTTCACCCTTACTTTTTGGACTCCTCTCCCTAGTTTTATTGTTATTATTATCATAAATAAAAAATTTTATTTAAAAAAATATATTTACAATAGACGTGAGAATAATTGAATCAGGCTTTATCATTTCCCAAAAGTTTTGAATTTTATCTTTTCACATAAATAATTTAATATTAGTAACTACAATTTTAAATATAAATCCCTTTTTCCTCCCAAGAACGATCTTATTTGTATCGCCTTAGGAGTTTAAATATATGTGTATTTGAAAATATAAATTTATTAGATATTGATTATACACATAAATTGTTTAAAATTTATAAAAATATAGTTACATAACACCTGGCACACATTTATATTTACTCTTGAAATTGTCACTAATTTTAAGTATCAAAATTAATTCAAATTAATTTAGTAATGAAATCTCGAATAATATCCATTTCTTTACCCATAAAATTTAATTTTAATTTTAATTACAACTTGTGTGACGTATTAAGTTCACTCTTTATACATCAAATTATATCCGTCTTTACTTAGCAATTTATGTTAAATTCTAGTTCTTTCAAATTCTTTTGATTTTAATAAATAAAAAAATGTGATGTAATTTTTGAAATTGAATTTCATGTGATCTTAACATTTACCGTATAAGGATAAATTCTATTGTAATTAACATAACATGGCACACAAATACATTGGATCTTTTCTTTTGTTCTTTATATATAGAATTGAGGGTCATTTTTATCTCTCAATCATACATAAAAGGTCAATAAAGACTCTAAACTTAATTTGAACTTGTTTTTTCCCTCTCAATATAAAAGATTTCTCCTCTTACCACCCTAACTGTAAATGAGTCTGACGTTCGTTAATGTGGGTGCCACCATTTGAATTTTTTATATTTTTATAGAAAATGTGGGCCCCACATTATTTTATTCTATCCTCTCTTTCCTCTCCCCCTCTCTGCAACTAGAGGCGAACATCAATCGGTTTGATTCGGTTCAGTCTCAAAATATGCAGAACCGATCGATCGAATAACACTAAAAATGAAAACCGAATTGAACCGAACAAACCAATCAAACCAAATAAGAACCGAACTGAAATTTGATAATTCAGTTTGATTGGTTAATTCAATTTTTTGGTTTTATATTGGGATATTAAAATTGGGCCCATTTTTTTAAATATTAAAACAAATAACACCACAAAACTGGGCCTTTTTTTCTATTTGTTTTTTTCAATATGAGCCTATTTTAATTACATTCATATGACATAAAGTTTAAATATTATAAAGGCATGGATAATCAAATAAATAACCACAAATAAACACCGATGATCAAATAATGATCCCATAATCCAATCACAATACCTACTAATGAGAGTAACTGGCCGAAATAAGGTTTCAAGTGATGTTATTATTTTTTATTCTTTATTAAAATAAAAAATAAAATAAAATAAAATAATTTATAAATTAAATATAATTTATAAATTAATAAATTATATGTAATTCAATCGATTCGGTTTATTCGATTTTAAATTTTACTAACCGAATCGAACCGATCAATTAAAATATTTAAAATAAAAAAATCAAATCAAACTAAAAAATTAAATAAACTAAATCAAATAGACAAAATTCGATTCGATTAGGTTTGATTTTTGGCTTTAATTCAGTTTCGCTCACCCTTATCTGCAACAACTTGATCGCCCTTGATCTTCTTCTCGTCTCTCCCTCACTCTACTCCCCACCTTCTCTCCCTTTCTCCTCCTAACCTGCTATTTCTCTCTCTCTCTCTCCTCTCTCCTTCATGTCATGTCCGCATGAACTTCCTCTTCATCTATCATTGTTAACACCATCTCCAAGTTCATTATTGTCTCAATCAACGCTCGCCTTCTAGGACAAAATTGGAGAGAAATGAAGATAGATGACCCGCAATAGTATGGTGTAAACAAAAAAGCCATTAATGATGAAGCAAGGGTAGAGGTAGAGAAGGACATGACGTATATGGTGTTCATGGAGATAGAGAAGGACATGACATGCAGTGGCCATCAACATGGTGCGTATTCAATTCTCGCTAGTAATCATCAGCACAAGCCCATGTTCGTATAGCTTCAAAGAACAAAGGATGATTTGAGCCTTTAAGTCCAATATAGTACGCAAAGAATGGAGGACGACGTCGGCGTTAGCATCCAATCTTTGTTCTATCCTAAGCCCTTTCGTCATTACTCCCAACACTTCACAACTTAGCTTATTCATTGCTAATATATATTCCCCCACTATTGACTTGCAAATTCAAGATTTTGGGCAATTTTGTGTCATGGAGAGCCTAACTTTTGAGGTTAGAGATGATGTCAAATGGGACACCATGGTTGACAATCTTAAAGAAGCCAAAGTCATGGGATGCTTTAACTATAAGGATCTTTGCCTGATGATCAAAGAGGTCAATTTTTGGGATTTCATTAATGAAATTTGATGTGTTCATAAACGTGCATGGCTGTTGCAAAAGTAAACTCAAACAAAAGAAGAAGAAGGCTATGAAGATCATTGAGAGAGTGTGAGTTAAGTGAGAAAAATGGATGAGGATTGAGAATGCATGGAAAGGAGATATAAATAAGGAGCCGCGTAGCTGACACTGTTGTCAAATAATATTAAAATTAATAAAAATTACAATTTACAATAAAATGTAACCTAGTTGTTTCCTTAAGAATCAATGAATTAACTACTTGAATTATGATCATAAAAAAGTAAAAAATGGGAGATTTTTTGATGATGAAATTAATTTTAAAAAAATAAATTAAAATTAAATAAATCAAGCTAGTTCAACTAAGAAAATTACGAAACACAAGTAGTGCAACCAATCACAACACAATCGCCTAAACTTAATATTTCTCGTCCACAAAGTAAATTAATTTTATTTAACTTTATTATTTTAATCTTATTATATATCTTTCAAATTATCAT